TATGCAGCCATGAAGTTCCTAGGAGGAAAACAGCGATAAATGTAAAAGATGAAGAAAACAAACAGTGATCGATCCACAAATCCAAAATGAATCGTGAAAAAGGCAAAAACATTGACCTCTGAAAACACCAAAGGTGGGATCAAGTGGCTAGGAGTAGTGATATATGAAGATAACGAACAGTTATCAATCTCTAAAGCTCAGTGAAATAAGGTGATAACGAAACAATACAAAACGGAGGCAGAGCAAACACGAACCTCTAAAAACATCAGAGGTGGAATCTGGTGGCTTGGAGACGAAAGCATCCATGTCGGTTGCTCACCTGCCGTGTGCTCATTGTCATGAAAACGGAAAAATTCGTGGACAATTCACTGTGTAGATAATGGCATAACAATTGATATGATAAACGTCGGTCAGCATTTGACTTAATGATAGATTGTATTTGCTGATAAGGTCATTGTATCGACCATAGAACTTGCGAAATTACGACTTTAAACGAGACTGCTAATATCCTTGTTTCATAAACTTGTTTGTCAATAGCTTGTCTCGTTTTAGAAATTATTCTTACGTAGAGCATTCTCTTGCGTATCGAATCAACTAGGAGACATAAACCGAATATGCATGTGATAAGGGTATATTGCCTTATAAGGAAGCAGGTAGAAGTTGACGATCGAAAAGTTAAAAGCATCACGTTTATCACAAGGTTTTGTTGTTAGATTACCATTAACGTCTTTTTTTAGTAAAATATCCAAATATGAAATAGATGTGTCAGATTCTTTAGTATCTTTAATTTCAAGTTCAGTGGGATAAATCGAGTCGAAATATAAATGGAAGTAACTATTGCTATCTGATATTATGTCGTCGGTATTTCTAAATGTCGAATTGACAGCCACAGCAAGTGTTTTCTTCTCATGTATAAGATTTTGAATAAGTTCTGCTTCATATGAATACAGAAATAGGTCTGCTAATAAGTAAACATCCCATGTCGACAGGTCAAACCCACAGTGAGCCTTATGTATCGATCAGGTATACGGAAGTGATAACTAAGTATAAAAGAAATGGCCTAACAACTGGTATGAAACATGTCAGTCAAAATACGACCCAAAGATAGGTTGTATTTACAAACACGGCCAGTATAACAACCGTAGAATTTGCAAAAAGCTGAGTTTAAAAGGGATTGTTGAAATCCTTATCCACTTATTTGTCAGTAGCTTGCCTCGGTTTAAAATTCATCGCACCCAGAACCTGCCTATGCGAAATGAATTGATCAGTTAGGAAACATAAACTTCATATGCAGGTGATTTTACTGCATAAATAAGGGAAGTTAAAGTCATCCTGTTTGACATACAGTTTCGCTATTAGTTGGCCATTATAGTCTTTAGTCAACAAAACATCCAAATATGAAACAGTTGTGGCAAAGTCGGTAATGTCTTGATTTCGAGTTCACCGAGATGTATCACCGAGATTAACAGAAGCAAACTGCATTTTATATCCCTTATTTGTTCTAATGAGAATAGGTAAAATAATTTCAATTTTTCATACATATTCTGGTAGGAACAATTTCTAAAACGAGACTGACTACTGAGAAATTAGTTGTAATAGTTGTATTATAAATCTCATTTAAAGTCATTTCGCAAATTCCGTGGTCGTAACAATGATTTTGTTTGCAAATACAACTATGTGTTGGGTCAGATTGTTATGCTATTGTTTCAAACTACAAATCCCTTTTCCTGATTTGAATCGTTAACCTGTTCGACACAGAGAGATTCTGGCGGGTATGATCGGTCGACGGGTTTTTCTTACACCTAGTCCCCTGCTGTTTTCAGGGATCAGTATTTGCCCTGCTCTCAGTATTTAAAGTTTTAAGCTTGGCCCTGCTCATCATTTTCACAGTCCATGAAACTCAAAGTACACAAAAAATAAGCTTTACATAAATATACATGAATGCATTGTATACTTCTATTGAATTTTAGCACAAATAATGTTTTTTTTTTCTTTTTACTTATGTGGCTATATTGATCTAAATGATCACCCTATATTCTTATAATATGATAATTCGAAATGTCATGGTATTGTACATTAAGTGAAATGATTCTGAGGGTCATATTATGAAAATTATAATTACGATTTTACCATGCAAGTATTATATTCTGCGTAAACAAACATCGGTTACTTGGCGCATTATATTCCACGTTTAAAATCCCCTTCCATAGTTTTTACCGTGTCCCAATAGTGATAGCTCTGGAGATGGCTTTTCTTCCAATTTCCCGTAATTTCGTAGAACTGATAATACCAGTGCGAATGATTTTTTTTTTTTTTTTGATTTAGCAGAGGTAATCCGTTTATTCATATTTAAAGATGATATGCAATTGACAATAATTGCTCAATAATTGTTCAACATGATTACAAACATTTGGAAAGTGAAACATTAATTGCTAATTTATCATAAACTTCAGAATCTAGGTTATATATACCTTTGATGCCCATGACTGTGAAATAAAAAAAAATATTAATGTCATTTTCTAAGAATGCATGTATTGAAATTCATAATTCACAAAGTGCTAAAGATTGCTATTCTTCTACTGTGAAATATTGTTATTTAAACTTATCTTACAGTTTCTTTTCATGTAAAGGTTATGAATTAAAGTTGAATTGTCTGAAGTTGTACAAATTGTATTGAAAAGCAATGAAAGATTGGTTTGTAAATTTTTTTTTTTTTTCAAAAAGGATATTTTGAAATTCTCTGTTTCACAAATAAAAAGTATATTTGAAATTCTATGTTTCACAATGAAAAGAAGCTATTGGCTGATATTTTGGTGGTGGTTTTAGTCTATCTAAAAAGTGAATAATACAATCATTTCTTGACCAAAAGAGCTATCACCTGTCAATTTTGCGACTGGCGAGCCTAGTACTCTTATGTTAATTTTTAAAAATGGCCGATGAACGCTCTTAAAATTATAGTGTTTACAGATATAAATCCTTGATTATAAACTAAAAAAGCCATATTTAAATATGAATTATGGATGCATTAAATAATGAAATCGCGACGTAGAAGGAAAAGAAAAGACCTTCCGTGATGTACGTGGGTCGTTGATATTAAATAAGGTAAATTCACTGAACAGTAATATTTAAAAAGAATAAGGGAAGAAGAAGAAAAGAAATTTTTATTATGAAACTGAAATCTTTTACATTTACGGAGATTCAACTTTTTATATATTAAGTCATTGACTCATGTGCTTATATCGAAAAAAGTAACAATAAATATAGTATAATTATGTAATATACTACGAAAATTGACATTTCCAAGTAGTAAACATTTCATATAATTATCTAGAAATAAGGATGTAAATTTTATATGGTACCAATTTTGATGCATCAGATGCTCATTTCGACAAATTATGTCTCTTCAGTGGTGCTCATGCCGAAACGTTGGAAATCCGAAATATTTAAATAAAAAAAACTTTGAAGAGCTGAAAAAAAGAGGTGCCAAAGACTGAAGTCATATACGTCGAAGGATAAGAGATATTCATGAGGGAGATATTTTGCAATGAATTTCTAAATTTTACTACAGCAATGAATTATATATCCGTATTTTCAAGCTAGAACCGAAGTACTTAGCTACTAGGCTGTAGAGACCCTTTGGGAACTAACAGTCCACCAGCAGAGGCCTCGACCCAAGGGTTATTATCCGATTATTTCTGATCTGATTAAGTAATATTTATATCCTTTGTTAATTAATGTCATGTCTGTATCCATCCAATACTGCACTTTCATTGATTCAATAATTAAGATTATTTCACATTTATTACACTTTTATTTTATTATAATGTGTCTTGAAAAGTAAAACGTGTAAACTTTTAAAGAATAGCTAATTTCTTAATTATTTGTACATGTATAAAACAACCTTAAGCTCTTTATTGAATACTATTCTCTAACATTGAAAGTATGAAATGTTATTTTACGTAAAAACTTTATAGAGCTAAAGCAGTAAAAGTATCGTAATAGATCAAAAAGATATGAATTGAAAATTTTATATAAACCGTCAAAGAGGCAATGAATTGTTAATCATGATATAAATGTATATTTTTTCATAGTTTCAAAAGTTTATAAATAGAATTGAGTATATACAAGCGATTTCTAAGGAATTATTCAAAGATCATGAAGATCATGCCTTACTCCTTGGTTGAATTACTCAAATAAATCTTCACAAATTAAAACGGACCACTTTTAAAGAATCTAATTTTTTCCCGAGCAATTTACACGTATATTCTTGTACTAAGTGCAAAAAATCCTTAATAATATAAGTTCTGTCTTAGAAAACCTGAGATCTATTTGCTTTCTCAGATCCTTTTCTTAATCATCATTAGTCTTAGTAAGTTAGAAAATTTAGTAAAACGGTTGCAGATATCCACATTAGAAAAATAATAATGATTTAAGTGAAATTTTACAGGAAAAATTCATTTCCTTAATTTTGTCTTACAACATTTCTGCATTTTGTTCCGCTACCTACTATTAGACGTTAAAACTCAGATGCATTATGCATTGATAAGCAAAACTGCAATGCTCTGGCAAGATCAACCAGTACATTTTCATTTAACAATATCATGAACATCTACCTTATATAATTACCAAAACAATTATGTCATGCTATTATGTATGAACTTGGATGTCATAAAACATGAAGTGATGTATCAATAGTCAAAGGTTGTATTCAATTATCTATTCCAGTTTTGATACCAAATTTTCTAAAGTACACCGATATAATTATACATTAAACATGTAACATTTCTATAATGATGCCAGTTTATCTATGAAATTACATTTGCATTTAATTATACAATATACATAAATTAATTCTTCACATTTAATAATCATAAAACAACTTAAAGTGAACAGTCCTATCTATCAAGGACCATAAATTTATAAAGCAGCGACTCAAAGCATGTGATTTTTTATTTATTCTATTCTCCAATCAAACATTTTAAACCAGAAGTACGTCATATGGTCCCCCTCCCTGGAATCTTCGACATAACAATTGGGCATGAGCTCATCATCGTACCCATCTGGACCAGGAAGGAGAAAAGTCCCATTAAATGGAATCTGACACATTGGCGGGTCAGCATCCAGAACATCAGAGGAGAAAAAAGTCACATTGATGCTCTGTGAATAAATGACAATTAATTGTACATCATTGTCAAATTATATATAATTTTTGACGATTATTAATTTTGAAAGTCCTTGACCTGATAGACCTGACAATGAAATTAGGGAAAATTCTGAGAAAAAAATGTTTATTTGATATAAAAAGGTGTGATAAAAGGTGTTATAAGTTATTCTAAAAAGTTGATATATATAATCTGAAAAAGATATCTTTCTTCAGATACAACAATTAACAGAATACCTAATGAAAAAGGTGAAGATAACGAACAGTGATCGATCTCAAAAAAAATATATAAATAATACAAATCTGTGAAGAGGGCATAAAACACGGATCCCTAGAAATTTCAGAGGTGTGGTCAGATGCGTAAGATGAGTAAGCATCCCCTGTTGACCGGTCAAACCCGCCGTGAGCTCTATGTATTTATCAGTTAGACGGAACATTCCGTAGTCGAAATCAGAATAAAAACAAAGGCCTGACAATTGATATGAAACACGTCAGCCAATATACGACCCAATGATAGCTTATATTTTCTAACAAGGTCATTATAACGACCATAGAATTTACAAAATGCTGACTCTAAACGAGGTTGTTGAAATCCAATGACTGTTCTACTTGCACTAATTTATTTACCTAATACGAATATCGGATTCTTAAATTATCATGCAAGATATATTTGATATATGTATTTGTATGCTTTGTTTAATTTGAATCTCATAAAATTAAAATTCAGATACCAGAACATGCTGTAAATAACAAGCCACATATTTATCCTGCTCGTGACCAGAACTGTGCACAGAAGGGTTATTAAAATAACGACCATTGACACAGTAAAACATTTATTAAATTTTGTGATCACTGGGTCAAGTTTTCAACCTTCTTGAATCTTCTAGATTTAACCCATGTTGGATGAAGTCAAGACATTTCTGTTATAATTAAAAAGGGAATTAAGTATAATTCTGTTCTCTTACAACTTTGCTTTTTCCGTCAGTTGCTGGAATAATTTGGTAAATCGCTTGTCCCTTGTCACAATACCCTACTTTGATCGGCTTGGTCTCATTCAATTTTTTTCCTGGTGGAAGCCAGGGTGTTTGAACAGAAGCAATACAGCCACTGAAAACAGATGAAAGTGACCGATGAACGAGGAAAGTCACTCTGTTAACTCATCTCTCCAGACAGGAACATGAACTCTTTTTAATGTGGTTTCCGCATAAAAATAAACAGACATTCAAGGTTGATGTAATTTTAAAAATTACGAGGAAGATCATGTCAGTTAATTCTGTACTTAATGTTTTATGTTTCCTTTCTTGGCCATTTGTAATTAGAATAATTTTCGCTACATTTACTCAAGAATATCATCACAAGAATTACATATGCCATTACACTTAACGACCAAAGCAGAAAAAATGCAATGTTATTATTTTATAACAGTAAATTAAATATGGTGGATTTTGTTATGACACGTTTGGTAAGAGATAGTGATAAATAAAACCAATACTCACTGTTCCCCTTGATAAGTTGCATTTACTGCTATCATGAAACGGACTCTTGTAACATTTAATTTTTCGCACCCTTCTGTATCACTGGACCAGTTTCTGTCTTTGTAACCAATTACAGAAATGACCACATAGGAGAATGTCAAGATAAAACAAACTCCCTTCATATTAAATTGCTAACAGCAGAGGTTATTGTAGAGATAAGACTGGAGTTTTGTATATACTGTATCTGTACATAGTTATAGAACACTGCTCATTATTTGAAATATCAATATCAAATAAGATAAACAATGCGATTCCTGTTGTAGAACGTCAGTAAAATACAATGTTAAATTTTAAAAATTTTCTGAAAGTTTCTTATTTGGTAAAAAAAATCTATATTAAATACATTTTTAAGAGCATTGTTAGAACATCATTAATTTTTTTATGTACTTTATTCTTTTTTATGATGCATTTTTAATTCTCTTGTAAATTTCCACATAACCTTGAATAAAGTCTGTAGCTAAATACAGGTATTAAGCAGATAAGTTTCTTTTTAATTCATCTTTGGTGGTTTCCGGCTTTCTCTATTATAACCTGTTCCCCACATTCATTAATCAAAATTACCTGAAATCAGAATTAAGTTACAGACAAAGTCGTCCTGAACAACACGTTACGTTAAATTCAATTCATGTTGACTGATAATTTATGTCACCTTGAGACAATTACGAGACTTTTATGGTATATTAATTGACTCTCCAATCTGTCACATTTGTTTCCGCAATAGTCCAGCCTTCTTACGAGTTTTGATGTCTATCAAATTACTACATGTGTACTCTTCCATTGCAAAATTTATTGTCAGACTCAGCGATGAAATATAAAGTCGACCGCCCTCTGTTGGCACTGTATGTGTTCAGAAGGAGCGATTCTCTGGGTAAGTTGCTTCCTTTCTTTGTAACTATCTATCAACTCTTCAACATTAATACATTCCTAGCTCTGAAAATGTGTATACTATTTGTTTATAATTTTTTTTGCATCATTATTGGTTTAAAACTGATACTATGCATTTGTTTTCGGTTATTTTATTAACTGTAAATGTTTATAACTTTTAGTTGAGTTATTTCAGATTTAAAATAACTATATAATTGTATACTTTTAAAACAATTCTAAACTGCTTCATTGTATGCTTAAGACACAAAATCTTGATTTCGTAACATTAAAACTATTATCTACCCTTGTGACACCGAGAGCCGAGAAAACAACTTACTGCAAATTGTTATTAAATATATTCTGTAGAATACCTTCCTTGCGTACAATCCATAATTGAAACTCTTTAAATCTATAAATTTTATAAATAGGTTGGGTGATTAAAGGACAGACATTGCATGTTAAATTAGCTTAAACAGTTATTCTGCTATATCTTCTAAATGAATGACTGCTAATTAATACGAGCTCATTTTTCATCTTTAGAGAGGAAAATTACAATTAGATGCACTTAATTTATCCAAAAAAATGTGAGCAATTGGTGGGATTTTTTGATAAATAAAAACATACGAGCAATCCAATTTTTCAGTGATTATTTTGAGAAGTTTGTTATTGTGTACGTGTGACAATCTTCAGTATATTTTGTCACAAACACAAGGTGATAAAGTTTATTTACATGATTCAAATATAACTGATTTATGATCCTTAGTATTTATAATTACAACCATTTATGTTATAATTACTTTAACACTGCTTAGGCATGAATAATTTGATTTATTGTCTTAAGACATATACATCAGAATGCTTTTTTTTTTAAAATGGAATGCATATTTGCAATTGTTAGTGATTTATATGATTATATTTCAAATAAAGAAATCAATAAGTTTGAACAATTAGACAACTTCAATTTATTGATAGTCATTTATACATTAAAATATGAAAGAATTCGTTTAAAATGATAGACCTGTTGTTATTTCCACATAGTGAAAAAAAATACGTTGTTTTCACAGTTAAACAGTATGAAAACAACATCTGTAAAAAACAATTTAATACAGCGGATAAATTACAGTGTATAACGATCAAGAATTAATGAAAATGCCTTTCCTGTATTTTTATGCTTAGTTTATTTTTTTTCAATTTATTATTACTATTTTTGTTCAAAAAAGTATTGAATCGAAAAATTAGTCAGTTTATAAGACGTAAAGTTGAATGTCTAACGTTCCAGCTTATAGTGCAATTTATATAATAGACACTCTTGGTTAACATTCGAGCTTTAAAACCAATATATATATATATATATATATATATATATATATATATATATATATATATATATATATATATATATATATATATATATATATATATATATATATATAGATAGATAGATAGATAGATAGATAGATAGATAGATATAGATATAGATATATAGATATATATATATATATATATATATATATATATATATATATATATATATATATATATATATATATATATATATATGATCGACCTTGCTGATATTACCTCTGAAAAATTGTAATAATAATAATAATGAAATAAGAAAAAAAATTCTATTGGGTGTAAACGTGTTTGATCAGTTAATTATAAAAAGAAACAATTAATTAAATAAATGAAATTCAAAGAAAAGGAAAACATAGTGATTTCAGTATTTTAGACACAATATGCAAGCAACAAAACTGAAGAGAAAAAGAGGTATTGATTTGTAAAGATATTTTTAATAAAATGATTATTTCTTATACAAAGAATCTCTAACAGGCATTTGAATTATTTAAAGTTTCAAAAGTATCTAGTATTGACGCCTACGTCTAAATTGCTGTTCTAAAATATTTAATTAATTAACAAGAATTTATAGAATTTCTTCTGGTTGTGTTTAATTAAAAATTTAGAATCTACTATCAATACATCAAAGAAATTTTGCAAATAGTAGGTTAGATAGAAAAGAGCAATTCTAATTCGAACAAAAATATTTCTTTGTTAATATTAATGTACTGGAAAGAAAATTAAATTGAGGTGTCATATCATTGTGAATAAATGTAATTGGCTGGAATTCAGTGCAATCACTTTGGCATGTTAAATTTTCTTTTAATTCTATTGAATATATGATTGACTGCGTTTAGAAACCCAAATAATACCTGTGATAAAAATGTGGAAAAATATTTTTTTTTCTATTTCATATTACCCACTAGCACCTGCAAATAAAAACAAACTATACTTGATGCCTTGGAACGGTTTTGTTTTTATTTTGCGCTTATCAAAAATTATTTATAGAAAAATGATAACAATCAACAAAATTATTTTTCATAGAATGGACAAGCTTGAGGGGCGCTGGAAACAGTTTAAATGTTCTCAATGTAAAATTAAAATAGGCTTGGTGCTGCTTATTTCCCGAAACGCTACTAACCATAAGCAACACTTAAAGGGGGCATGATAGAGTTAACCTGTATGGATATAATGAAGTGGTAAAAAAGCTCAAATTTATTTGATATTAGCAAAAGCGCTGATTCAATACGTAGCACTTGTATCCATACAAATAGCTATCAATAAAAAATCAATATGAAAATGATTGTTAGAAAACAATTTTACAAACACTAAATATTTCATGCATTTTACACTCATTTTTACTTTCATTTTACACAGTTTTACTTTCATATGTTGTAAGGGTTTAAAAAAAACTACTTTTACACACTTCATATAACTGTACATATTTCAATATCAATCAATATGTCACTCATTTACCATAACTAGAATTAAAAATATTTATATAACTATGGAACTGGAGCCCTTTTCACAAAAAAAATCTTACGATTGATTTTCCTTATAAAAAAAAAACTTACTATTTCGTTCACTTTCAGGAAAAATAACAGCATGGAAACTCTTTTAGATGAAGACTTTCTCGATTGTGTCTTCATTTATAAAACCAATAACATATTTCTGTATCTCTCTCTTTAAGCATTTTGGGGCCACTTCTTCATGTCGCATACTTCTTGGCTGGTGGTCGAACGGTTCTGTCATATATATATATATATATAAAATTCCATTATAAAAAATTAAACAGGATGTTCTTTAATGTCTTCCGTCACATGATATGATATTATCCATATGATATAAGACAATATACGTAAATTAATGTTCACACAATATTTAAGTAATCCAAGCCTTACAAAAATCAACAATATAGATATAAATAGTCAAGAATATAGATATAAATGTAGTCAAGAATATATTAGATATAAATAGTTTTTTCTGCATAAAAATGCATCAATATGAATAAAGAACAAATACTTCATAAAATCAATTAAACACTTCTTTTGATGAATCTTAAAATTAGCAGATTTTTATTACAATTGTAAGATTTGTCTGGTATTCAATTAAAGTGAAGAACATGGAAGAAAGAATAAATCTGCAGAGGTCATATCTAGTAACTAATAGGTTGATATTACCATAATTACATTCCAAATATTAAAATGACCTTGTACAGTGCTTCGAACATATTTTTTATTCTTGTGATTAAATTTTTGCATTTTAAGCATATTTTGTTTTAATAATTCTAATTATCTTTTTTAGTTTGAAATATCTGAGAAATGGCACATTGAAATAGAATAAGTGATTTAAAAGCCAAAAAGTTTATGGCTTGAACTTCCACAAAAATTACAGGAAGTCAATGTCATCACTTTTCAAGGATGTATTCATGTGAGAGAAAAGCTTCCTTTTAAAATTAGATTTTACTTTTAATTCAAGTTTGATTGAAACATTTTGCCATGACACTTGACCTTTGGCTGAGACAATAATATTTTTGCATAATTGTAAAATCCACACAAACAGTAAACCGACCTTTTTCAGGAACAAGTTTTGGTGATAAGAGTTTTTAATGTGTGTGCAATCGTAAACTGCTATGCACTATTTCACATGTATTAAAATTAATATACAAGTGCACGTAGTTTTATTTCTGTTCAAAAATAAAAGTGCAGGAATTTTTTTTAACAAATACCTTTTTAAGATTCTGTCCATGTACATTCAAATGAACACATTTATATAGATTGTGTAATAAACATTAAATAATTACGATAACACTAACATTTTCTACAAAATAAGCTTCCCTCATCTTATTCAATACACTTTTTGGAATATTTCCCCTTATATTTGTGTCTTCACTCAAATCAGATAAGAAAGAATTACAAACATGTTTGAATAACAGTCATATTCTTATCTTCACAATCCTGCAACATGCATACTTTATGCTATTTCATTTCCCCAAACAAACTTTTTTTTTCTTTTTAAATAAACCCTTTAAGTTCCCACCGTTTGAAAGGATATGCATGTTGTTTTTATTTTGAATGGCTAAGGAAACTTCTGATAATACGTAAATCTCTGTCAAAATAAGATAAATCTTTTATTTTGCACACCAGCATCAGTGCCACACGCTTTGTATTGAATCAATCAATGGTTAGAAAACTGATGAGCATTTGTAGTGCATGTCATTGTCTATATGCCATCTCAGGTAAAATGTAATAATAATCTTACATTCTATTTCTGATGACTCATTCCCTTGATGTTGTAACTAATAAATCTAACCTCATCACGATTACAAAATAATGGTTTTACATTTTCTTGAGTAATTTATATCGAAGAATTTTACCATTCTAGGATTAAAACCTGTCAAACTGTTCAGCTAAATAAAGCACAATAGCCTGAGAACATCAATCAACGTTATGTCACCGTGTGCTTAGTTTACATCGAACCCCCTGTTGAACAATCACACACACAGAGTAGCCTTTCCGAATGCTTACAGGTAAGAATTAAAAAAAATATATCTGCTGCTGCGCAATTCCATCAATCACTGAAAGATTTTTTAAATGCGAGTCCTTGTCATTATTTTAATGACTTTTGAATGATTTGAACAAGTTTCTTTTTGAAAAACTTCGAAATGTCTCAATTGTCTGTTTTGCACGAACAGCTTCATTGTAGAAACATATAATGTGAATGGTGTTTATGTTGTTCAGTGTATTACATTCAAAATAAGGACCTTTTTAAAAGAAAACCACAGCTCATTGAAATTAACCAGAATGATAATAGAAATATGTTGCTGAATATAAAATTAATTATCATTTTTAAACACACGATACTTTGGATTGATACTGAATTTGAAATTAGGAAAGATTTCAGTGCAGAGCATGCAAACAAACTGCCTACTCTGTTACCGACAATTAATGTCTAGAAATAATTGTCCAAATAAAAAAATATTACTTTTTCGTGGTAAAGATATTTTGCTTTTGATGTGGAGTACTGCCTAGCAATAGCTTATCAACATAAACTTTTTTCAGACTTCAATGGAAAATCAAAGAAACACATATTTCTAGGAGAGAATGATGTACTTCTCTTGTCAGTTTTCCTTTTACCGATTCATCTGATATTTACTTAATTTGCATAGTTGAGTTAAATACCTAGGAATATAAGGTCCGTTATTTGGTGACCTAGGAAGGAGGTTTTTGTGTGATCATAACAATACAGCTCCTTACTGTGGTACATTTTTCTTCCTTTAAGCTCAACTTGTACTACAGATATAAGGATTATATTCCTCCATTCTTTTATTTTCTTTTTTGGCGGTAAAATTTACCAGTGCTAATATTATGTCCATTTAGAAATCAACTTTCTCTGTTGAAAACGATTGATCTGAGTTGTTTCAAAGCATTACATTCGTAATTTAAAACATAAAACGAAGGGATAAAAACAAATTAATATTTTCTCCATTTAATTTTTTGACAAGCATAGGACAAGACAGAGTTATAGCACGAGGTTTATAAACATATCCGGAAATAAGATTAAAAATCTGTAAAACAAACTCGGCCGAACTTCCTTTTACAGAAAAGGTCATTTGAATGCGTGTTATTGTGACAATTTGAATCCTTATCACTTCTAATTAAAGTCAGCATAAAATACATATTGCTGTGTTCGTAATTTGTTTCTCTTGCGTAATTCAGTATCTTTACTTCAGTCTTTAAAGTTTGGAGAAATAAAAATAAATCTCTCAAAGGTCTCTCGGTAAACAGGCAAGCAGAATCTTTTGGGGCATTCTGAATTTTGACAGTTATTAAGTAATTTATTCATCATATGCCTTCAGTTGCAAAGTTACAAGTAAAGAATGTGTTTATCCAAAAAAAAGTTCTGGATTTTAAAGCAATATAAATATTGGTCATAATGACCTTAAATTAAGAATAATAGCTTCTATGATGACTGATTTGGTTCAACAGAAACCACAAACAAACCGAATCATCAGGAAAGACAAATTTACATAAATTTGGATACTTTAACGGGAAGTTTCACGTAAGCACCTGTTATCAAAAACACAATTCATTTGTTTGACAAAGTATCATACAGATATATGACATAAAACATAGGACTAAAAGGTACTTATATTTCGGAATGATCTCAAATTTATTATCAATGACAATGCAAGAAAATAAGCTTTTACATTTCCCGGAACTTCATTTTGAATGTTTTAGAAACTTTATTGTTTTGTGAAGGTTTAATAGGATGCAATTCTTTTGAACTTCCAATTTGAAGATAATCATGATCATGCAAAATTTATACCAGACTGAAATTCGCAAAACTTCCCCTTCCAGCATCTTATCTATTGTGTTTATTCTACATCAAATGTTCTTGAAATTAGAATTAATTTTTGCAAATTACTTCATTGTCTAAATGTTTCTTTCAGGGACTCAAAGTTTATACTTTTCAAAGAATCGAAAGTTAATAGGGAGTGTATAAAAATTAAACTGTTACCTCATTATATTTATATTATTAGCCTCTGTTACAGCTAGTATATTCAAATATGAATGATTTGAAATGTAAATTTTCATGAAATATCGATTTAACATGATTTTCAAAAGAAAATGAAATCTATTTATTATTATTACTTGTTACAAACAAAAACATTTTACTCAGTTCACAGGTAAGAATGTTTATACGCACAAAAAAATAAACGTTAATTTCTTAATTTTATTGTTTGTGTTTCCTATTAAAAGTGATCGTAACAAGCACCACAGGTGTTTAGGCTTACATTGGTACAACAAGTTCAGAATTAATTCTAAATGAGCTTAATAAATGGTGTTTCGACAAGGTGATTACTTCATAACATAAACTCTCGTTTCGAGTGCTGTATAATGAGCCAATTCATTCCGAAAGTTTTAAATTTTCTTGCCTTCATTTTGATGCATAATTTTTCAATTTTCTGAAAATTACATGCTGATTTATAGATAACTAATTTCAATCCAGTATACATGGGACGTGGTTTGTATAGCTAAATTAGAAATGATCACTTTATTTGAATACAAATGACATCAATTCAAGTGTGCTCGGTTTGTGACTTAACAGAGTGCAGTATAATATTCTTTACATTTCTTTCCAAGATGGGCATTGTAAAACTGCTCTCTTATAGTTTAGCATGAAATGTGATTTAAAGAAATATGAACAGGGTAGTGGGATATGCTTCCGATGACACAGCTGTGGGTGTATATTTCAGTGAAATTAATCTCGATGTGACTATTTGTTTTCAGTGACGACGATGATTTACACATATTTACAGACGCTGTGCCCAGTAGCTTTTTTTGCGGTGATTCTGATGTATAATCCTATAAATGGAAACCATCAAGGCTGGCTGTCTCAGGCCACGTGCCCTTGCAAACCTGCAGGGACCTTAGCAAGGACTGTTCTGAAACTATATAGAGGACTTTTTGTAAAACCCAAGGAAGTTTACAACCTTCCGGTTATAAAACCAGTTGGTGGTAGGAGTGAGCATCAAGGGAATTTAACAACATATACTGTTCACACAGTAACAAGTAAAGAGAAAAAAATACCTTCTTGCTGTAATACGTAAGTAACTACATTTTGACCTTTTTCTATTTCAATTTTATTCATTTTGCATAGCAGTTATCAAAATTGAAACATTTTTTTTAATCTTGCAACATGTAGAATTTCTGTTACAGGTTGTTGGAATTCTAAAACGAGCATTTCTGCTAAATTAAACCTTCAATTAAATTCTTGACTGACAGGTACTTTTTTCAAACTAACAAATACAGGCCACTAACTATGAACATTTTTTTTTCTTGGGAATAAATTTCAGAACATTTTGCATTCCTTGTTACTGAACAAGACTTTATTTTCAATTTTTTTTTTGTTATTCAATGAGTGTACAAGAAAAAAACATTTACACTAGGATCACGCTCATTTATCGAATCTTAAATCTATATCCATATTTAGACACAATTCATAGAGTTTGCAGGTATATGATATCAAACGAGTGCAAAATTATTTTCAGCAAGGAATTCAATGTAATATAAAACAGAATAATCACCATATTCATACAAACAAGAGGCCCATGGGCCACATAGCTCACCTGAGCACATTGGCTATGAAGAAGCAGAAATCAGTTCAGTATTGAACAGGGTGGGGGCAAACTTAATTTACACTACCTCAGGATGCTTCCATATCAATATTACTAATCATGACTTTCTTTTAAAGAGAAAAAAATACAGATTTTTTTCCTATTAATTCCTATATAAAACTCTGATTGCTCATTGTGGCCCACCCTAACCACCCTAAATTTGAACAAATTTGAATCTACACTACCTGAGGATGCTTCTATAATAATATGACTAATCATGGCTTTGCTGTTCTTGAGCAGACGATTTTTTCAAGATGGTTCCTATATATTCTTATGCAAAACTTTCGACCTTCTGTTGTGCCCCAACCCATGGGGGTCATAATTTGAACAAACTTGATTTTACAAAACCCAAGGTTGCTTCTGTATAAATATGACTAATAATGGCTTAGTTAAAGGCAGAGATTTTTTACCGGGTGGTAAATTACAGGTGAGGGAGGGGCTTATTTTGTACATGTGTGAATGCCTTGAGGGCTAGCAGACTACCTGTGGTCGTCTGTCTCCTAATCCCTATACACAGGAAGTGATTTAATACACAGTGGAGTACCTAAGAAGTCAAACTTTACCTATGTTGGGATTTTGAGATGATTTTCAGTTAGAAATAAAAAGTTGTAAATAAAGTTTAATCTGAATAATTTTTATTAATTGTAATTGAATGTGTGTCAAAGCATCCCCACCCATAACAAAAAATTAATTATCAAATTTAAATATTTGTTGAGCTTTGAAAAAAAAAGTTATACCAAATGTTGATATATATTATTATAAAGAATATCATAATTATTTTAAATACTAAAGGTGTGTATATATATTATCAAGCTAAATATTCTATAGTAATACAGCTTCTCTGAATTGTTTATACCATGTGTGGTAAATATCAAAGGATCAAATGTTAATTTGAAGGTCACCACGAGTGCCAAACAATGTGTACAGCGTATACACAGGGACTAGTAAGAAAATGTCAATCAAGTTCTAGCACCCAATGATGTACCTTAATGCACTTGATTGACAGGGGTACACAGACCAGGTATTTTGGAAGGCGGTTACCACACCCAGAACTACGATACTTGCCACTGGTGTTTATAACTTTTATACTTTTATTTTGCTCTTACTTTTAAGGTTTTCCATCCTCTATCCTCAAATGTCCATCACATACATAATACTCGGATATTAATTTAAAACATTTTACAGTAGAACAGGATTTACCAAGAGACATTTTGAAAAGCAGTAATTAATTAACAAAGATTGCATTAAAGTCTATGGAGACAAGCAATTTTTTTTAAATAAAAAACCAAATAATAAGGAGATCAATAAATACTATTGTAGAAAGATTCATTAAAACACATTAAAAAAGAATGACAATTGAAAACAGTTTTTACCAATTTATTCAAATTAAATTTTTTTCTAATTAAAAGGTAATAAATTATGACACTTCTCATCCTTATATGCTAATAGTAATAAATTGGAGTTATGTCTAAATATACTGAGTATTTAACACCTTAACATCTGTCATGTATTCAATTTCATTGAACCTTTTGCTGTTAGGGACAGAATACCTTAACTGCTTAACTGCTGATTCAACATCCAACTTCTTCAGCTAGTTTCTGAATGCCTGACTTTCCCAAAGCTTTGCCTTATATACACCCTTTGGCTAGTTCATTCCAAGGGTTGGCAGGTCATTCCACTATTTGAAGTCTTCAATGAGTTTTACTCAAATGCCCCTTAACCATTAACCCTATATATTACTATGTAAACCTTAACCCACTGTTATGGCCTCGTCCTACCCCCAGGGGTCATTATTTGAACAAACTTGATTCTACACTACCTGAGGATACTTCTGTATCAATATGACTCATAATGGCTTAGCTGTTCTTGAGAATAAAAGTTTTAAAGATATTTCCTATATATTCCTATGGTAAACTTTGACCCCCCCCCCTGCTGTGGCCCTGCCCTACCCCTGGGGGTCATGATTTGAACAAACTTGAATCTACACTACCTGAGGATACTTCTATTATGATATGACTAATCATACCTTTGCTGTTCTCGAGAAGAAGATTTTTTAAGACATTTCCTATATTTTCCTATATAAAACTTTGACCGCCCTACCTCTGGGGGTTATGATATGAAAAAACTTGAATCTATAGTATGGAATGAAGCTTTCACATAAGTTTCATCTTCTTTTGCCCAGTGGTTTTTGAGATTTTTAAACGATGCCACCAAATTTTCACGAATTCTTAATTATCTTCCCTTGAAAGAGGGTCTGGCACTTCCTGTAAACAAACCTTAATTCTCTGCACCCAAGGATGCTTTGTGGCAAGTTTGGTTGAAATTTGCCAGTGGTTCTTGAAAAGAAATCGAAAATGTGAAAAGTTTACAGACGGACGTTGGACACTCTTTGATCAGAAAAGCTTACTTGACCCTTCGGCTCAGGTGAGCTAAAAAACCGTTAAAGATATTTCCTTTTATATATCTGCAATTAGAAATTCTTTGATACTTAACTCTTAGTGTATATCTCAATTTCAGAGAATATGCATTCGAGATATTTAATAAAACTGACTTCAATAAGAGAATATTGAAAGTGGTTCATTTTCAAAATGCCTATCAGTTTGTTCCCACTGGAATCTGTCCGTAAGTATCCAGTTGAAACTCACCAGTATAAAACTCTTTCATTTTTACTCTTAAAATGACTGACAAAATTAGGTTACTTTTTTTTAAACAAACCAACTACCTTTTGGCAAAAGCATCATGTAATATATTTTATAGCATAAAGCTTTTGCTTTACGATAAAAAATTAATTGTTCCAAAATATATTTGACAATTTATCTCTAGCATATTTGCAGGGAATGAAATTGCATTTTTTTTTAATTTAATTTCAGACCAAAGACAAAATGTGGACAAGGAGATTGTATCCAGAGATATCGCCATCATTGGCTTCTTGTATGGGACGATACACTGCAGCATTACCCCCCAGTGACATTTATTCCGGTAGAAATCCCCTCTCATTGTGAATGTGCCAATGTCGGGTCGTAGGATACACGCCCGTTAAAATTTTGGCAGAAAACGTAGTGAGCTAAATGCCTTAAATAAGTCTTACCCTTTATGGCACTAGAATTCATTATGATTTCTCTATTTTTGTGCTTTATACGATAGACTATGTCGTGTCTCAATGTTATAAAAGCGTGGTTACGTGCAAAAAAAAGTTCAAAGGTTTTCAAAATACAGGTGTATTTTAATGTGTCTACGGACAGTAAATCCGGTGTTAAATATATATACATATATAAATATGTTTATATTAATGTGTATCTTGTTTCCTCGGAAATGAAGAGGAACTCAAACTGCAAATTTTATATTATTTTTTATGCATATGTCATATAATTCCTTTTTGTAGCGTGCCATCATAATTTTTATGCAAATATTAAGATAGCGCTGAATTCGCTAGAGAAACTAAAATCGATATTAATTCTATCTGATGTTTATGTATCCATGTCAGAAAATTGATTTCTGCAACTAATTGTACTCATAGATGTTTTGATGGAATTTTAAAAATATGATGCAAATGTCACACAAGTAATCTACAAATAAAATTCCTGGTTTAGGTTAAAATCTGCTGAAATATTGCAAGCAAAGAGCTGATACTCTACTACAAACAATAACCTTGTCACAGTTTATCAACTCCGATATCTTATTCTCTTTATTTTAAATTAGCCTATATAAACAGTGACTCTAATACATTATTTGGGATCAGGCTTTAAGGCATATTTTGAAACATGACACTTCTAAGGAACACCTTTGATTCCAATTAGACGTAATGATTGTACTTAATTCTAATAAATCCTAATATAGGTTACACCAGATGTTTCCATAATTTAAGCTTGACATCATTACAACCTACGTTCTTTTCATTATCATGTCCATATTAGCTCTTTAGGAATAAGCTAATCTGCGAAATATAGCAAAATGGCAATGGTTTACAAAACCACAATGTACTCAGTTTTCATTATTGCTTTCAAAAAAGAGGGAGCGTAGAAATTAATAATAAGATCAAATTTAGGTGGAGTAAATTTCTTCCAAATGAAATTTCATAATTTAATTATTTTTTTATTTTTTTTTTTATTTTTTTTTTTTATTTTTTTTTTTTTTGCTGTTGGCCATTTACATGTACTTTGTGATGTGTTGGTAAGATTTCAAGAATAAAATGTTTTTGATAGCTTGCATTAAATGTAGAATAAGACTTATCCTTTCGTAAATGAAATATGAAATTCAGATAGATAAGGATATGTGAATTTGTATGGAATATTTTTTTTGGATTTAGTATGTTTTTCCTACATGAAGAAACCTACTGATATATCAAATTTAAAAAGCTTTATTCATTGTCAACAAATTAGTCAAAAATTTAAAAGAATGTTAACACAACTGGCTTTGGAGTAACTTAAGCGTGTCATTTTTACAAAAGAAATACATGTAGTAGAGAAATTGTAAAATTGTATGCCATCAACAACACAATGGTTCCCAAGGTGTGTAACATTTTAAAATTAATACAAAACTTCAGGAAAATAGTACTATCGCTAGCCCTTTGGAAATAATGTGTTTGAAATCCATTCTTCCTATTCTGATTTTGCAAATCAAATTGTCCGTTTGTTTTGTTTTATTGGTCCAGATTTCATTCTACAAGCTTAAGTGTGAACGGTGACGATAACGAACAGTGATCAATCTCATAAATCCAACAGAAAATACAAACCGTGAACAGGACAAAACATGGACCCTTGGAACAACAGAGTTGGGATCAGGTGCCTATAGGAAGTAAGCATCCCGGTCACACCCGCCGTTTGCCCTATATATTGATCAGGTAAATGGAATTATCCGTAGTCAAATTTAGTATAAAGACAAAGACCTAACAATTGACAAGAAACATGTCCAACAAAATTTCACCCTTTGATAGGTTGTATTTGCAGACAAGGTCATGAAAGCGACCATAGAATTTGCAAAAAGTTGACTTTTAACGAGATTGTTGAAATTCTTGTAACATCAACTTATTTATCAGTAGCGTATCTAGGTTTCAAAACTGACTGTACTCATATCATGCTCTTCCGTTTCGAATCAGTTGTGAAAAATATTGTTGGAATATTACTACATAAATAAGGGAAACTGACGATGGAAAAGCTGCATGAAGTAATCCCGTTTATCATACAGTTTATCCATTATTTGGCCATTATCGTCTATAGTCAGTGAAACATCCAAATGTGAAACAGATGTAGTAGACTCTGTATATGTGAGGTGTCATTAATTTAGAGTTCACTGGGATATATCCAGTCGACATATGAACGGAAGTAAATATTGTTAATTGATAAATGTCGTCGTAATATCTAATTGTTAATTTAAGGCCACAGAAAAGAGTTTTTTTTTCTTCTTTTGTATAAAAGTGATAAAAGTAAGTTATTTAAATAGGTACATTTTTCACAGGACTCAATCTATGCTAGTAGAAATCATCCTTTGACTTTAGTTCTTTTCTTTGTTAAAATCTTTTTTTTTATTTTATTTTACATGTATTAGTTACATGCTTATGAAAATTCAACCTTCACTTGTGCATATAAATAAAGGAAGGGGGTTAGTTAAAGTTTTTGTTTGTTTTTTTTTCAAAACATGGCAAGGTATAACCAATATAATGCAAAGCTGAAAATGGCATATGGTGGTTATAACATTTTTGTTAAATCATAAATCAGTCCATATAATAGCAATCCTCTTTATGTTCTTTTATGAAATTAGATTAAAACCCTCTTGACCTTCCAATAAGAGCGACATTACTCAGTAAGACAAAATAGACATGGCATATCCCCACTAAACACCTGTTTGCCAATTAAGTTTCGATTGTACATGTACATGTATTATACAGTTTGATTTATGCGGAGAAAAAGGAGACCCTGACACCATTCTTATGATATATTGTAGAATACTGGACATTAATACTTCATCAAGACCAGTATGTAATTATACACTGACATGTTAAAGACTTCAAATCTGTTCTTAGAGCACATATTTCAAAATTACTGACAAGGTTAGAACCCATAATAAAAAGCTTCATGCAATTTGAAAGTTTAGGGTGCTTTGAATTGACGTTTATCTTTTAGTTGTGACTTGCGTAAAAGAATATGACTCTCTAAATTAACCTCTTTCTTAATTGTTTTTAGAACCATTGTATTTAATTTCTATGTGATTAAATAAAATATTTATTATGAATGATACATACAGATATATGGAAATGTGGAATTTTAGAAGCCAAATTTATTTTTCTGAAGTTACTGTATATATAACGTTAACCATGCGAATATCATCTTTAGGCACAAATAAGGACGCCCATTTCTTATAATTACATATAACAGATAATTACAACAATGACATCGATAAGAAATGAAGCTTTTTAGGTTCTAAGGGATACTAGCTGACATTTTCCATCATTATGTATCATCCAATCTGCTATTTGGGGTTCGGTGTTCTAAAACCTGATAATATTGCAACTTCCCAAACATCGCAAACAGAGGTATTTACAGTGTATGTAAAGACTTTAAATAATGTTTGTACATAAATATTGACTCGGATGAGAGAGAAGAAATTGTGTATTTTACTTTAAAAGTTGAGCATGCAACCTTTGAATGATCAGAATTTGTGTTGTTAATCTGTATTGATTTTCGGCCCTCGTAATGTTAATTCTTTTAAAAAATATGTGGTTTGGGGATACAAGTCTTGGATTGAAGCTTAGTTGACCAAATACTCATAACATATTTATTAAATCTGTGTATTTTAAAATGTATTTTAAAATATGTATAATTTGTTTATTCTTTCAAATATTAGAAGACAAGATAACCTTGGAAACAAAGATATATTTAATGCTTAGTCTTGTAAGAAAGGTACATAATATCCATAAGCTCTGTTAAAATTTAGACAAATGCTATATATAAGATAAATTTAGCGCCATTGCAGGAAAAAGTATTTTAAAGTTTCTTTTCGTCGTTTCTCATAGTAACAGAGAAACATTTACCGGTAGATGTTTAAATTGTTAAATGTGAGGCATTGTGAGCATAATTATACGTGAACCTAACCTTAAGCATCCAAGACAGACGATTAAATACTGCAATATACAAGCTGGTTTTTGTGATTATGGATGTTACCCAGGACAGGCTCTTTAAACTTCCATGTGTGTCGGATGACATTAATTCTGATCCAACCCGTCGGTTCCTTAAACTTAATTTAATTTGCCAACAATTGAATAGATGCTGTGAACATATGTAACATTCTTATTCATAAGAAAGATCAGTATTGTGCTCGACCATATTTCAAGTTGAAGTCTACATCCTGCATTTACTACAGATATTCCCAAACTGTTGCTTCCAAGCTTTTTAATTAAAAAAAAACTTTACAGTGGTTTGATATTAAATATGTGTTCCTATTCGTCTTTTAACTACAATCCTGCTTGATACGTCATTATCAGTTATGTTAATATAGTTGTTAATATAGTTGAAAATGACGATCTAAAAGCAATCATTGTAAAAGGTCCTAAATACAGGGACCCTGATCTTTCCAATGGCGACAGCACTTCATTTCTATCATGAATTATGTCGAAGAATATGCCAGACGTTGGGTATATGAAAGGGAAGAGCTGAACATTCAGTAGAATGGATCAGTGTTTTAGAAATATATTAAAGAATTGTACTAGAAAGTTAAAAGGCAATATGCGAACCTTCCTTTACTAAATTGGAGGTGATAAAAGAAATAGAAGGACTATATGAACAATGTAACAATGTAACATGGTTCCAGCAGACAAAGCTTGTAACAACACTGTCTTTGTTTGTAATACTTATTAATATAATTGTAGTTTAGAAAAACTTGGTTTTAATTAATTCCACGTCTGGAAACCTAACTTATACCCATAGTTCACTTTCTAAAGAGAAATTCTTCAAAATCACTTTACAGTCTTAAATACTTTTAACATTCCAGTCAACCAAGGTGAGTTTGATCTACCCTACCTACACTTGAACCCTTTATTCATAAAAATCCTTGCAAACAAAGATACATTACAGGGTCCAGCCCCCTATCTTCACTTCTCACAAAATTATTTACTGCTGTGAAGGAGGAACTTTAGACGTATTGCCCTACAGTATATTCTAGAAGTGGTGTAAATCAGGTGTGGATTTTCAAAACTCCAAAGAACTTTTAGAAACTTTAGTTTCACCAAATTTTCAAAAGTCAGTAACATCGAACTTTCCTACATTTTATACAACAATTCCTCGCGAAAAATTAAAAATAAGGCTTTTTGATATCATGGAAAATTGCTTCTTCAATAAAAACGGATCTCGGAAATTTTCATATCTTGTGATTAGTCATCATCAAAATTAATTACTATTCGTTATCTCAATATTTCATTAGTTAAAAATCACAAGTACACACAAGTACTCTGTAGTTGATATTAAAGGATACTGGAGTTCCTCATTGATAACATCTTGTAGTCTTTGGAGACCAAGTCTTGAAGACCAGTTCCTATCAGCCAACATATTTCAAATATTATTATAAAGCAAAATAAAATTTATTTAAATACTTCTAAATCTTTATTAAGTAGAAGAAAACACTTTCCGTGATCTTCAATTTCGTTAATATATATCGACGACGTTTTATCACTTAACAATAATGACTTCTATTTATATGTCGACCCGATATATCGCAGTGAACTCGAAATAAAAGATAGAACAGAGTCTGAGACATCTGTTTTATATTTGGATGTTTTACTGACTACAAACGACAAAAGCCTACCAACAACTAAATTTCACGACAAACCAGTTGACTTCATCTTTTCCATCGTCAACTATCTTTATTTAGTAATATTCCGTTGTCTCCCAACTTAATATACCTATACTCAGAGACATATAAAATGTCTCTGCTATACTCAAGACCATGCTCTGAGTACGATCAATTTTTAAACCAAGATAGGCTATTGACAAAAAAGTTAATGTTACAGGGATTTCAACAACCTCCTTTAAAGTCAGTATTTCGTAAATTCCATGGTCGTTAAAATGACCTTGTTAGCAAATAATAGCTACTGGTTGTATTTTGGCTGACTATTCCATACCAGTTGATAGGCCTTATACTAAATTTGACCACGCAATATTGATCAATTCATAGTGCTCACGGCAGGTGTGACCGATCGACAAGAGTTTCTTACTTCTTCTATGCACTTGACTGCACTTCCGGAATTTCCGTGTTTTATGCCCTTTTTGAGATGAATCACTGTTCATTATCTTCACCGTTACCTGGTTATTTTACAATATCTTCACAAAATTATACTCAGATGAAAGAGATCTTTGATGTCCTCTGAATATGATTGAACGTTGTATTTGTTTTTAAAATAAGAGTGTGTAAATGTTAGGGAGATATCAAACCAACAACAAGTTTACATGAACTAAGGACATAAATACTCATTTCATTTAGTAGACAATGCTGTACAAATAAGAATTGGAATGGAAATCATCAGGCATGACACTCCAAAAGGCGGAATTGTATATATATATATATATATATATATATATATATATATATATATATATATATATATATATATATATATATATATATATATATATATATATATATATATATATATATTCATACGTGAATTTTGTCAGTAAGGATGGAACACGTGTCACAATGAACTATGCCAAACAGAAGCTATAAAATTAGAGTGACTTTAATAGAAATGGAATTTACTCAAACTACCTTTTATTTAACTCTCATAATATGAAAAATCGGTTAGTTTGAAATGACTTTCATTTGCCCTACAAAACTGATAGTTTTAAGAAAAATCGTTTAGACTGAAATCGATTAGATTGAAAAACTCTGTTATTTTGAAGTACTTTTGAGGCCCGCTGAACACAAAGTATGTTGTTTTGATAATGGTTACATTGAAATCGCCAAATGCGAAGTGTGGACAGTCAAAAATTACAGACTTCTTTGAAAAATAGAGAGATATTTCTAAAACACTGCATGGAATGTTATATGCAAAAAAATAAATAAATAAATAAATAAATTCTCGAACTTATGTTGTATCAAGTTTTTTTTTCTACATGTAATCATCATTTTTTTTTATCATACCTACAATATACATGACACAGGGATATATTGAAATTCGGGTAATTTGAAATAAATCTCAAGGCCCCTTTAATTTCAATGTAAACGAGTCTGACTGTAGTTGTTTTTGTTTATTCCAAATCAGTCGTTGTTTTCTATTTCAAATCTAAATTATGTTCAAATTAAATTGTTCACAAACTTAGTTGTTCTAAAAGTGAAGTGTAGCTGTGCTTACTTTTGTTTATTGTCAGTGCATGATTCACGAATCTAAATCTGACAGGAAAAAAAAGTTTTCATAAGATTACACTTACAGAAAATTGAGCCAACGTCCTACTTTAAGAGAAGATAGACGTGTATTCATTTCGTAACAAATCTCTGCAATTTAATATCAATAAACAATGTCAATAACAGCTAGTTTAAAACTTAATTTGACTAAATTATCCTAGAAATCTTAGGTAAGTTAGAATTTCTAATCAATAGGTAAAAAATATTTCATACTTTGTTAGTGGCAATTTTATTGCGCTTGAAATACTGCTTGAATTTTATGTTTTTCCTGAAGCAGACAATGTGTGTAGTCTACCAAAAAAATCCCATGTAATACCGCTTCCTTTAAAGTTGATTTATGCTTTGAATTTTTTTCCCGGTTATTGCTTCATATGAATAAAAAATGTGTTAGTTAAAGAAGCTACTTACAGTTTTGGGACTGGAGCTTCTATTTTCGAGGAGTAATTCTGTACAGATATAAACATGTACTTCTCTATCAAAGACGGTACTATTCTCTTTGAATTATAGATTTTATCACTGACATGAAAAGGCATTAAATAAAAAAAAAATGAAAGCAAGAGACGTATTCTAAAGGTCTGAATGTTAAAATGGCTCACAAATGAGAAGTGCATGTAAAATCTAATACAGATATATCTTTAAGGCTTATAATTTGTTCTTTTTCAGTGTATTTTATGCTAAGTCTCACAGTGGACTCTGCTTTACCCTCGCCTGTAACGAAGACTTCCCGCTCTCTAACTTTTGGAATGCACATTAAATGAGTCCCAAACACGCCCCTGATAGACCCTGGACAGGAGTTCATATTTGATAATTTACCAGTTTATGTTGTCATCTCAATAGTCAGGTGTAAATAATGCAAATGCACAGGATGTTAGTATAGTACATTTCAATTTTCAAATGACATCTTTTCTTAAAACTTCCTTGCCTTGATTATTGTGTGTAACTTTTCAGTTTCTAAAAACCATATGCAGATTTACAGGTACATGGCTTGTACAGTAAAATAAGAAATAAAACTTTAATTTAATGCAAGTGTAATCAAATCGAGTGTTCCACCGTTTGTGGCTCTACGTTGTGAGGTGTGATAAGTCTCGCGGTTGTTTTCCGGGCCTGGCTTAAAGATTGACAGTAATGGTTTTCTCTCTTATGATTTGCATGAAATGTAACTAACATTAATTTGATCAGAGAGAATTTTTTTTATGCGTAATAATTGCTTCCTTCTGTTGGTATATATATTTCAGTGGAATAAAAAAAGAATGTGACGAATTATTTTAAGTGTAGGTGATGATAATCACATATTTACAGACACTGTTCCCACTAGCATTTTTTGCTGTGATTCTGATGAACAATCCTATAAATGGAAACCATCAAGGCTGGCTGTCTCAAGCCAGTTGCCCTTGCAAACCCGCGAGGACTTTAGCACAAACTATTCGGAAACTTTACAGAGGACTTTTTGTGAAACCCACGGAAGTGTACCATCTTCCGGTCATAAAACCAGTTGGTGGTAGGAGTGAACTTCAGAGAAATTTAACAACATATACTGTTCACACAGTTACAAATCAAGGGAAAGAATCACCGTCATGCTGTAATACGTAAGTAACCCTGATTTATATTTCTGGAAATGCTATTCATACATATTAAATATAGAATTGCTTCCATTTCTAAACCTTGGAGATTGGTCATCTGATTTTACTTTCCTCCCGAATAAGGAATAGCAGTTAATTTCTTTCACCACATATGACCAGAAGTTCTATTCCAGGGCTCCACTTAAGGGCATGTTCTAAAATAGAACACATTAAGTCAAAAAAGCACGTCATTTTTGCAGAGAAATACAATACACTAAAAATAAACCTATTGTAATTATGGAGCAAATTTCTCTAATATAAATTACAAAGATCATTAGTTAGTTGAATATGTATTACTTCACACCACACTCTCTTGATCCCTGTGGAGCCAAATGCAAAAGAAGTAGTTTAACTAAAAAAAAACTTCCCTGCTTTAATTTTTGGAGAATAACCTGTTAGAAATGAACATGATTAATTTTATACTATGTATCAAATAAAATAGATACTTTACAGAAAAGTGTTTACTCTGTGAGCCCAATTGCCCTCCTATCACCAAACATTTAGTAAAACCACATTTAAATAAATGTATTTTAAAAATACACACTTGATATACAGAATCTAACTATAATCAAAAGAACTTGAATGCTAAGAACATTTTATTTAATGGCTAAATTATGTTAGATTGTGTTTGTGATCAAAACTTAATCAGTTTCAGTTAACTACTTACTTAACTACAGTATCAGTTAACTAATTACTGTAAAATTTAATACGAGCACTATATTAAAGAATTTTTGTAAAGTGTTGTTCCAAAAATTTCAATTTCTAAAAATATTAACGGATCTTTAAATTAGAGAAAAAGTGATGAAATAGGAAATAGCGTCATAATTGCAAAACGCAAAAGTTAATTCATTTGAAAGTCACGATCTCTGTTGGAAGTGTATAAAGAGTCCCAAACACGGATATCTTAAGTTGATCCATTTTCAACGAAGTTAAACACTCGAGAGTATTGACGGTGAAATATATTGCTTTTAATTTAAAAATTTCTGAGCACATGTTCTTTTTCCTTTTTTTGAATAGAAAATAAAGCTGTGTGTAAATCATATTTATCATATGAAATATCATATAAAATAGTTAAAACATTGTTTTAAACAGTGATATTGTTTTGTTGATTACTCTTAAAGTTCTATTTAAAAGTATAATATAAAAATCTTAAAAACAGAATGGAATGTGTGTCAAATATGATGGAATAACTTTAAAAAATCATATCAGAAAATGTATAACACGATATTACAAAAATCATTTAAATTTTATATTCAAGACTTTAAAATACGATTCATTGATATCTGACACGGTATAAACCGTTTACTAGCCGTAAATAAACTTTAGAGATTTTTTATTAACTGAAATACACGGTGAACCAAGATTAGTGCCAATTCAGTCATTATCTTTGTCAAAAAGTTTTTTTTAAGTAGGGAAGAAATATTTTCTTAAGGATATAAATACATTCGAATACATAACAGCTAACTCTTCCTAGGCACCTGATTCTACCTCCGTCTGAAATTTCCAGGGGTCTGTGGTTTTGCCCTGTTCACAGATTTGTACTGTTTGTAGGTTTTTTGATACAGATCACTGTTCGTTAGGTCCACCTATTTCATTTCACAAATTTTATTTCATAAACATTTCTATGTTTGTTCATTTCAGAGAGTATGCCTTCGAAATATTTAACTACACTAACTACAATATGAGAACACTCAAAGTGGTTCACTTACCAGATGCTTTTCAGTTTGTCCCCACCGGAATTTGTCCGTAAGTCATACCTGGGGATGTCCATAATTGTACTAATGACACGTTATGAGGACATTAATAATATTGATATGATAAAAATACGTTATTTATTATTATTTTTATTATTATAATTAAGGTCTTCCGTTCCAGACGGAAGACCTTATAGTGATTGTACTGTTTATTAAGGTCTTCCGTTTCAGACGGAAGACCTTATAGTGATTCTACTGTTTCTTTTTATTATTATTTTTTTTTTCCCCTTTTCTTGTCGGAGCGTTTTCTCAGAGATGGCTGGACGGATTTTCTTGAAATTTTCAGGGGTGATAGAGAATGAAAATACCCCTAGGCGTTTTTTTCATTTTTTCAAAATTCACTTCCGGTCGTCAGATATGTCCGATTTCCGTTTTTTTCAAAAATATTTTGTCCCAGTCATATCTCAGAAAAGGTAAGAGATTAAGACACCAAACCTATACGGTTAATAGATCTTGAGGAGTAGGCAAAACCATTTGGGTTAAGAGCGTCAGCCGTCACTTCCGGTCGTCACAGGAAGTGATCAAAGAAATCGAAATTTTCAACTTTTCTTTTTTGATTTTTTTCTTTCATTACATTGTTGCATCTTATTTGTAGATTCGAAATATGTTAGTCTTACCGGAACCAAAAACGTCAACTTCCGGCTATAAGTGAAAAACTGCATAATTTGAGTATTTTACTTTCCCATAAATATTTTTTATACATAATGTATTTGAACTGATTTTTGAATATGTTATCAAGACTGCAAATGTCTAGAGTAACGTCAAATATCTTTGTAAAATTCACTTCCGGTCGCGCGTTTAAATGTCCGCAAAATGAGAACTTGTCCGAGTGAGATCTCAGAAACGGTAAGAGATTTAGACACCAAACTGATAAGAGTATTAAACCTTGAGAAGTAGACAAAACAATTTGGCTTAAGAGCGTCAGTCGTCACTTCCGGTCGTCACAGGAAGTGACCAAAGAAATAGAAAATTTCAAATTTTCTCTTTTGAAATAAGACTTGCATCATATAATTGTATCTTTTTCACAGTTACGAGATGTCTTGGTTCCACCGGAAACAAAAAACGACAACTTCCGGTTTTAAGAGAAAAACTACATAATAGGGGTTTTGAATTTTCCCCAACATATCGCTTATAGATAGAGTTCTTTAAATGATTTTTATATATGTTATTGAGACTGCAGTTGTCTAGATTGACATGAAATATCTTAATAAAATTCACTTCCGGTCGCGTGTTTTCTTGTCCACAAAATGAAAAGTTATTTCAGCGAGATCTCGGAAACGGCATGAAAGTAAAACACCAAACTTGTAGGAGTAATAAAACTTGGTGAGAAGGCAAAACACATAGGGTTAAAAGCGTCAGCCGTCATTTCCGGTCATCACAGGAAGTGATCAAAGAAATCGAAAATTTCAACTTTTCTTTTTAAAATTAAAATTTTCATCACTTTATTGCTTCCCTTTCGCTGTTTTAAAATATGTTAAATTCCACCGGGAAAAAACTTTAAACTTCCGGTTTTAAAAGATAAACTACGTTATTTCGTGGTTTAGCTTTCTCATAAATATCACTTATAGATAAGTAATTGAAATGTTTTTTTGTTTTTTTTTTTTTACATATGCTGTAGATACTGCAAAAGTCAAGAGAAAATTCAGAGATTTTTATTCAGTTCACTTCCGGTCGTGTGTTTTCTTGTCCTCAAAATTAGAATTTGTTCTCACAATTGTTCGGCAACAGTAAAAGACTGAACTCTAAAACTTTCAGGACTTATAGTCAGTCATCAGTTCATTTGCTTGGTGTAAAAATCGTGTGTCGTCATTACTTCCGGTCGTGAGAGGAAACGAAGCAAAAAAGTATTTTTTAAGTTATTTTGTTTCTACATAAGTTTTAGGCTAATACCGACGTTGGAAAAGACATGTTCATGCAAACAGGAAGTCGTATAACGGAAGACCTTCTCATTACTAGTAATGAGTTTCTAGTATTCTTAATATTATTGTATAGACGAAATTTGGTAAAGGACTATGTCCGCTCCATTTCTCCAGAACAGCTTAAGATATGAAAGTTATCTCTGTCAGATATCATAGATAATGACTTGTAGATGTCACCATGGACATTTTCTCCGTCGTCAATACTTCCGGTCGTCACAGAAAGTGGATTAAAAAGTCGATTTTTTCAATTTCTTCGTCTTTCTAACTTCTTTTCTCTGTAATATTCATAGGGTAAGTAAAGGCCCCTCTTTGAAGATTTTACGTATTACCAGTTTCTTGATAGGATTAAGAAGGAATAAAATATCTTCCAATATCTTAGAATTTCCGACAACGTAGGACCAACGTTTCTTAAACACTACAAAGTATTGATTTTTTCGCCGTATATATAGTTTGCGGGGAGTGCTCACTGCTCATTCACGTAGGAGGAGGTGTAGAAGTAACACCTACCTGGTGATTGAGATAGGCCAGAGAAACCTTCCTGTTGCCATGGAAACGAGTTTATATTGAATAAAAACGATTGTATATGATGTATATCATGTGTGCGCATTTTATTCACCCCGCTTTTTTTTTTTTTTTGGTCAACTATAGAAGACATTGTGATCTTTACCGACACCCCCCCCCCTCTTTCTCTTTTCCGCTTTTATGTTTGGGATTCTTAATAAAATGACCTTGACCTTCATATTACAAACAACTCTTCTTGAAGTTTTCAAAATGATAAAGCTTTATTCTTTCTACAATATAATGGTAATTTACATGTTTATGTTCAAGACCCCCCCCCCCTTCCTCGAAGCAACCAGGTACAGTACGCAGATAAAAATTTTACAACTTATAAGGAACGTCTTAAGAGTTTCATTAATAAAACTCAGTTCCCCTGATGTGATTTGATATTTTGTTACCATTCATTCTTCTTCTGTTTTGTCTATAGAATTTATAATTATTTTATTTAGAATTAATTTATCTTTAGAAAGTAGTGATTGTCAGCTGCATTCATTAGCATTTCGCGTTTTCTTCTATATCTATTACTTGCATATTAATAATTTCATTAAATAATATTTAAAAGTATTAAAACTTCATTTCTATTAAATTTTATTCATTTGTAAATCCTTGGATCCGCTCCTGCAGGTGCGCGAAAGCCTCATCACTACTGTAAACAAATTATTCATCACGCCGAAAATGTTCATGATTCCGCTAAACTAAGAAAGTTTACACATAGTTTTTCATCTCATAAACAACCATCAGCCCTGTCCAATGCAGAAATGCTCGAATTGAAGGGGAAAATTCAGGAATTGTTTTGCGTCAGCCATGTTTTGACGTGAACCTTATACGGCAATCTGTTATTAAGGTCTTCCGTTTCAGACGGAAGACCTTATAGTGATTCTACTGTTTCTTTTTATTATTATTTTTTTTTCCCCTTTTCTTGTCGGAGCGTTTTCTCAGAGATGGCTGGACGGATTTTCTTGAAATTTTCAGGGATGATAGAGAATGAAAATACCCCTAGGCGTTTTTTTCATTTTTTCAAAATTCACTTCCGGTCGTCAGATATGTCCGATTTCCGTTTTTTTCAAAAATATTTTGTCCCAGTCATATCTCAGAAAAGGTAAGAGATTAAGACACCAAACCTATACGGTTAATAGATCTTGAGGAGTAGGCAAAACCATTTGGGTTAAGAGCGTCAGCCGTCACTTCCGGTCGTCACAGGAAGTGATCAAAGAAATCGAAATTTTCAACTTTTCTTTTTTGATTTTTTTCTTTCATTACATTGTTGCATCTTATTTGTAGATTCGAAGTATGTTAGTCTTACCGGAACCAAAAACGTCAACTTCCGGCTATAAGTGAAAAACTGCATAATTTGAGTATTTTACTTTCCCATAAATATTTTTTATACATAATGTATTTGAACTGATTTTTGAATATGTTATCAAGACTGCAAATGTCTAGAGTAACGTCAAATATCTTTGTAAAATTCACTTCCGGTCGCGCGTTTAAATGTCCGCAAAATGAGAACTTGTCCGAGTGAGATCTCAGAAACGGTAAGAGATTTAGACACCAAACTGATAAGAGTATTAAACCTTGAGAAGTAGACAAAACAATTTGGCTTAAGAGCGTCAGTCGTCACTTCCGGTCGTCACAGGAAGTGACCAAAGAAATAGAAAATTTCAAATTTTCTCTTTTGAAATAAGACTTGCATCATATAATTGTATCTTTTTCACAGTTACGAGATGTCTTGGTTCCACCGGAAACAAAAAACGACAACTTCCGGTTTTAAGAGAAAAACTACATAATAGGGGTTTTGAATTTTCCCCAACATATCGCTTATAGATAGAGTTCTTTAAATGATTTTTATATATGTTATTGAGACTGCAGTTGTCTAGATTGACATGAAATATCTTAATAAAATTCACTTCCGGTCGCGTGTTTTCTTGTCCACAAAATGAAAAGTTATTTCAGCGAGATCTCGGAAACGGCATGAAAGTAAAACACCAAACTTGTAGGAGTAATAAAACTTGGTGAGAAGGCAAAACACATAGGGTTAAAAGCGTCAGCCGTCATTTCCGGTCATCACAGGAAGTGATCAAAGAAATCGAAAATTTCAACTTTTCTTTTTAAAATTAAAATTTTCATCACTTTATTGCTTCCCTTTCGCTGTTTTAAAATATGTTAAATTCCACCGGAAAAAAACTTTAAACTTCCGGTTTTAAAAGATAAACTATGTTATTTCGTGGTTTAGCTTTCTCATAAATATCACTTATAGATAAGTAATTGAAATGTTTTTTTGTTTTTTTTTTTTTACATATGCTGTAGATACTGCAAAAGTCAAGAGAAAATTCAGAGATTTTTATTCAGTTCACTTCCGGTCGTGTGTTTTCTTGTCCTCAAAATTAGAATTTGTTCTCACAATTGTTCGGCAACAGTAAAAGACTGAACTCTAAAACTTTCAGGACTTATAGTCAGTCATCAGTTCATTTGCTTGGTGTAAAAATCGTGTGTCGTCATTACTTCCGGTCGTGAGAGGAAACGAAGCAAAAAAGTATTTTTTAAGTTATTTTGTTTCTACATAAGTTTTAGGCTAATACCGACGTTGGAAAAGACATGTTCATGCAAACAGGAAGTCGTATAACGGAAGACCTTCTCATTACTAGTAATGAGTTTCTAGTTATTATTATTATTATTATTATTATTTTCCCCTTTTTTTGTCGGCAGGATTTCTCAGAGATGACTGGATGGATTTTCCTGAAATTTTCAGGGTTGATAGAGAATGAAAATACCTCGAGGCGTTTTTTTTCATTTTTTCAAAATTCACTTCCGGTCGTCATATATGTCCGATTTTCGTTTTTTTCAAAAATATTTTTTCCGAGTGAGATCTCAAAAACGGTAAGAGATTAAGACACCAAACTGATACGAGTAATAGATCATGAGGAGTAGGCGAGCCCATTTGGGTTAAGCGTGTCAGCCGTCACTTCCGGTCGTCAGAGGAAGTGATCAAAGAAATCGAAAATTTCAAATTTTCTTTTTTTAATTTTTTTTTTGCATCACATTATTGCATCTTGTGTGTAGTTTCGAAATATGTCAGTCCCACCGGAAACAAAAACGACAACTTCCGGTTAGAAGAGAAAAACTACATAATTTGAGTATTTTACTTTCCCTTAAATATCTTTTATAGATTAAGTATTTGAAAAGATTTTTAGACATGTTATTCAGACTGCAAATGTCTAGAGTAACGTCAAAAATCTTAGTAAAATTCACTTCCGGTCGCGTGTTTTTCCTGTCCTCAAAATGAAAAGTTATCTCAGCGAGATCTCGGAAACGGCAGGAGATTAAGACACCAATCTTTAATGAGTAAGAGACCTTGAGGAGTAGGCAAAACACATAGGGTTAGACGCGTCAGCCGTCACTTCCGGTCGTCACAGGAAGTGATCAAAAAATTGAAAATTTCAACTTTTCTTTATAAAATTAAAACTTGCATCACTTTATTGCATCTCTTTCGTGTTTTAAAATATGTTTGATTCCACCGGAAACAAAAACTGTAAACTTCCGGTTTAAAGAGATAAACTACATTATTTCGATGTTTAGCTTTCTCATAAATATCACTTACAGATAAGTATTTGAAATGTTTTTTTTTATATACATATGCTGTAGATACTACAAATGTCATGAGAAAATTCAGAGATTTTTATTCAATTCACTTCCGGTCGTGTGTTTTCCTGTCCCCAAAATTAGAATGTGTTCTCACAATTGCTCGGTAAGAGTAAAAGACTGAAGTCTAAAACTTTCAGGACTTATAGTCAGTCATCAGTTCATTTGCATCGTGTAAAAATCGTCTGTCGTCATTACTTCCGGTCGTGACAGGAAATGAAGCAAAAAGTATTTTTTTAAGTTATTTTGTTTCTACATCAGTTTAAGGCTTATACCGACGTTGGAAAAGACATGTTCATGCAAACAGGAATTAGTATAACGGAAGACCTTCTCATTACTAGTAATGAGTTTCTAGTTATTATTATTATTATTTTGTTGTTGTTGTTGTTGCCTTACAGTTTTAAAATATTTAGGAATATTTAATACATGAATATTACTTTATCTTATGCGTGGAGAATTGGTGCATATTTGTATAGTGTAAGAATGGCTTCACGTCAAATTTTTAAAAGATAGATTTCAATCCATATAATAAAAACATTAATTTATAAATGGCGTTTTATTGTGATACTTTTTACATCAACTTCTCATTAATAAAATTTGGTTCAATTTTAAATTGAAAAAAAGGTAAATGACTACCAAAATAGACGTTCAAAACTTCTGTTGACGTAAAAAATAATATTTATGTATTTAAATTTCAGGCCAAATACGAAATGTGGACAAGGAAATTGTATTCAGCAATATCGCTATCAATGGCTTCTAGTTTGGGACGATACCTTGCAGTATTACCCTCCAGTGACCTTTGTTCCAGTAGAAATCGCCTCTCATTGTGAATGTGCAAATGTGGGGTCGTAAGAACAGATAAATACAGATATATTACCTAATCTTCTAACTTAAGAATAGAAAAGTTCTTGTCAACGAATGATATGCATTAAATTACAATTTATTTAAAATGGTGTATTAAGTAGTTGGGTTTATTAGATGAAATTTGTGAAGATAATAAACAGTGATCATGTTCCAAACTGCGATTAAACATTATAATTTGCGGGAAGAGCAAACACGAACCCTTGGAAACATCAGAGGTGGTATCAGGTGGACGAATAAACAACCTTCGTCGACCGGTCACACCCGCTCTGATCTCTTGTTTTGATCGGATGAACAGAGTACATGGCAAACAATTAAAAACGTATGTCAACTTGCGATTTAAAACGACAGGTTGTACATGCAAATGAGGTAATTTTATTAATCATAGAATTCGAGAAATGTCTGTATTACTTTAAACGAGACTGTTGATACCTCTGTAACATCAAATTATTTGTCAGCATTCTGTTAAAATCAACCGGGGATACATTCTAATTAAGAATAAATAACTTCCTTTCTTTCTACCTAAAGCTAATGAACATATGAATATCAAATTCTGTATTTCAGTTTTAATAAATACATTTACTTTATTCATGTTAAATAACAGGATATATAAAAGCATTTTCATGATTCCTACATGCAAAATGGACATAGTTACTTAACGACGATCAATATTTTATTCGAAGTGATAAGGATTTTCTTTATATTAGTTACATCAATGTCAACAGGATCATAACACCAAAACCAAAACAAAAAACAATTAAGAGAAAGAGAGAATATTCTATTCGCATAATAATGACCTTGTTTGCAAACTCGGTTTATCGATGCTATCGTTGGGTCGAACTTGACTGACACGTTTCATACCTATTATTATGCAATTTTTTTCATACTACTTTTGACCACGGATTACTCAATTTACCGGATCAATACAAAGAACACACGTCAGCTCTGAACGGTCAACAAGGTATGTTACTCATCCAATGCATCTGATCCCACCTCTAGTTTTTTTTTTTCTGGGGATGGTTACATGTACTCCTTCTAGGCACCTGATCCCACCACTTTTGTTTCAAGGGGGGGGGGGGGGGGGGTATTCTTCCTAGCACCTAAATCTTCTTTTTCGTTAGATAAATAATGAAATATTTTGTTTTCTTAAATTTTTAAGTTGCTGGGTGTAATCATATTGTTATGTTGGGTAATTTCTTTCTTTTTTTTTTCTTTTGATAATATAGTATAAGTTACACTATATGTGTTGTACCTCCTCCTGCAAAAATCTTTATACCTCAAGATTACATGCTCTAAATGTTTATAAGCATGTTGGTAAATATTGTGCACTTTTTTTGCTGTATTTAGGGGTTTTTAAATTTTTTTAATTTGTATTATTATATGGACAATTTTGTGTCATGTGAATAGGCAATCTGTTTTTAAACTTTTACTAGTCAATTTGTAAGTTACTGGTTAATTTTCTTACTGAAAACCCGTCAATTAATTATTATTTAAGAATACATAACATTCAATTTTCGTTCTTTATGCTTGTCATTTGTTAGTAGAAATAAATGACAATTTCAAATAACTGGAGTTTTCCATTATCTTTGTATACAAGGTGTACAGCATAAGCAAACTTTGAATTTGTACCACGAAACAAATTTTTAAAAAAAATATTATTGTCCCTTCTGTTCTTTAATCTGAGTTTTGCCATTTTTTGGAATCACCATTCCTTAAAAGAATTTAAATTGTAAAGTGCTTTTGTGAAGCAAATATTTTTAAGTGATACTTAGCTTATCAGTTTATAGCTTTATTATTGCCTGTGGATATTTTTGGTATATGTTGTGCCTGGCCCTTGTTTTTCCTGTCCTTCGTGGTTTGATATCAAAGAGTATATTTCAGTTCTATATTCAATTAGAAAAAAACTACATTAAAGACGTTATAGTTTTATGAACAGTGGGGTAGAGACTTATGAGTCGTAGGGGATAAAGAGGCAACATATTTGCATTGAAATGGGGTAGAAGACTGTGACATTAGATGCAACTCCTTCTGCTTAGAAATTTAATTGCTGTCTGTACTTTTTGTAGATCAGTACCAACAAAGACTGCTTTTCAATAGAAAAAAAACTTTTTAAAATGTAGTATTACTTGTTACAAAGCTTATTGAACCACAAATTCGTACAGGAATCTCTTTCTTATGCGTTTCGTGGCATTTTAATCGGAGATACCGTCTATTTACATGCTAATGGTAATTTAAAATAGTGGGTGGTGAAGAAACATTCATCAAAAATTCTAACAGGTAACGTTATTATTTCTCATAAAATCTACTTTGTTGGAGCCAAAACAACACATTTTAAAGCAATATGGACGTGACAATGTTTAAGTTTTTGCACCTTAAAAGTATTGTTTTAAATTTGCACATGTCTGAAAATATCCATGTTTTTATTTTTATATACAATTCAAAATTCATATATTGTCGCCTGGAACTATTTTGAGGTTTTATATTCATACAAGTAGTAAAAATGATATTAATTTGCGTCAGATAGTAATGATTTGCAGCATTTTCAGGCATTTTTGTCACATAATCAGACATACTGTGTATGATTGCTATAAACCAGTACAATATTACTACTACATGTAACTAATCTCTTTAAGTATCTGAACAATCTTTATGTCATACGCAGACTTAGGGAGACTTCTAACTAAAGTGGACGGGATTGAAATATATACATGTGTAGTCAATAACGCTCTTCCCTGCTCTTAAAAGTAAAGTGATATTCTTGGAAACTATCACTAAATCTGAGAGCACAAAGGAACGAAGTTTGTTTTTATGGCAAGAGTGACAAAATTACAAATTAATTAATTGTTTTCTATATTTGAGAAGAATAAGAATTTTCTTTCGTGGAATTAAATGATTTTCACTGAAGCTCTTACAAAAAGGAGATTTTATATTTTTTGCCGGAACAAAGCCTACATAGAAACTTGAAGTGTTTCAATTTTTTTATTATTATTATTTTTTTAGGTTGAGAGAAATCATTTTTGATACAAATCAGGCCTAATGAACATTGCTTTCTAAGAACTAGAAAAAGTTTTGAAAATTAAAAAATAAACAATGGCTTGTTTACATTATCAAGTATTGTTGTTTGGCGTGACAGCACAAGATAGAAAAAATAATAGAAGTTTTAATTAGGGTATTATTGACGTATAAACAAATTATGTCCTTGGAATGTTGCTTTTTCGCTTTGACAAGGACATTTCCGTAAATATGACTGACATTCAATCATATGATCAAATTTTCTTCCGCCTTAAATTTCTGTGGGTGGTCTTATCTGAAGACAGTCTAGACACATAACGTTGAAGTCAGTCAAAGTTGTATTAAATAGCCTTCTAGTTGACTATTTTTTTCTGAAATTTCAAATGAAAAAAATATCATACTGAAAGTATATATATGATGGGCGTTTATTTTTAAAAAAATGGATGACTTAAATTGACCACATTTTTGAAAACGCCTTTTATTAGAATTTATAATTCTGTGTACTTTAAAAAATCGCCGCTAATTTAGATCGACAGTGTATATTCGAATAAAAGATTTATTATTTCATATAGTTCTTTCAAAGATACAGTGATTGAAATTGACGTAGAAATGATTGAAAACTTACTTCTTCTCGACAATTTTCTAGAAACTATGACTGGTTGTATGGTTTGAAATAAATTCCTACAAGAAAACTTTCATTACAATCACCTAGAATACAATAATTTTCCCCCTGTTATATAGCCTATAAGAATATCACATGATATTGAATAAAAAATAGGATTTTATATTTGTAATACTTACGCGTACGTGCATACATGTAATTGAACTAATTAGGAAAGCGGTACTTGTAAACTCTATGTGAATATCCAGTTGGTCTCAATATAATACCATCCTTCCTCTGGAACTTTACAAGTGATTATAATCTCCAACACTAATATTCATTTGTCAAATTGTAAAATTTTACATACCAGAAAAAATGTGAACACGAATCTATTTGAGGAATAAATGTCTACAGGCCCGTAGGAAGCAATTTCAGTTGGGGGGGGGGGGGGAGGGAGGGGCACAGCCATACATTTTTCAGTTGACAGTTGAGGGGACACTACCAAACAAAAATTTTTCTGACAAGCAAAAAAAAGGTCATCTGACGTTTTTATTGAGGGGGCACGAGCATATAGTATCTATATATACTATAGTAATCTATATATCGGCAAAATTAGGGGGGCATGGCCCCCCGTGCCCCCCTCCCGGTTCCTACAGCCATGGTCTATATATAGAAGTCTGTTTTCGGTGGGTACGAGATACTGGGGGAAAATTAATAATGTAATAACACAAATGTGTTTGCAAAATCTTCCCCATAATCGGATTTTGTATATTTAGCATTTGTGTTATATCAAGGTCGTCGCCAAGGGGGGTACGTTGGGCACAATTGAACACATCCCCTGTTGCACAGAATAAAGTGGCCCTGAGTGTGAGTATAAAAGCCTTTCACCGGTATATGGTAACGTCTCATATGAGTAAATTACTAGTAATCTTGCAAAGGACGTAAAATCAATTTTATCCTTGAAAATGATTTTCAGAATGCAGGGGAACCATCCAAAATCGTACCTATATATAAACCCAAAAAAAATTGCTGGCTTCAGGGTGTACCCCTCCCAGACTCTCCCCAAACACCCCTTTCCAGAAACCTGGCCCTGTTTATTGATATTTCATATATTCCCTCGGCATACCAATAGAGGCATATCATGGGGACATAAAGGCTTCTATTTGAATTCATTATTCCTACTTGTACTTAAACAGACAGCTTTTTAAGCTATCTGCACTTTGAGGGAAAAAAATGTTTTGAAAAATTAGCATTCCGTGTGAAAATATCATAAAACACGTTTAAGAGTAATTAATGACACTAACCTTTGGACTCGTCGATGCTGAAATGCCTTTGTTGTTATGATAGTAGTTGACAAGTACATGTACAGCACATGAAGAATAAAGAAATTTAATTCAATAGATTTATTCATCAGAAGTATAAAATTGTGTCTCAAAGAAGTATTCAAAGAAATTGACACCATGTCAAAAACATTTATGTTTATTTTCTTCTTTGATTGCCTAGTGTGGGTAGAGGGTGACATGCAGTGAAATATCACGACTTGAGGTTAAGAACTTGTATGAGTAAAAAAAAATATTTTTTATATATAAACTTGTAAACAGTGCAGATCATTCAAATTCAAGAAAACAGGGAAAACTTTAAGTTATGCATGTAAACAGTTTGATCCCCTTAAAATATAACAGCATATCACTTGTTTGTGAATGTTTAGGGCTTATCAAATAAATATCTAAAATAAGATTCTTGCACGACACTAAGAAGTAGTTTTAGTGTGAATAAATGATACTTTAAAACATCGTTCTATACTGGATAAATAGAAAATATGTCAGAAAGACAGACGGTATATACAAATTTCTAAATCGTGTTTTGGGTGGAGTCCAAGGTTCACATTAACAGTACTTTATGTCTGTAAACTAGATGTACAAACGTAACTTGTCAATTATATTAAAAGTCGTCTCAAAACTATATAGATTACGGATTTAAGCAAGAATTTTTAAATTAAAATACATTTCAATTGTTTTCAAGGCAGAAAACTGTAGTCTCCACCTCAAATGCTAGAAATTATTTGAAAGTGCTGTTCTCAAAAATTAATTTAAAATGAATGGTCAAAAACTTTCTTATCTAAAACATTTTAGCTGATTAATTATAGTACACGTTTTCTTTTGCAAGCTTTCTTTTTGTATTTTAATAAATGAGACATGTGATTTTATTGAAAGGAAGTAGCTTTGGAAGCTGACCAGAAACCGCAAATTTTTTCAGAGCAAACTCATCTTTTGACCGCATATGCTGAACTGCCAATCTTCTTTGTGTTTTGTCCAAGAAAAAGAAAGTTGTAGAAATTATTTGGTTCTGCAGTTGTAGCTTGTTTTATAGAAAACTGAGATTCACTCATTTAGCGTCCTTGAAAAGATAACTGGTAAATGTTCTCTCTCTTTCTCTCAGGATTTCAGTCCAGTATGTATTTGCCAAATGATATCGCTAATCCAAGGAGTTATTATATTACAGTGTACAAATCAGTTTTCAGAGTATCAGGCTATTTTGGACCTAATTCCTGTTTTGGTCTGAAGGTTCAAATTCACACCATTTTACATATGTGCCTTGCATACTATATTATATATAATCGTGTATATTTTACACTAACAAAACAAATCCATTTATGTAACTGTATACATGTATCTAAGCCTTTTTTGCATAATATCGGGTACATCCAATAAAGTCCAGGCCCGTAGAAAGCAATTTCAGTTGGGGGGGGGGGCACAACCAAAGATTCCAAAATTTCTTGACAAATAAAAGGAAAAAAGGGTCATCAGACGTTAATATTGAGGAGGCACAAGCATGCAGTAGCTATGTTTTCTATAGTATTCTATATATCGGCTTGGCAACGTTATTCATGTTATTGAAGAGGGGGCATCCCCCCCCCCCGGTTCCTACGGCCATGAAGTCAAAGGGAAAAAATGACGAAAGACAAAATATCAAGATACATGTACGTATACACTTTTATATATAGTATTCCTTTTAACTGAAATATGAAATAGTACAATATTATTGTTGAAATGAGCAATGACATTTACAATTGTTATACTATCCATTGGCATATCTTTTCCTTATTATTGTAATAATTTCATACTTGTCTGTTATGGGCTCTAAATTAGAAAATAAATGTTCTGTTCTGTTCTGCATGTACTTTTACCATATAAAATACCAGAGTGGGCGATTAATATATCTTATTTTCAAGGTTGCATAATTTACCTTTCAAATCAGTTCTGTCGAAATACCATTTGCGTACCAAGAATTAGACTTACGAAGAGAAATTTATCGGCATTATAATTTTTTGGCACTCTATCTATATTTCTATACTTGTTTGGTCAGCTGGTCTCAATATCCTCTGTCGAGGAGACTTATCAATTTATTCATATATTTATCTAACTATGAAAATGCATGTGCTTCTAAAATTGCCTGTATTTCAGGAAAGTACAGATCACTGCATCGCCCAGATTTCTATAAATTAAGCAGAGGTTTTTCCGGAAACCAAGAGTTGGGAAACCTGACATTATTTATATAACCTTCCTTCAAACTTCAGTTTACTTCCATATGAACCATGCAGAATGCACCAAAATCATAGGGATTTTTTAGGATGGTGTATTTTGTGTAAAGTGTCTGACTAAATACAGTCATTTGTGTTTTTAAGTCTGTCTAAATATTCTCATTACTAAGATGAAAATCAAAATTCGCTGAAATTAGCATTTCTTAAAAAATCACCATATTTCTGTATATAAAAAGTCTTTTTAGACCCCATACAGAAATTACATATTTTAAAAAAAAAATGCAAATTTCACCTATTTTTTATTTTTATCTTAGTAATGAGTGTATTTAGACAGACAAAAAAAACCACAACACACAAAACACACCTTCCTGAAATCAAGCGGATATACAAAAAATATCTGCCCCTGATTATCCCGGAAAACTATTTTCCAATTGTTCTTGGTTTTTTAATAATGTGTTCAAATGCATAATCAAAACAACGCTTTATGAATACTTCATTGAAACAGAAACTTCAAGTTTTATTCGTACTTTGATCAAATTACAGCATGTGAGAATTCAGAATTGATCTCTATTTATTTTTGCTTCTTTTTGATTTTATTAGAGAAAAAAATGTGTTCCAGAGAGATCGTTACATTACAGTTAGGTCATTATTCAAACTTTGTTGGCACACACTGGTGGAACATACAGGTAAATCCCGTAAATGAAGAAATCAATGTGTCGATTTACCCAAAATGAACACTAATATGTTTTACGGTGTGACCGTTGGGGCGAGCGCAGTTGTACCATCAAAAACCCCTATATACACAGATTACATTTGAAACGTTGATCCGCCTCTTCAAGCTTCAAATCGCACGAGACACAGTCTAGACTGTGACTTCGGAATGTACGGAGACAGCCGAACGTCTGGTTGAAAGACTACAGTTCTTGTGCAAAATTAATTGAAATACATTGTAGAGTAGATGCAATTGTTTTTTTGTTTCTTTTAACCTCTCTGCAAAGAAATAAATGTAAACGTATCTCTTGGTAAGGAACAATTATCCTTGTTCTTTTGTATGTTTTGTAATAATTTTGCATGGAACCCTGGTAGCGAAGAAATTCTGGGAATGTTGCACAAGAAAATTTGCCTGACGTATGTACAAATTTCATTCTGAATTCCCTCTGTTCTTACACGTTAGTCTATTGAATGGAACTAATATGGACTTGAATAGAGACCATAATGCAGGGATCGACATTAACGGTTGTCCGATTGCCCGGGACAAGCAAATTCTCAGTTCGGGCAAGTGAAATTGTCGACGTACTTGTCCGATCGGGCAAGTAATTTTTTTTTCATAGAAATGCACATATTTATTTAGTTTACATTAATTTATGAATAAAACAATAAATTGAACACTTGATTCCCGCCACGCACCTTATTGACAATGTTTTGCATTCGGAATTCCTTGATAGCGTTTCTGGATTATACCATTCATTTAAAAATCAGGTTTGTTATTTTCCTTCGTAGTATATACGCTCTACATCTACCAACATTTTGTTAACGTCTTATTAGGAGATTAGACTATTTATTCATTCACAAAATGTAAGTACAGTGTAACTCAATGTATCATGATCAGGATAAAGATGTATGTTTCGTAGCCTACCGAAATAATTTGTTTAAAAATATAAATTTTATGAAAAGGAAATTAAAAGGAAAGGGGTATTGCTGCATGACAGTGTGTGTTAAAAGGTTAAATTTACAAGTACAGTGGTATACATTTATGTACAAATGCAGCATCAATTTTTTTTCATTGACTTGTAGCTGGTATTTGATCACATTTTTTCTTATCGTAACGTTTACAGAAATTAATTTTTTCTTCTTATGTTCTTGCCTAATTTGGGGCAACCAAGTTTTGCATTCGGACAAGTCAAAGTTTGAGATCACTTGCCCGAAGGGCAAGTGAATCTGAAAGTTAATGTCTATCCCTGTAATGAACCCAAATCAGTTTGTAATACAATCATTTAATGATATCAAAAATTTACCAGTATCGAATAATTTTTCATTTAAATATTCTTGAAAATCATATTGTAGTGACTAAAAATTCCTAGTACATGTATACTAGGTAAATACAATAAAGATGAATATTTTTTCCGTGTGTAATGTTTTAGTAACAAATGCATGATTATTTTCCACATTATTTACAATTTGAAACAATGACCCATATTTGAAAATGCGCAAGTGCAAGTTATAAAAAAAAAAATGAAGGTATATATGCAAACAAAAAAATGAAGGTATATATGCAAACAAATATGTCTAAATTAAAATTTTCAGTGTGTTAATTGTCTGTGCAGATTGAGTATGTTCTTGACTAGATAAGTTATATTTAGGATGAATGTAAAATGTTAAATTAAATGCTACTGTGGAATCATTTAAATTTGTGGGGGTCAATGTTCGTGGGCGAGCAAAATTTTAATGGTTCATGGGGATGTAATTTCGTGGGCTGCTCGTTTATTTGGTAGATCTAGTTAATCAGTACATTGACAAAAAAATTGTTCGTGGGGATGTAAATTCGTGGGTATGGGTGACCCACGAAATCCATGAACATCGATCCCCCACGAACAATGATGATTCCACAGTAATTGATTTTTAAATAAAATTATGAGATCCAAGTGTTGTTTTCCAAGTTTCAGTCCAAAAATTTTGAGTTTCAAAAAAATGTCCTTCTACCATGTCTACGGTAAACAAAACAGTTTAATCCTGGCAAAAGTGAAGATACTACAATACAAATTACCAAAAAGATAGTCAACTAAATATGTGTTTCAGATATATGATTGATTTGATTTTAACGAAGCATGTCACGAAAAAGTGAATCATTAAGTGCATAAACTACCTGATTCGATATCAGTAAACAACTTTTCTTTTTATATATAACAGAATAAAATTTTATGGTGGTTTGCTGCTTTTCAGACATGTATATATACAAGTTAACAAGATTTTGAATTTACCAAATATGATAATGTTGCATGGCTCTTACATGTATTATTGTATCAACATAATGCAATAAATATTTCAATTTGTATTTATCCGTATTGGTCTCTATTTGCATCAGCTGATTTCAATAAATTAACATATAACCATAATGCAGGACTGGAAACTAATATTTTATGTCATCAGGTCATCCACTCACTGACAGATAGGATATTACCCACAGGTTCTTGTTTCTGTACATGTAATAATTTTTATTCATAGTATAATAATAACACAACTGAAGGTATCTTACTCCTGACCAAATTAAGTAGCAGTATCCCCTCCCCAGAGTTGCAGTCAAATGCACTTTCATAGAACCTGCAGTGGAAAACTGTTGACTAACATACTCTTCTGCAATAATTTATCTACAAAAACATAAATGGCATGCTAGTCTTTATTTTTTTTTTATCTCCATAAACAGCATGAAACCATTGCTTGCCAACTGGAAAGTTCATTTCTCTAATGGATTTTGATTGGCTATAAGGATGTTTCTAAAATTACTTTGGAAAAATATAGATTATTTAGGGAAAATGACCAGTAAAAACATTATATTCATTAATTGTTACCGGTATATTTTAACTTTGAGATTGCAATTTTAAACCCACTGGTTTTAAATTTTCCTCTCTCTCTCTGAGTCTAGTACATTTATGGCACCTAGTGGTGTGAAACCAGTTTCCCAGCTGGCGAGCAAAGTTTGGAGGGTGTTTATGCTGATAAATGACAGTAAAAGCAAGCATGTCATACATAATTTTGTAGATATAAATTATCATAGAAGAAAAGTAAAGAAAAGAAAAGTAATAAACAGTTTTTAGCTCACCTGAGCTGAAAGCTCAAGTGAGCTTTTCTGATCACCCGTTGTCCGTCCGTCCGTCCGTCTGTAAACTTTTCACATTTTCGACTTCTTCGAGAGTTTAAAGTGTTAAAATGAAGGGCCAAGTCCCCTTCAAAGGGGAGATAATCAAGAAAATACAAAAATTGGGTGGGGTCATTAAAAAATCTTCTTCTCAAGAACCACTGGGCCAGAAAAGCTGAAACTTATCTGGAATCATACTAAGGTAGTGTAGATTCTATATTGTTCAAATCTTGACCCCCGGGGGTAGGTTGGGCCACAATAGGGAATCCAAGTTTTACATTGAAATATGTAGTAAAAATCTTTAAAAATCTTCTTCTCAAGAACCACTAGGCCAGAAAAACTGAAACTTACTTGAAAGCATGCTGGGGAAGTGTAGATTCTAAATTGTTCAAATCATGACCCCCGGGGGTAGGGCGGGGCCACAATAGGGAATCCAAGTTTTACATTGAAATATATAGGAAAAATCTTTAAAAATCTTCTTCTCAAGAACCACTGGGCCAGAAAAGCTGAAACTTATGTGGAAGCATCCTGGGGTAGTGTAGATTCTAAATTGTTCAAATTATGACCCCCGGGGGTAGGGCGGGGCCACAATAGGGAATGCAAGTTTTACATTGAAATATATAGGAAAAATCTTTAAAAATCTTCTTCTCAAGAACCACTGGGCCAGAAAAGCTGAAACTTATGTGGAAGCATCCTGGGGTAGTGTAGATTCTAAATTGTTCAAATCATGACCCCCGGTGGTAGGGCGGGGCCACAATAGGGAATCCAAGTTTTACATTGAAATATATAGGAAAAATCTTTAAAAATCTTCTTCTCAAGAACCACTGGGCCAGATAAGCTGAAACTTACTTGGAAGCATCCTGGGGTAGTGTAGATTCTAAATTGTTCAAATCATGACCCCGGGGGATAGAGCGGGGCCACAATAAGTACTGCGGGGGGGGGGGGGGGAATCAGGTGAAAAACAGCAAGGCCAAAGTTGCTCAGGTGAGCGCTTTGGCCCATGGGCCTCTTGTATAATTTATACAGCAAAAATAAGTATGATTACAGTATATCTGCTATACAGTCAAACCTCGTTATCTTGTGATGGGACCAAGAAAAAACTTCAAGATATACTAGGATTTGAGATATCTAGGGTAAAATACTTAAAGAATAAGAGGTTGGGAGTCCCAAATCACTTTGATATATCTATGGTATTCGAGATATCAGTGTTCGAGATACCAAAGTTCAACTGCATATGTCTGTGATTATGTGTTATAAGACTTGTATGTAGAAATAAGCGATTTACTCAGTTTGTGTTTCTCCTGAAGGATGCGTCTTTCCTGTACAATCCAACAGAAGCACAACAGAAAGAAAAAGAAGTGGATCATGATATTTTATGGCGAGAAGGAAGAACACTCAAAGTACAGTATAGACTCCATGTTACTACTAAAAAGTTCCGCCAAAATAATTGGCATACCTTTGAGCAAGCAAAATGGCAAATTTCACACCCGCTAAAGAAACCTGCTATATGGTATATTGTACTGAAATTTAACTTACAGTGATAATTACAGTAATGAAGTTGTTGGCTTCTTTTAGGGTGAAATAACATTTACCCCCAGACTTGTAGCAGTGGATCTGAAAGGGAGTCTGAATACTCTAAAACAAGAAGGAGTCTTGTATGAAACAAATCAACAAGAAGATATCAAATGGTGAGATTGTTAGAATGCTAAATATATGTGCATTTTACTTGTAGGGTAAATGTAAGTAGTGACTCTATAAACTTCAAGCCTTAAGATTTCATGTTTTTCCTTTTTTTTCTTATTTCTTAAAAGCATATTTATTGGAATAAATGATCTTTATTAGAAGTCATGTTGTAAAATTGATTTGTTTTCTTTTATTTACATATTTGATGTCTTAGGAGTGGTGATATCACACTTCATAAGTCAACCCCAGCAGAAAAGAATGCTTATTTAACAGAACTTGAAAAAGAGGTATGTTAGTTTGATATTTAGAGTCCAGGGCATTTTTTCATTGTTTTAGGAAGATAGCCCATGACATTAAGATTGGGAAATTTATGGTCATTTCTTGACAAATAGGAATTAAGTGTTGTAATTATTTCACCAAATAAAATTCCACAGCAAAATTTAAGGCTTATAATTTATATTTTATACCCATGATTCCTCATTAGCTAAAGCAAATAATCAGTCACAATAATGGTACGCGATCGGAAAAACGTCCGAGTAACCGATTACCAAAAATTGACCGATTTGACATCCCTAATTATATATATATATATATATATAAATTATTTAATTTCGTAAATAGCTTCTGTCATTGATTTCTTACTACTAACAAAGGAATCGGGGAAAAAGGCATTGTGAACATGCATAGGCAGCATAGCTCAGTTTTCAGCTATAAACCCGGGAGAATAAAGCTATGGAGTCACTGGAATATTAGCTTTTTAATTCTAGTTTAATTTGATGGGGAAGATTATTCGATACTTTTAAATACAATGAGACCACTGAAGAAAGAATTATGATAATACATGTATGTTTCAGTCCATTGTTACATGCATTGCATCCTCTTTTGAGAGAATACTGTAGATTCCCTATTTTACGAGAGTATTTAATAGATAGTTTTCGATTGACACAATTGGTCGCCATATTGGAGGTATAGAAGCCCGAATTCCTTCATTATTCAACCAATTTATAATACTTGTCATACCGGGCAATTGGGTGGAGTCAATACAATCTTCGTACAAATTTATGTTAACACAAACTTTCTTTAATTCGTAATTTTAGTGTTTTAAAGATTTTTTCCCTTATACTTCTGCCATACAAGTTTAAAATTGGTTGCTCAAAGAGGAAAATTTGCTCGTTGGACCTCCAATATGGCGACCAAAGGGAAATAACTCTTGCTAAATTCAGGCCTGTCGAAAACTATCTATATCACTAAATGACTCATAGATGTCAAATCTGAAGATTATGAATTTGGGAGTGGACAATTTATCAAGAGTCTTTACAAACTATTCCAGTATTATAAAAATAAAAGTGAGTACCGATAATTTTATCTAGCAAGAAGTGCTTCTTGCAAAATGATGTGACCATATTTCCTCACATATACTAAGGAATTTACAGTATAGACATGCTTGCATTTTTATTGATTATTTTCTAAGGATCAAGCAATATTAGAAGACAAAGGAAGACTCCCAGGCACTTCAGACGTAATATATGATGATGTAGACATGAAAGATTCCTCCTCTAATACAACAAAAGGTCTCAAAAATTAATGACTTAAATGATAGCAAGAAAAGTTATCAATGTGATTAGGAAATTTATATTATACTACAGGACAAGAAAACATGTGGTCATGTTGGGGGGGGGGGGGGGGGGGAGTGAATTTTAATTGCATTTTTAAAAAAAAAACTTTTCTGTGCAATTCTTCAAGAAATACATTATATCATTTCTATTATTAAGTCAATTAATTTTTTTTTTAGTGTCAGTTTTAAGGCATGCATCTTTTGATATTAATAAGCAATAAAACCACATTAGTCAGGAATTAAAATGTAAGTCTCTTCTTTGTAGATACAGTCGAAATTAGCAACTATGCCCCTGTGGTTTTCGGTAAAGTCTTTCACAATTTGGATGATGTTGTGAGAGTTTGGTCAGATTACCTCCGAGTTTATCTACATCCAAAGTCAATCCACATCATAGAACAGTACAGCCATTTAAAGTTAGTGTCTCTTTGATTTTGTTAAATCTTAATATTCTCGAAAATGTGTCAGTAATTATTAGCTCACCTGAGGCGAAGTCTTATGTGAGCTTTTCTGATCGAAATTTGTGTGTCATTACTGTTGTCGTTAACTTTTAATATTTCATCTTCTCCAGAACCACAGGACCAATTTCAACCAAACTTGGCACAAAGCATCCTTGGGTGAAGGGGATTCAAGTTTCTTCAAATGAAGGGCCACTCCCTCTTCCTAGGGGAGATAAATAAGAAATAGTGAACATTTGGTGGTATCCTTTAAAAATCTTTTTCTCAAGAACCACTGGGCCAAAAAAGTTAAAACTTGGGCCAAAATAAAAAATACCTTTGTTTCCCCTAACGTGACCGACCCACTTAAATCGTGCCGACTGAAAAGTTTTTTGATAAGATTATTTAAATATTTTTTTTTATTGTTTATCAAATTTATAAAATACAATTTCATCAAAATCCGTTTTTTATCAGAACGGCGGCTTTTGTTTTACTCTCATTTGGTGCCGACAACATGTGGCCACAGAGGGTTAGTTCGTGTTGTAAAACAATGGTGACATATCTTTAACTTATTAGAATCCTACACTCTTGAGACATCTCGTGAATTAATGTACCATGACTAAGGAGTGTTAAGATGGTATTTAAAAATGTGTCTTCTAAAATTAACGTACGTAGTAAGCATAGCAAAGCCTGCCTCATGAGTACAGTACCAACCAGACCCAACCTGACACCAAAGCAGTCCCAGAAAGCAGTCCCCGGGACTGCTTTGGGACTGCTGTGGGACCGCTATGGGACTGCTCTGGGACTGCTGTGGGACTGCTCTAGAAAGCAGACCCAGCAGTCCCTGGGACTGCTTTCTGGGACTGCTTTGTTCACTCATGCGTGAAAAAGGTTCTGAGTGACATGATAGCTCCGCCCCTTGTGTATTCTGAATTTGCAGCTCCTTGTTGTTGTTTTGTTTACTTTCTGCAGAGAGGTGTTTAAGATAAAAGCAAATATAAAAAAGCAAGTATTAATTTCTTACAAAAATTTAATAAATAGAGATAGTTATACATGTAATTACTAAATGTCTTCAGAGGTCTGTAAATTTACACAATTATAGTCTAGAATTAATTTTAAGAAAATAAAAGTAGTTAAAAAGGGAAGTCAGGGGATAATTTTTATCCCTTAAATTAAACTTCAATACAGATGTTTGAAAAAAAAATTATCTAGGCCTATTTAATAAATTAATGTTGTCAAATTACATATGTACTCAAAGTTTGCATTAGCACTATTTAAAAAAAAACAAACAAACAAAAAACAAACAAACTGTCATTTAGTAAGATACATGTATTAAGAAGAACGTACTGTACTGGATATTTTTTCTTAATTGAAAAAGCTAATACCATGCATGCTTAAAAAAGAGCACTCCGTGCTATTTTTTACCACCCTCAGATAAAACCTAATAATTTATTTAATGACCATGAAATAAAATTATTCTACCATTCTTCTGTCACATAAACGATGTGAACAACAATTAGTTTTTAATTTATAAACAAGTCATTAAAAGAGTACATTTATTTAAAAAATAAACATTTGAAAATATCGGGAATTGTGACTTGTTTCTTATTTCTTTTGTTTGTGTTTACCTGGCCGGTTAATACAATGGGATTGTATAAAATGGTGTCAACACCTGAAGTTTCAATCGCCTTTGGGCATAATAAGCAGAAAGTCAATGCATGTTATTTGGGTATCAGTGTTACACATCACTGAACACGCTGGTCAACATTGACACCAATTTCAATCTATGTCCAGCAAAAACTCTTAGTTTCAATAATTGTGTATAAATTTATTTCGGGATTAATTAATTTTGAACATAATCTGAGGGGTCCATTTGCGTGATTTACAGATGCACACTCGAACATTTATATAATAAAACACTTAAAACTGAGAATCTAAAGATAATTAAATTGGAAAGTCATTGAAAATAATCATGACTGAAATATAATACTCGGCAATGTTTAACAAAGAATTTTTCAAAAGCTCCAATACTTAAGAAAAATGCATTCAGAGTATAGTATGGGAATCGGCCTTGCTCTATAATTATTATTATCTATTTAAAGCTAATTCTGGTATAAAATAAACAATTCAAGTTTAATTTTCTATGTAAAAAAAATAAATATGAAAACCAATATCAATCACAAAAAATAAAGAAATTGTTTTATTTTGGTTAAAAATTAATATACCAAATAATTGTGTTTAAATATTCATGTTATTAATAGGTGTGAACGTCTTCTTCATTCAATAATTATAATTTTTTCTATACGCGTACTGTGATTTTCTTAACAGTTCAGAAATGACTGTCGCGTAAGAATTGTAAATATTTGTTGATACTACTCAGAAAGAATTGCTCATCAATTTCAACTGCCTTTTATATAGTTACATTGTTTATTGGTAATCTCATTCTGAGTAAGCTCCGCCCATTAAATTAATTAACCCCGCCCACTGGGACTGCTGGGACTGCTTTCTGGGACCGCTGTGGGACTGCTGTGGGACTGCTCTGGGACCGCTGTGGGACTGCTTTAGCAGTCCCAGAAAGCAGTCCCCGGGACTGCTCTGGGACTGCTTTGTGTCAGGTTGGGTCTGGTTGGTACTGTAGATGAGGGGCGCTCCTTGTGAATACATATCAATAAATTTCACTGCATTTGATTCGTTTCGATCTAATAAACAGTTCATGTATGATCCTATTTTTACTACGAAGGACCATAGGAGTTGTAGATATGTCTTTGTATGATTATTTCATTTGAAAAATATAATTCAGATGTCGTTTCTTTATTCCTTTTATTTATGGGGTATTGACTCCGTGACTATAAAATTAGATATATGAAACTTTAATCATTTTAGATATGGATTGGTTGAATTATATATTGTTTATACATGTACACTATTTCCAAATAGTGTTGATATCTTTAAAATTTGCTTATGGTACGGCTTCCTGAGACGTCCAGTTTATTTTCTTTAGTTAGGCCCTTGAAAACAGGTTGTTTCTTTGCTTAAAATACCTTTAAAATTTGTTGGGTCGGTGGAGGGCTCTTAATTCAGACTTTTACTCGGCACTTATGGCCTTTGATCATTAAGCATCAGTAAGGGATCTTTTACGTGCCATCTACATTTATACTCCGACACTGGACCTACGTTTTTTATGGTCTTATTCGACTGACCGGTCTGCAAGTCCCACGTCGGGACCTGTGACTTAGAATTAGCTCCCGAGTTACGTCATGACTCCAAAATGAAACACTAGAATTACTGTGCCACGCAAGGCCCTTGACATTTTGTCTGTGTAAGTTCTCGAAGATGATAGTAGGTTTGACAAATGTACTCGAATGCCCGATGGTTCAGTATTTGCGAATCTTGTGTTTTTTGTAAATATCCGATTTCAATAAATTTACGCTGGTCTGAGACATTTTACAAGTTCAAATGAATAATATTTGTGAATTAATTTACCATACATATTGCTTCATTTGTATGATATTCGGTTTAAAATTGGTTTCTTTTGTTCTTTCTTATAAAGATATTATTCAATTTTTCAGAATGCATTCCAAAACCTGCTGTCAGAAAAAAAAATAATTTACCTACCTACCGACCCAACTTGAGATTTTTGGGTTGGGTTAGGGGAAACAAAGATATTTTTAATGATGGCCTTATTTGAAACCTTCTTAGTATAGATTCAGTTTGTTTAAATCATGACCACTTGGGGTAGGGTGGGGTCACAATGTTGGATCAAAGTTTTACATTGGAATATATATTATATTCTCCCTCACTATGTTCGTCCGAATATAAATTAATTATACTCTTTATTCTGTACTTATAAGTAAGATTGAAAAAATAACAAACTCATGTATATGGAATGCTGCTCATCAGAACGTTTATTACAACACATTTTTATTCAAATTCAACATCCGAATGCAATACTTTATTGACCATGTTGCGTGACATAAAAACCACACAGATCCACCACTCTTTCCACACAGGAAATACCCATAACGACAATAATAATAAGGAAAAAATCTTTTAAAAAAATTCTTCTCAAGAACAGCAAAGCCATGATTAGTCATACTAATATGGAAGTATCTTCAGGTAGTGTAGATTCAGGTTTGTTCAAATCATGACCCCTGGGAGTTGGTTGGGGCCACAACAGGTGATCAAAGTTAGAGAAAAGAATATAAGGGATATATTTAAATAAAATTTTCTTCTCAAGAACATCAAAGCTTGACTTATGAATTCAGAAGCATCTTCAGGTAGAGTATTTTCAAATGTGTTCTAATCATGTCCCTGGAGGTAGGGCAAGGCCTCAATAGAAGATCAAATGTCAGAACCACATTTATATTTAAACTTTTCAATACTGATTTTCCTAGCCAAAGTGCTCAGGTGAGCAATGTGGCCCTTGGGCCTCTAGTTTTGGTGTGCATTGTTTGGGAATAATTTTGCACATTTTGTTTGTGATGTCAATTTTGAAAAAAAAATGAAAATTTGACACTTCATATATACATGTAAATATACTTGATATTGTAGTAGCCTCCATCCGTTTGACATACATGGAGCTGGTCACAAAGCTTTGGAAGATCATGAGGCAAGAAAGGAACTCGAAGACAGGATACACTATTTCAGCGAAGAGTGTGATAGTTTACAGGTAGAGTTATCTCCCTTTCAATGCCGATTCAAAGAAAGTTGTGCACTAGCTACTAGTTCAATGTATGTGTTACTAAATGTCCCTGCGGTTAATCTCACCTGAGCATTGACCTAAAGTGAAGCTTTTCTGCTCAAAATGTACATTGACATAAACTATTCACGAGATGTATTCTATAGAATCTTAATGCAAGTGTGCTATAAACAACATGCATATATATTCCTCATGATTCTGAAGATATAAACCTGAGGGGTGTCCACAACATGGCTTGAATGTACAACTTTAAAACTCAGCTAAACTTTAAACTAACTAACTAGTGGTAGAAGGAGCATGTAAAATAAAAACATGACTTCATGAAACTCTATTACACTTTCTTACTGACTTTCTTGAGATTTCTTAGAAATCTATTACATGAAATTATAAATACTTATTCATCATTTGGGTCTTGTACTCAGGTGATATTATGAGTAGGGATAGCAACGAATATTTGAACATTCGAATATTCATTCGATGAGTTGATATTTGAATATGAATTTAAGATTCGAATATTCGGGGTTTCTCAGATTACATAAAAAGAAGTACTGTGATTTATAAATTTTGATCAGAACAGTGCTGAAATTATCCCTGTTTAATTTACTAGCGATTAATTTGGATCGCCTGATTTCTTTCACTACTTTTTTATCTTATAGATCTACTAAATTACATGTATTTTGTTTTGAGTAAAGTGTTAAAGAATTGTACAATAATGCTTTATGTGTAATACAAAACGTACTTTCATAATTGAGGACAACAAAATGTAAATCTTAGAATGTATAAAAGGCGTGAAGAGTATAAATTAATTGATCATTGAATGAATATCCGATAGAATTAGTCTGTAATTAATATTGTAAAGGGCTTAATTTCAAAATAAATGTGTAAATTACTTGATTATCTCGGGTTGTACATAGTCCTGAATTTTATATTCATTATCGGGAAATTATTTAATTACCTAGGCAAATTGTTTATGGAAATATTTGTTTACATTGTATCAAAGATTATAATCATATCTGTTATTAGGCAGATAATTGTAATTCATTACACGTATTGAAATCTGAACAGTATACCGTTACGACTATCTTACCTTTTGTAAGACGACTGGTTCCTCAGTTGGAGCTACTATAAATACACGTTTCATTTGTTAAAATTATACTTTTCTACATTTAAATCAATTATTTATTTCAAACATTGACAAATATCAAATGAAATTTCTAATTGTACACCTACAAAAGTCTTCATACAGTTTTACTTCCAATATAAGTACACCTACGCTAAACCTTTCATGAGCAGAGCTCCAGATAATTTTTTACCTCCAAGTGTATTTACTCCCTGATTTTCAAATCAATGCAGATTTTGTTTTTCAGCAAAATAATCAGAAAGTATTTGTTAATCTTTTGCTCTTTTGACATCTAATGTGATTTTTAGCTTAAAAATTGTTATCAGAATTAGTGTGTTTTAAAAGAGGAATGTAAAAAACAGTTTCTGCATTTATCAATTAGGTTAATGAAATTTTAAAAAAATTTGTCAGCTTTTAGCTACAACTGAGAAACATTTCGTTTTTTTAACCAGAAAGACCATACGGTAGGCAAAGTTACCAGAGGCACACAGAAATCCATTTAAGATAAGGCCTATATCGATCATAGCAAGAGTTACTGAGAAAAATATCCTTCCTTTGGCCAAACAAAATTAATCTTTAGATTCTCATCCATACCTGCCCCTCTCAAAATATCCAGCCCCGTTGTTTTCCCTTTTGTTTGTTTGTTTGTTTTTTTTAATCAAAATTATATACTATGTTTTGCTATATAAATTGTTGGCATCGATCGAGGTACATGTAAAAGTTTTAGATTTACTCCCCGTTTGCATTAAAAGTTGCGTGGCGCTATAGCTACTTAAAGCACAGGATCATGTGGAAAACAAAGAAGCAATTATTTTCATACAATTAATAAAGGTTGTCATCGGACTTTAGATGATATTATTGCTACAGAAAATGCTAAATATACAAGAAATGTTTAATAAACAGTGATAAAGGATAAATTAGACACCATGCATGTTTTGCGCAATTTTGACAATATCGACGTGTACGCGTCAAGAATGAAAATTTGGATGTTATATGAACATTGGAAATCTGTGATATTTTCAGGCAAAGAACAAGTATTTAATATTCAAATCTTTCTCCCGAACTGGAATTCGGCCTAGGTTATTCCGAATACACTTATAAATCAAAAAATTCAAACACTGAGCTGACCTTAGCTAACTCTTACTTGTTCATTGAATCCGTCATACACAGTATTTTCGTAGTGTAATGCTTATTTATGATTGCTAATGTGTAATTGTACACCCTGTTTTAATTTTTAATGCGTATTTTGAAAAATTCAATGCATATTTCTGCAGATACGCACCTTATCTGGAGCTCTGCATGAGAGTAGGATGATGCATATTTAAAATAAAACAGATTTTATCGAATATTCGAATATATTCGAATACTTTAACTGAATATTCGAATATGAATTATTGACAAAATTGACATCCCTAATTATGAGCCATTAGGTATGGTGTTTTCACAATATGGCTTACCAATAAGCTTGAGACTTAAAATCCCACTCTACCAGCTTACTTAAAGGGCAAGCCTGCTAGTTAATGCTTGTGTGTTTCACTGTACAACATATGGCCACATTTAATAAAAAAAATTCTTTACAAACCAGTCAGAATTGCGACATGACCTTTGATACAAATTCACCTTTTCTCTGGATGAATCACATTGCTAATTGGAAATTTGATGAAAATGATTGGACTTCCTCTATAGCTGTGGAATAAATGTTGATAAACTTACTGTGATCAGAATTGAAATGTTGTGTAGTTTTCGGATTTCTTAGGTACAAGCCAAATTAGATGTTATCCCACCTGAAAAAAACTCAGGAATTCACTAATGATAGATATTTAATTTGTTTTCTGACAACTTTCTGAAATGTCAAGGATATACAGCTTTTTCCATCACAAATGCAAATTTTGATTTAATTCAAGTTCAACTAGGTCACAGCAATTGCTGCATCTGGAGTTGTGTTTCAGCTTGACATTTTTTCTGTGAAACATACATGTCAACTTTTCTTTCACACAGATAATTCTAAGTTTTCCATTTGATCTGTAGGGTTTTCATGTACTGGTGGATACACATGATGGATTTGGAGGGTTTGCTGCTGAGACTTTGCAACATTTACAAGACGACTACTCATCAAAGTCTATCATGACGTTTGGATTCACCCCATCTAATCTTCCTGATGATGTAAGCATGTGGACCTGAATTTTCTAAGACCTCTCATTTAACAAAGAGAAATGAACCACTGTGGAATCATCATTGTTCATGCGGGACCAGTGTTTGTGGATTTCCTTATTCACTCGTACCCATAAAAATTTCATGCCCATGAACAATAACTTTGTCAATGTACATGTATCAACTCATGAATCTTCAGTATATATGAATCACCCACCAGAATATAGTCCTGAACCAGTAAAATTTTTATTGCATACAAACTTCAGATTAAAATGATTCCTCAGTACATGACTGTATTTGTAAACTCTGAGATGGCATTATTTTCATATACATGTAACATTTAGACTTACATATGAGTTCAGTTACAATTTCACATTTCATTCCTCTATGTATTGCTTCTTTTACTTTCAGACTGCAGTCAGAAGAGCCAACAGAATCCTGAACTCAGTTTTAAGTTATCACAGATGTTTTACACACAGTTCCCTGTTTTTCCCTTTATCCTTAGCAAATAGTCTATGGAAGACAATAGGAAATTATGCAAACTTTCCTCAACTTGATTATAAGGTAAATGTAAATGATTTTGACATGTAGTTGTAATGGGGATTCCATTTTGGCAGTTGTACAGTGGTATTATATAAATGAATGTTACACACTGTTCAAGCATTTCTCTCACTTCACATACACTTATTCAAATTAAGTTTAAAAAGAGAGATGATTTACAAAGAACTTTTGACCTGAAAATTAAATTGTCTTATTTAGTTTGTCATAAATTGGACTCAAAAGATTTATATCTCTCAAACACATCTTGACTAAACATGCAGATGTTGAACCTGTAGCAATAAGCACTTTGCTTCCTTGTATTTAAAGTCAGATCTGTTTTGGATTTTTCGGTGGACATATATGAAAGTAATAGGGATTATGTGCTTGTGTATTTAAAACAGCTGATTGACTACCACACAAGTGCTGTCTTAGCAGCTAGTCTAGACACTGTCTCCATGCCCTACAGAACAGTTAATCCCATACACATGTGTGACATTACCAACAACTTCAACAGTCTTGGCAAAAAGGTAACTATATCTCATATGAATTTAACATTAGAATATCATGTGAATATAATTTTAGAATATCATGTGAATATAATTTTAGAGCAACATAGTTGTCTTTTACTACTCTGAAATCACTAATTTCCATGGGTGGGCTTAATTTTTGTAGTTTTCAAGATATGAAGAGACCCACGAATTCATGTCCACCATGAAATGTAAAATATCTTGTACATAACTACTAAACAATCCTTCATCTACAAAATCAAATCCCCACAAATTCAGTTTTTTTTCCTTAACCAGGAAAGTTTGACTCCCACAAAAATATGTGATTTCAACGTATTTATGAGAGAATAGGGGTGGAAAATATGGGTTTTGGATGGATTACCTTTTAATAACTCACCTAACAGAAAATTGGAAAAAGCCTAGATCTATGTAAATCTTGTACGGTACCAATTTTGATGGTGAAATTGATTTCACACATCATTTATACAGTACCTATTTAGAATCCAACAAATAGTGGCTATATATTTATGAATTTGCAGGTTGGATCTATGAGCACGGCCTTGCCTTTCTTGTTGGAAGCTGAATCCAACTTTGTGGACATGATACAGGAACTAGAAGGCCATCTACCATGGCTCTCAATCACTCCTCATTGTGTTAATCAGTCCGTCCCTTTCATGCAGTCAGTGGTGGTCAGGGGAATTCCAGAAAATATTCCAAGAAGGTATGAAAAAAGAATGCATGTAATTGTGTACTTTAAGGACAAAGGGGGATAATAAGACCTTTTGGATGAAACAATTACTGTACAGTCAAACCTTTTTTTCTCAAACTTGATGAGATTGAGAAAAAAACTTCAAGACATCAAAGGATTTGAGTATTGAGGGTATAAAAAAAATTAAAGAATATAAAGTGGTTGGGACTTCGAAATCAACTTTACATATCCATGGTATTCTTGATATCAGTGTTTGAGATCCTGAAGTTCAATCGTAAATTACTGCAGGAATAAGTTTGAATTAGTTGTAAATGTGGTACTGATATTCAGATTAAAAACTAATAATTAAATATATTTCTATCTTTATTACAGTCCTAGAGGCCTCTACAGTTCTTGTCGATCAGTTAATGACACGTTACAAGTTTATCTCACAGAAAACTTCAACTCCTGTCTCAAGTAAGTAACATATCTCACAGTAAAATCAATGTCTGTCTTAAGTAAGTTATTATATCTCACATTTAATTCAAGTCCTGTCTCAAGTAAGTTATTTTATGTCATAGTAAATTCAAGTCCTGTTTCAAGTAAGTTACTATATCTCACAGTAAATTCAAGTCCTGTCTCAAGTAAGTTAAAATATAAGGTGAGCATGGATGGTCCGACTTTTGTATCAAACACAATTAAATGTTATGATTTAGAGGCTACCTGAATAAAATGAGCATTCAACTTTTACTGATATTTGTACTTATCTGCCTATGGATCCGTGATGCATACAAAGCTGATCTCACTAGGTACACACACTGTCAAGAACTGTTGTTACTTAAAATGGAGCTTTAACCTTATGGTTGTTTCATTTAACAGGCCTTTAAGACAAAGGCATTTATCATGAATTGACTGTAAAATTAATCATTCTTCTGACATTTATTTTGAATGTTTTTATTTTACAAATGAAAGCGCTGGAACAGTGGTCAAAAGTCCTACAAAAGTGTGTACACCATTTCCACACATCTTCAGAAAGAACATTAACAAACATGGACTTGTTTCAACCACGGAGAGACATCAGTTTGAAGGTGAGATTAAATGACTTTTTTCATCTAGAATTTATTTGATGCTAATCCTTAGATTACGGCACTTCCTTTTCCAGGCTTCATTAAATCTTAGGTTCCAACAAAATATCAGATCATTTCAGAAATAATCTATGACATACACTGTACATGTTTCATTGTACAATATGAAGGTACATAACCATATATAATTTACCAGGCATTGACTCAGTCCCTATGATGACCAGTATGCAGTCCAGTCCTGACACTGCACAGCTGCTGAACACCTTGTACACGGAAGCCAAGAAACTAAACATTAGGAAACACGCACGGTACCTAGAGTGTGGCCTGGAAGAAGATGAGTATCAGGAGATACTTCAGGATGTGGCAGACCTAGAGAAATGTTACAGGCCAAAAAGTGACATGGGTTGACAGCCAAGGGACCCTTAGGCTACCTAAAAACAAATAATGCTTAAAACAGTGCAGTTCAGCTTCCCCAATTACCATTTATACAGACTAGCTGAACACAAGATACAACAACTGATACATTTGCTTCAATGCAATAATATTTTTTTAAGTGCATTGCTTAACTATTGAAAGCTACCTTTTGGAATATGTAAGATTTGTTTCTTTTTCTTACAATTATATGTGTGGCATATACAGTTTATGAATTACAGCTTCCTTGAGCCCTCACTTAAGAGTTTTCCAAAGAAAGCCATTTTCAAAGTTCATGTTGTGTGAAAGTTTAGATTTGTTAAGACATTTGTGATACCTGTACATTACTTCAAATGTGCCAAATTTTGTTTTCAAGAATGTCATTAAATGGGAAAAAATAATCAGCTTGCTTGTATTTTGTCGTTGCTGCTTATGACCTGTATATGTGGTATAGTTTTTATTTGGGTCACATCATGTGACCTGTCTATTGAGGACTCAAATGGATGCTGTGTGTTCAGCCCCTTAGTTGAATCTATGCTAAAGAAAATGAGTGCAGAAACTGCTTTGGTCAAAAAAGGCACATGCTAAATCAAGCAAAAGTAATTTGAAGATTTACAATACAAATAAAAGATATCAGTGAATAATTTTGAAAATTTTAATCTTATTGACAAAGACCTGGAAACCCTAATACATGACGGAGTCACTGTTCTAATGTCAGATTAATTCAGACCCTGTTAAATACTGAAAATGACATGAAAGTCCCACAACTATAAATTTAATACAAAGTGCATCTAATGTTAGTTTACAATCATTATTTTTCAATTTCATTTTTACGGTAATTCTTGATTTTTATTTGAATCTGTATTACAATACTACATGTATATAATGAAGATCTTAAACAGTGGAAAAGTTTATAAAAATTAAATAATGAACTTTAATAATTTGACCAATCTTTCAGTACTGTATCAATACTTTTATTTAGATACAGAGTGGCATTCTGAAACATTTTGAGATGAATGAACCGATTTTTCAGATCAAAGAGAAAATTATGAACAGATTGTAGGCGGAAATGTTATATTGTTATTTTAAAAAAATCTGTTTGAGAAGGTGCCTCACAAAAAAATGATCAAGACAAGCAAAATCTTCAAGGTCTTTTTGGGATTATATACATCAAAATCTTGGAATTAGAAATACATGTATATGATAAGTTTTAATTTTTAAACAGATGTATATATTTTCCTATAATTTACTTGTTCATGTACAAATGTAAGTATACTGCAGTTAACCCAATAGCTGAAACTAGTGTAAATTTCTCTTTTTACCCCTATGAATCCTACAGAGAAGAATACCGATACTTCATATACAATTTACTGACTGCCACCTACAGAAGCTGGAGCTGCATATAGCCAGGTTATGTGTTGATTCTGTCTAACTTGATATGCATGTTAATTGAAATTTTCTTACATAGCAATGATTTTAATTCACGCATGTTGCATCGATCTGAAAATGAGAAAGCCTATCCCTTGGTTAACATTTTATATTCATTACGACAGAATATAGTTAACTTTCAAGACACAGTAACTCAATTAAAGTGTTTTGTCCTATAAAAAAAGATTACTTTTATGCCCACATCAGTTATTGGAAAATGGCATCAAAGATCAGTTTTGTAAGCAATGTTTTTCAAATGGTGAATTTATACATCCAACAGTTTTCAAAGTGCAGTGCTTGAATTTTTTTTACCAGATTCAAATGACAGATTACATGATCTGTTGAACAGCATTTACATGTACCTTACTCTATCTACACAAATGATTTTTTTTTAACAGTAGTTACACCTACATACCCATGAAACTTAATTCAATAATTTCTCAGAACCATACCAAAGGTGGCGATCATTATAACCAACACATAAATCAAGACTTATTGATCTATCACCAATAAAAAAAAATTAATTCAAATATAGCTGCTGGAGGGAGATGAGCTAAACAAATGCAAAGTACTATATTATAGTAGTGTACTCCATAATCAAACTTGCACCATTTGAACAGGGTAGACATACTGTAAGCTAATCCAATGAGGTTTTTTGCTTTGAAATTTCATCTCCAATTATTGGAGGCTGTTTTATTATTCGTTTTAAAATTTCAACATTTACAAGTTATTTCCCTTTGCAAGGTCAATCGGCATAAGGCACCATTACCAATTTTATGGGACAATGTCTTAAAATTTTTAATTGGAGTATGTTCGTTTTTTACGTTGCCCCATACTATGGTAATACAGGAACAGATCGAAATTGTGCGATAGCATTCGAAGGTTGAACATATTTACACTAACAGTTAAGTTACAAGGGGATATAGTGAGAAAAATGAGAGTTATGACAACTCTTAAGAATGTGAAATCTGTCTATTACACTGGTCTACCACACACTTAAATTCCAAGTATTATTTAGTTCTTCATTCAAGTTCTTACAACTTAAAACGGTTTGTTTTCTCCCTCCTAGTAAAAAAATTGCCAAGTATAATCACCTAAACCCTGTAATCTCGGTAATATGTACTCCCTTCAAACAAAAAGCTCATTAGTTGCAAAAATTTTTATTTAGGTGACAAAAAGTAAACGGTTTGATCAAATTTTTGACAATTATTTGTTTATATTCTCTCAAGTGTCCATAAAAACTTTAAAAACAATAATTTTAGATGTTATTGTCCAAAAATAACTTTAAAAACAGTAATTTTGAATGATACAGTCACAGGATCAAAATTTAATTTCCACCTCTGAGACGCAAGACCAAATGGAGAGTGGACTCTTTTTGGATGTTGTAATCGGACAAAGTACGACCATCTTCCAGTTGTTTTCCGGCGAAGATCAACCTCTGCTGGTCTGGGGGAATTCCCTCCTTATCCTGGATTTTAGCTTTGACATTCTCGATAGTGTCAGACGGTTCCACCTCCAGGGTAATGGTTTTCCCAGTGAGGGTCTTGACAAATATCTGCATACCCCCTCTCAGACGAAGTACTAGATGGAGGGTCGACTCCTTCTGAATATTGTAGTCGGACAGTGTGCGGCCATCTTCCAGTTGTTTTCCGGCGAAGATCAATCTCTGCTGGTCTGGGGGAATACCTTCCTTATCCTGGATTTTAGCTTTGACATTCTCGATGGTGTCAGATGGTTCCACCTCCAGGGTAATGGTTTTCCCAGTGAGGGTCTTCACGAATATTTGCATACCCCCTCTCAGACGAAGTACTAGATGGAGGGTCGACTCCTTCTGAATATTGTAGTCGGATAGTGTGCGGCCATCTTCCAGTTGTTTTCCGGCGAAGATCAATCTCTGCTGGTCTGGGGGAATTCCCTCCTTATCCTGGATTTTAGCTTTGACATTCTCGATGGTGTCAGATGGTTCCACCTCCAGGGTAATGGTTTTCCCAGTGAGGGTCTTCACGAATATTTGCATACCCCCTCTCAGACGAAGTACTAGATGGAGGGTCGACTCCTTCTGAATATTGTAGTCGGATAGTGTGCGGCCATCTTCCAGTTGTTTTCCGGCGAAGATCAATCTCTGCTGGTCTGGGGGAATTCCCTCCTTATCCTGGATTTTAGCTTTGACATTCTCGATGGTGTCAGATGGTTCCACCTCCAGGGTAATGGTTTTCCCAGTGAGGGTCTTGACAAATATTTGCATACCCCCTCTCAGACGAAGTACTAGATGGAGGGTCGACTCCTTCTGAATATTGTAGTCGGACAGTGTGCGGCCATCTTCCAGTTGTTTTCCGGCGAAGATCAACCTCTGCTGGTCTGGGGGAATACCCTCCTTATCCTGGATTTTAGCTTTGACATTCTCGATAGTGTCAGACGGTTCCACCTCCAGGGTAATGGTTTTCCCAGTGAGGGTCTTGACAAATATCTGCATACCCCCTCTCAGACGAAGTACTAGATGGAGGGTCGACTCCTTCTGAATATTGTAGTCGGACAGTGTGCGGCCATCTTCCAGTTGTTTTCCGGCGAAGATCAATCTCTGCTGGTCTGGGGGAATTCCCTCCTTATCCTGGATTTTAGCTTTGACATTCTCGATGGTGTCAGATGGTTCCACCTCCAGGGTAATGGTTTTCCCAGTGAGGGTCTTCACGAATATTTGCATACCCCCTCTCAGACGAAGTACTAGATGGAGGGTCGACTCTTTCTGAATATTGTAGTCGGACAGTGTGCGGCCATCTTCCAGTTGTTTTCCGGCGAAGATCAATCTCTGCTGGTCTGGGGGAATACCCTCCTTATCCTGGATTTTAGCTTTGACATTCTCGATGGTGTCAGATGGTTCCACCTCCAAGGTAATGGTTTTACCAGTAAGTGTCTTGACGAATATCTGCATGGTTCTGGAAAGACAAATTCTACATTGATCTTTTTGTATACAGCACAATATCCTAGAAAACAAGTGGCACAATTCCTAGAAACGGAAATCGACACCTTTTTTTAGAGCAATTAATTAATCTGCCGTATTTTAAAACATACTTATTCCCGTTACTTTACATTAAAATACAAAATTCAAAATTTTACTGATGCAATTCTTTCAATAATTGCGTTATGTATCCATTGACTTTCACGGGATTCGACTTTCACAATGGCGGAAAGGAATCCATGTCGAATGTTCGTGAATATTCCACATTTGGTCTTTAACGTTTCCAAGGCCACATAAAGAGTAATCATTATAAATACAAATATACAATAACGCGTATGTATCATTTAAATAAATATCAGATTTGATTCCTTAAAAATCGTCACGATTGTTGCTCTCAAAATGGCGGGTTTCAGAATTCCACTTCAAAATGAACAGGTAATTTACTGTTTACTATCTTTACTTTCACAAAAAAATCAATGAATTTACTTAAGATTTTCTTCAGTTTTTGAGTCTTTATTTTTCGTTAAATAAAATTTGTTTTACGTACCTTTTGTTCCTCGTTTAAAACGACTGCGTTTTTCTTCCTTATTGATCGTCTTTGTTGCGTTCTACCTTGTCATCCGGGATGTTTGTCTTTATATATACCGTCTGATCATGTGATATCTGGTCTTCGTTTGATTGGTTATGAAGTTTCCAGCACATGACTTGAATTCTAAAAATAATCCCCTATTATGACATCACAATTGCAAGTCTGTTTTTAGAACACACGAAACGAAGTATCGAAATAAATATTTATTACGTACATTCTACTAAATATATATAAGTCCCTGTGATAAACAGGTGCAGACATGTTTTTAGGCGTTACGTAATATGAGAATCGTTGATTTAGTATTTAAATTTAGCCCGAATACATAGTTGGAGAGTACACACACATCTGAAAGGTATTTTGAGCTGGGGGGGGGAGGGTTAAAATAATTGAAGGGCCTGGGAAAAACTTTATTTTGTATATTAAATTACAGATAAAATATTGCGGCCAGTTCGACCGAGAACGCTGCTAGCTAGGAGAAAATCATATGATAATATTTCATAATGTATTATTTTCTTATTAACTTGATTAATTTTATGGTCTAGTTGCTATATTCATCATACAGGTTTAGTTGCTATCCGCCGGGCAGTATTGCATGCCAGCCAGGGGCAAGGAATTCGAGTACGTACATGCATGTATACGTATATATATACCGTGTAATTTAAATAATCGGATTAACACATAAAATCAGCTTATACTGACACATTAAAAAGACGGATAAAATTCAGTTCCAGAGAGCAATTAGAGAGAGAGGAGAGTACATATGTTTATCGTGACTGCATTTTTAAAAAAAAAAAAATGAAATATTATATGGATATTATAGCTTATACGTATTTAAAAAAAAGTGTAACTATTCTGTATGTCAGATCATGTCTCTAGTCAGATGTTCAGTAATTGTTTTCCTTTCCCTCACAAAATTAATCTAATGGTTACATTTTAATTTTTTTCATCATATTTAATCAGTATAAGTATAAATATCAAAGTATTAAGAAATTTAATAAAACTTAAAATGAAATAATATCGAAATCTCTTTGGAGACTTGATATACAGTTGGACTGCTTCAAAAATTGAACAATTAGTTTTATTTGGTAATATAATTTTAACTGTCAATATTGATTCCTTTTCAAGATTTAAGAATATCATGAAGAGACCTACTGTAGATAGAATAAAGAAATTGTCAAGATCTTTAATTATGGTAATCGCAAGGAAAACATTATACAATGTCAACAAAGAAATAAATATAGTAATTTAAATGCTCACCTGTTTAATAGCATCTTGTACTAAGTGCGGATATCAATGCGAGGATAACTATCATTTTTTTTCTTATGATGCCCTGCCTATAATAATCAGAGAATGATACTTTTTGAAAGTCTTCAGAGCATAAAAGAATTAGAAAACCTCTCTTTCGATCAAGTTTTGCATACTTTGCTGTTTGGTGATAGGCAATTATACCAAATAAAACTAACTGTTCAATTTTTGAAGCAGTCCAACTGTATATCAAGTCTTCAAAGAGATTTTGAGATTATTTCATTTTAAGTTTTATTAGAAATCTTAATATTTTGATATTTATACTTACTTCAAATCTCAGCATTCCAATGTATATGAATGTTTTTTTTCCTTGCATATTTGTCTTTTGCACTTTCTTTATTTACCTATTGAGTTTTGTTGTTTGTTCCAATTTTATTTATTTATCTATCTATTTATTTATTTTATTTATTTATTTATTTATTTATTTATTTATTTTGTATCTTTCTTTGCATATTTGCCTTTTGCACTTATTTATTTATTTATTCAATTTTGTAGTTTGTTGACCTCTTCTATTATCTTTTCATTATATTGTATACTTAGAATATATGCTAGGTAATAACTCTTGTGTATAATTTATCTTTTTTTATTTTTTTCCTTTTCTAGCTTACATTAGAAATTAATATATTTTGTTATGAACAATTTCATCATTAATTGTAAACAATTATACATGATTATTGTCAATTCCTTTGTAACCTTGACCTTCTTGGAGAGGACTATGCCTGATGTCCAATCCGCCAATTATGTGATGTGGCTTTACATAATAAAATACTGATTAAAATTAAATATATATATATATACTGTATAAGACATGAAGTCGTAATATCAGGGACCTATGCATATACATGCATGTATACGTACCTGCATGGTAATATTAAACCAAACTTCAATGCATGTACGAATATTTACCATTTAATCACATTTATATGCCTGTCTTTATGTATATAGTTATGCATATAGAATAATGTTTATTCACCAATCAAGGGCTGCTCAAAGGGCATGTACAATTAAAAACAATATATATAATCATAATTTATGTTCTCATATGTACATACATGTATAATACTTAATTGACAAAACATCCTTCTTCGAATGAATGCAGCACCAAGACGGACGAGACTTCAGGGTCCAATATTGTGACACACAGTGGCAATTAATTAACAATGTGTTACGTACAATATTTCCGATTTGGCAGGTAGATTGGGTTAAACATTGACAAACATCCTTGAAGTTTTTCGAATGAATACAGCACCAGGACAGAGAAACTTCCGGGTACAATAATGTGACACGCAGTGGCAATTAATTAACAATGGATTACGTACAATATTTTCGATTTGGCGGGTAGATTAATTGGGTCAAATATTCCACTTACTAATTAGTTGATTTTCCCTGCCGTATCAAACCCGGAAAATTTCTTGACAAGCATGAAAAAAAGCTATTTCCCAAACGTGAAAAAAACTATTTCGTGGTGGTGGTGGGGTCCGTTTTCCAGAGGGTGGGGGTGGGTCTAAAGCCATTTTTTATTTGCTTCAGTATATATACTTTAAATAACTCTGCAAATTCGGGGGGGGGGGGGTCCGGATTCGTGCATACCTGAGTAACTTAAACCTTGCTGTTCCTCATCAGATTTTTAAAAAAATTATATTCCCATGAAAAATTGTGACCCAACTTTATGGCCGCACCTAATTACTTTAATATTTTTTTTCTTATGTCGGCTGTACATAGTTCTATGTAAAACTATGATCCCCAATTGTAACCTCACCCTACACCCGGGGACCATGATTTGACAAATTTAGAACTTACATTTTATAAGAAAGATTTTGTATAATTTCCATCTTTTCTAGATCTGGTAGATTCTGAAAAGATTGTTCCTGTATATACATGTATATACTTTGATCCATATTACCCCTCGGGAGGGGGGGGGGTGGTTTGAACAATTTAGAATCTACATTATGTCTGGAAGCTTTCATATAAGTTTCATATTTTCTGATCCAGTGGTTCCTCATACTGCTGCCAGAGTTTGTTTGTAGGGAGATGCAGAGAACTATAAGTAGTCTAGTAGTTCCTGAGAAGATTTTTAAAAGATTTTTTAAAATACATTTCCAAGTCAAACTTTGATCCCCTATTGTGGCCCCACCCTACACCATGACCATGGTTTGAACAATTTAAAATCTACACTTCCTAACGAAGCTTTCACTTAAGTTTCATCTTTTATGGTCCAGTGGTTCTTAAGAAAAGACTTGTAAAGATGTTTCTTAAATATTTCAGTATCAACTTTGATCCTCTGTTGTACGGGGCCACACCCTACCCTCTGGAGGGGGAGGGGGTTGTTTGAACAATTTACAATCAACATTACCTGAAGGAGTCGTCAAATAGGTTTACTTTTCTGGCCCAGTGATTCTTGAAAGGGGTTTGGCCCATTTTGAATCCCCTTTACCAATGGATGCATTTTGCCAGCTTTGGTTAAAATTTTCCCAGGGTTTCTTAAAAAGTCGGAAAATGTGAAATGATTACAGACAGGTGAACAAAGGGTGATCAGAAAAGCTCACATGGCCTCTCGGCTCAGGTGAGCTGAGCAGGTGACACGACAATAAAGAATTGAAAAATGAATGAATTACACTAAATTATACTTAATCATTCTACCAAACATGTACATTGTGTAGACGTTTTACAGCATGCGTGGATCTTGCTGGGGGTCCGAAACACCCCCCCCCCGGAATTTGCAGAATTATTAAAATAAAAGTATATACTGAAGCAAATAAAAAATGATTTTGGACCCCCTCCCCCGGAACACGTGGACACCACCGCGAAGTAGGTTTTTTTCACGTTTGGGAAATGGATTTGACGTTTTTTGTTTTTGTTTTTGTTTGTTTGTTTGTTTGTTTTTTTTTTTTTTTTTTTTTTTTTTTTGGCTTGTCAAGAAATTTCTCTGGGTTGGAAATTTTTTGACTGGAGTGGACCCCCTGGAAAAAATTCTTGGATCCGCCTCTTGTACAGTATATACAGGTAGCCACATAGTAAAAAAAAAAGTCTATATATACATTATATATGTTATAGGTATAACTTACATAAATACACAGAATTTTTGTGCAGACAAGATCAGTCACACAATAGCTTAGAGCTTTTACCAGTTTACAGACACATTCTGTTACTTTTTGTCTCTGGTTTTTATCTCTTGTTTAACCCCCCTCCCCCTTATGACTTCTACATTTTACATAACACAACTAGTAAAGACTCTGACCACTTTCTAGTCTGATACTTAAGTATTCCACAAACAGAGAGATTATAGGAAGGAAGGTTGTCTGAATATTACCTGTACCAGAAACATATATAAATAGTTATTATAATTTACGTTTCTGCATGTACATGCATGTGAATGATGTTAAATTATCAAAAACTGGTTTGCTTTAAATTGCAAACAAATTTGGACATTCTGTATGTTACAAAAAACTTTTAAACAAATTACAGAAATTTCAGAAAGCTTATTCTTGTTTACATGTTGTTTTATTATATGTGCTATTAAGCTACTACACAACTCTTTATATCCAAGTATTTCAGTTTAAACTTCACCCAAAGCAATTAAAAACTTGAATACCACCATCTGAATATGAAAATGTTACTAAATTCCAAAAAATGAACTCTATTTGATTTAGAACACACTCACATAAAAAAAAAAACAGTTTTATTTTCTTTCAAAATTTTGTTCAAATATTAATTTTAAGAGGGAAATGTACATCACACAAGCATTGGAACACAAATGTTTCAATATGAAATTCACTAAATTAATTCTTGGTATAGTTTACCGCTGAGTTTAAAAAACCCACATTTACAAAAGCCATAGAAAATCTAATGTAAAGTGTGAGTTTTTTTTTCCTTTTATAACATACATATACATGTAATTATGTGTACAACTGCAACACTTCAAAATGGATTCTTGTTTCGAGTTATTAATAAATATATAAATACATGTAAGTGGAAATGAGTGAAGCAATTAATTATTGTTCAATCCTGTGTTTTATGATCCTGTAGAAATATATTGGCCATCATGTACTAAAATTTTACTCCTGCATTAAAAAAATCATTCACGCTAATAATTTATGCATGCAAGAGGAAATGAGTGAACCAATTTATCTTTTAGAAATATATTGGCAATAATGAATTAAAATTAAAAAAATCATTCAATCAGTCTTGACTCTTCTTTCACACATGGGACATTTTACAGCACAGTTTACAGTTGGAACATTTTACAGCACAGTTTACAGTTGAACACCTGTAGCACAGTCTATAATTAGTATACATGTGATGCGGGTTCCTATGATGATGGCATTACAGCTTTGGCTTCCTCTAGAGCAGTTTTACCAGCCTTATACTCCTCTGTCTCGTTTAGATCCTCCTCTTTATTCTACAATGACAGATTATGGGGATGGTTTAGTGGCCCTCGTTTAACATTAGGCATAAAAAGAAAAATACTTTGTGCAAAATTCAATTTGCAGATATGCCCATTAAAAGTAGATGATTAATAAAAAGCCCAAATTATTGTTGTATTCTATAAGTTCCAGAAACCAGCCATTTTATTTATCGTACACAAAATTTTGCTTTTGTGTATCTCATGGTATTACACGAGTTCTCCTTCTTTCAGTGTTTCTACTATCTTTGAAAACCAAGGATCATTATGCACTCTTTGAAGATAAAATTTTTGGAGTCAAAGAGAATTTTGGAGAGTTCAAATATACGCTGGTTTTTGCTTTCAGCTGTTATACTAGCTATGCTCCCTTACAGTTATAAAAAATTAAAGTAAAAATATAATACCTTTATAGTTTATATCAGCATAAAACATGTACAGTAAAACATGCATATAATGAACACACCAGTAATGAAATGACACTTACAGCGCAACGATTTTTATTCCCAGTGACTTTAAAATATATTTGAAACTTAACTTATATACATGTAACAATTACGCATATAATGAAGCAAAATCGTCCATCCCTGGCACTTTGTTAGAAGCATGTTTTACTGTAAATGATTGTGGGGAGTATTTGTCAGTGACTCAGTGATATATCAGGTCACTATATTATAAGTAAAACAAACCAGTAAGTTTTCTAGGTCAGCATAAGCAGTATTAAGTCTCTTTAGTGTATCTGGGATCATCATCTTGGATTCTTGTAGAACTTCAATCTGTAAAACACAGGTTACTTTATATATGAGTGTCAACTTATTAATTTATACTGCATAGTGAATTATTGTAACATAAGTCATATAGGGCTGGTTATTATCTTCATTAACAACAAATAAAATAGAGCATTATTCCTCAATTACATTTATAGCTTTCATTTTTTTAAAAAGAGAATTCCTATCTATTGACCCAAACCAATTTTTGACCTTTAATTCTCCTAACTGATAGATGAAATATTGACCACTCCTATGGATGTCATGTGATCTCATTACAAAGATTTAATCCAGAATTGAAAATAATTAATGATGTATCATATGTACCAGGCAGGTCTAACATACGAAATAAATAAATATGGGAGTAGGACCTATCCCTATAGATTTTCTAAACAGGTTAAGGTTATATTCATGAAGTAGACAATTTGACGAGAACATGTTCTTAAATTTTTTTGAGACATGCATATTAATTCATACCTATAAAAATGTATCTTGAATGAATCACATTAAAATTCCTTTTTTTGTGCAACTTGCAGCCTGATATGAAAATGTTGTTAATATTGTAGATGTATTATCAGAAGTGAACAAGAAAATGTACCCCAACTAAGTATCAACAGCTTTTCCTGTGAAATCTTTTACCATTTATTTGGTAAACATTCCCCCCCCCCCCCAACAAGATTGCCAGTAGTAGAAGAGCTATTTTTTTTATTTATCAGTTTTTTTAACTCATATTTCCCTTCTATAAACAGTTAAACTTGTCTATTCCAAATACCACTAGTTCCATAGAACAACATAAAACAAATTCTGGATCGCACAAGATTATAATCAATAAATTCACTGAGAGGGACTTACTGTAAATATCAAAGAAATTGAATATTCCTACAGTATCTCTCAAAAGAGAACTTCCTCTGCAGTATCCCTCGAGTGAACACTTACCATTTTCTTGACTTCATATTCATCTTTATTCTCTGCCTTCATCTTTTCTACTTTTTCCTCAGTTTTGACAACTTCCTTTTCATAAGCAACCTTTTCTTTTGTCAACCTACAAAGATTTAATATGCAGTAAAACTTGTCTAATCTGGATGCTGAGTAATCTGAAATCTTGCCTAATACAATGTAAGACTAAGCTTCACGTATCAATCCCCTTCATTAAATTTAATTGTTTAAAGTCTTGTCTAAACCAGAATGTTGTCTAATCTGGCCAATTTCTTTGGAACCAAAGGTGTCTGGATTAAATAAGTTTTACTCTAACATCAATTTTACAGTTATACAATTAAAGCCATATATGGCGCATATTTGAAAAGTACATATAACCAAAATTAACAAGATCTTTCTATTTGTTTTATTTAAGGAATAACTGTCTAATTTTTTGGATTCATGATGTGATCAATCGAGTGGCTTGTGTGATAATTTGCATAAACGCCAAAGGCGCTTATGCATAAAATTATCATGCAAGCCAATCGATTGATCATCGTCATGAATCCAAAAAATCTGACAGTTATTCCTTATATTTACATGCTCCTGATTCTGCAAATTCCCGTGCTAATAGCCCCGCTTCTGTCTCTTTGTCCCGCCCCGATTTTTTTTAACCGCGCCTATCGATGAACCAGTAGATTTATGTAGAAATAAAGTATTTTTACAATTTGTAATTTTATCTCGGACAATGACATTGGAAATGTAAATATTACTTTATACATGTATAAAGATAGAATTTTTCTGCAATTTATACAATTTAAATCAATTGCGTTTAAAAGATATTAATCTAATTTAAAACAATAACCAACTTATTTACAGACTTCACATTTAAATATGAGACAAATTTAAAGTCATTTAAACTATAGAAATGGAAAATTATTCAAGTTTAAAATTGGTGAAAAAATTTTTTGAACATAAATGACATATATCATGTGTTTCAATGCTCAACTATTATTATTTTTTTAGCTCTGATAAGCCATATATAAACAGCTTTAATATTTACATTTCAGCAACAGTTTTATACTACTTTTTCCCCAGTGATAAATACCTACTGTACAAAAGAACATGATTTTTCAGTGACTGAATGAAACAATTCACTGTTTTAGGTAAATTGGATTTTTTTTAAGGTAGCAACTAAGAAAATTGCTGTTGAACAGAGAGGCATGCACTTGCAAGAGGAGCTTGAGAATAAAATACAGAGGGAAGGAAAATTATATCTAAAAACATGATACTCATGTAGTTACATGTAAATGTTATACATGTACTTTTTACATGTGTATATGTAATAAATATAAATGATTGTACTTAAAAAAATGCCCTGGAAATAATAAAAATTTTTAGAGAAAAATGCCACAGATAGTGATAGCAAATCAATTCAAAACTCACACATCTCCAGTATACTGTAAATTACTTTTTATTCAGGACAACTTTATTTTCACGTAATTATGCAAATCCGTCAACATTTGCTCACGAAAATTTCATTCTCTTGTATATCTTTACATGTACTTATATTAAATATATTTCAAGATACTAGACCTATGATGTAGAGTAAAAAATAATCTGGAATGGTGAGGATTCATTCCATTGGAAGTCATTTTATCATGACTTTAAACTTTGATATGTCAAAACATCTCCCAGATAATTGTTAACACCTGTACTGATAATTTACCGATACACAACTTCGGTAAGTAGCTATCGGCATTGTTTAACTAGAGAGCCAAGCTTGTTCGTTAAATGGAAGTGACATTTGCGAACTTAATTACAAACGAAATTCAAAAACTGGGAGATTTTCATGTTGCTCAGCAAAAATCAGGTGAAAAGCATGACCCCCCCCCCATCCCTCCCCTCATATCATAAAAAATAATCAGGTTAAGAGTTGAATAATTGGATGCAACCCTACAAAATCAGGCAAGCTGGCAACTATGTTGAGGATCAAATCATCTCTCTATCATTACCTGGAGAAATTAAATTCAGATGTCCACAACCTCTCCTAGCTATCACTATCTGCAATTGCAAATCAGTTTTGAAAGTTTCTCAGAGTACTAAATATTTTTCTATCCATTGTGGATACCTGAACTTGTCATTTTCCAGTGAGCCTAAATATTAAAATCCACTAACCCAAGTCATGCCAAGTAATGAGCTAAAAGCTTCAGTCACAGCTAGACCTATGACTTTCTATCAATAAGCCGTTATGATTGATTAGGGTGATATATCCAGATATCTACCCCTCCATTTATCCATTTATACTGTTATATATAGAGGGTTATGGATATATTAATCTGATCAATCATATAACGACTTATTAGTTATTGACAGAAATTCAGAGGCCTATGCTTCAGTAAACCCTGAAAACATAGCGGATAATATGCCCCTGTCCCTGAACCGTGACAACAAAATATTAAATGTAATATAACAACATGATACCTTTTGACAACACCTGTCTTAATTTTGATTTGTTTAACTCTTGGATCAGCCATTTTATATTGGTTCTTTTCCACCAGCACAGTTGTCACTGAAAACAAAAGTACCAGAATAACGAATAACACTACTGCCGTGGTTACTCACGCTTCTACAAGAACCGGAAGTGCTTCATCGTGTATGGATAATGCGTACAGGTAAGTTTTCGGCTGCAAAGTAAAGATATTAAGTTTCAGAATAGAAAAAAAGAAAATATTTTTGAGTATAAAGTAATATACCACCGCATAAAATAGTAAAGAATGAGAAAAGGCAAGATAGGTCACAAAGATTTCAGCATAGTCCTGACATATGATACATGTACGTATTCATTCTCTATCCAGAGTTCCATACACATCTGTCAACACTCATCGTACAAGACTCTTGTATAATTTTTAAACGGTAAAACATTGAAATTAAAATCGTTATTAATTATTGCAATCATCAATAATCAGATCAATAATGACATGATGATTTTTCATTTATTGTCAATCTATCATTATAAAACGATTTATTTTCAAGGTTTTTGAGGAATTTTGTGGAGTAAAAATTGGGGGATCCTTCTCGGGAAGAGAGATTAAAAATAAATTGTTTTTACCAATGATTAATATACTTTAAAACGATTTTAATAATATTTTCATTATTCATAAAAAAGATGGGTGAACATGATGGGCGAAAAGCCTATAGTGTGACAAACATGAAGGTGAAAAATTAAATCTCAATTATATCAAAATTTTCCTTGATATTTCATATAACATTAAAATATACTTTATGCAAAAATCTCTACAACTGGCAAAAATCTCACATAGATTGAAATTATTTGCTTATGAAATATTATACACACACTAAAGAGAGCAAAAAGAGTCATTTTCTCATACTATAACACTATTTTTCGATATCAGTGGGTCTTTGCTCCATTTTTTTGAAAGTTAATCCTCAAAGTTTGCATAAAATATACATTTTTGGTTACCAAAAACATGAAGCAAAGACCCACTATACCTTAAAAATCTTCTTCCAAGAACAACAAAGCCACAATTAGTCATATTGATATGGAATCATCCTCGCGTAGTGTAGATTCAAGTTTGTTGAAATCAAGACCCCCGGGGGTAGGGTGGGGTCACAATGGGGGATCAAAGTTTTACATAGGAATATATGGGGAAATTCTTTAAAAATCTTTTCAAGAACAGTAAAGCCATGATTAGTCATATTGACATTGAAGCAACCCCAAGTTTTGTAGATTCGAGTTTGTTCAAGGCATCCTCAAGTAGTAGGGTGAAGCCATAATGGGGGATCAAAGTTTAACAAAAGAATATATATATATTAAGAAATATCTTTAAAAATCTTCTTCTCAAGAATAACAAAGCCATAATTAGTCATATTGATATGAAAGCATCCTCGGGTAGTGTAGATTCAAGTTTGTTCAAATCATGAACCTCCACCCCCACCCCCCAGGGTAGGGTGGCAGACATATTTAAAATTCCGTTTTTAAAAACAGCAAAACCATGATAAGTTATATGAATATAGAAGCATCCTCAGAAAGTTTAGATTCAATTTCATTCAAAACATGGTACCTTGGGATAGGGTATGCCTAGAACAGACGATCAAAGCTTTACATATGACTATATAGAAGAAGAAATCTGCTGACAAAGAACAGCAGGGCCATATTGACTCAGGTGAGCGTTGTGGCCCATAAGCCTCTTGTTAATAACACCCAGGCCAGTAGAACGCGGGGAGGGGCCGGGGGCACTTTTTTCTGAGTATAGTAAATTTTCCTTTATATGCCCCCCCCCCCCCACTTTTTGTTGCAGTAAGGTTAGTAAGGTTGAGCACTGGCAAATTCCAGGATTTGGACTGTTAATTAGTTTTTTTTTTTTCCTTTCGTTTTTTGCTTGTCAGATTATAATTATTTGGGAAGCAGATTTGTTTTATTTTCTTTTTTTTTCTTTTTTTTCTTTCTTTTTTTTTTTTTTTTTTTTTTGTTTTTTGTTTTTTTGTTTTTTGCTTGCTTGCTTGTCAGATTTTTTTGAGGAAGTTGGCTCTCCACTTTTGAAACCGTTGCTACCACCCATAAGCATCCACCCCCAAATCATAACGCACGCACCGCTCGTATTCTTAAAACTTTTCTTCATTAGAGGCATATATACATATTGTACAATACGGAGCAATGTTTAAATTAGCCGAAAACATCAGAATTTTACACAACTTATCCGAAAATTAAAGTGGGCGACGGCTGTGGACACTATTTTCTTAAGGAAAATAACCATTGAAATTGGTCATTTTGAGGCTTTTTTCTGTTTAAAATAGAGAAATGCATCAAATTAATGACGTCGTATTTCCAGAATGGTACTCCTTCATGCCATATTCTTTCCTAATTTATCACAGTCATATACTTAACTAATATTTAAGCCAGTTTCAAAACTTTTTAAAAACATTAAATTTTTAGGGCACAATTAAGCTAAAACTGTACCTTCTTCTTTATTTAAAAAGTATTAAAGAGATAATCCTACACAAATCAATATTTTACAACAAATATAATGAAAAAAATTAAGATTGTTCAGGAAAAAAAGGTTTTCTTTCTTTTTAAAATTTTTGTTTTCCTCAGAAAAGAATGAAGTGTAGGCACGTGCTTTAAGTGAAAATCTTGGAAATGATTTAAAAATTGGTAAACCGAGTTGAAAAATATGATGCAAATACGGACATACATGTATCCTATACAGTACCGGGTATAAAAGTCCGGGTTGATCTAAATTTTTTTTAAGTTATTCTCAAATTATTGTACGGAAGTAAAGTTTCAACTTATATTTTTTTTTTAATAACAATTGAAATAAGTTTATCAGACGAGTCAGAATTGCCCTTGTCTTATCGTAAAGTAGACCCCCCAAAAAAGGGGGAAATTTGAGGAATACTGACATTTCCTTATAGGGAATCTCCAAAACTTTTCATTTCATAATCGATGCCTTTTTTTTAAACAACGCAATTATTTATGTTTCCTCGTGCTGCAAAAGATAACTGCACCTCTGTTTTTGTTGAATTTTGAATAAGCCAACATAAGCCAAACTATAAAAGTACTTTTTGTATTTATTTATAAATGATCAAAATTCTTGTACAATTTCTTTATAATTTGAAATATAAATTATTCAAATAATATATAATAATATATTTCCCCAGAAAAAAAGTTCAAAGACGATGATGTCTCATTGAACAGAAATTACTGCTGTTTCCTTACATTGGTTAGATACATGCAAGTAATTTATTCAATAACTTTATCTTTTTTCTAATTTAATGTTAAGAATACTTTTATCTAGTACACATTGTGTCAAGATTTCACTGTACTACCTTGCATCTAAAGGCAGTTTACTCCAAATGCATAAAACTACCCTTGAATTAGTACTCTTCTGTAAGCAGTGTTTAGAGCTTCCTTAAACTATATTAAACTTTCCAGCTGTTTGGAACGTCTTGCAGAAGCGAGTTGCACAAATGTTTCGTACACATGATTCCTGCAGATACTTATGAGCCGTAATCGTATGTTGTTGTGCGCGTGCAATGTTGTATTTCAGAATGTAAAATGTGAAAGTACTAGTACATGTAATTTGAATTTTGTATTTTTATTGTTACTGTGGACATGAATTGTTTTAATTTGGTAAATAATATTTAAACAAAAAAAGGTCAATTAAATTTTGGAAATAACCCATTTTGAAGAGAATAGAACCATTGATGATAATGATTTTTGTTCGGACAGTCCAATATCAACGTAAGACATGGGATTAAACTCACGAAGCTAAAAGATAGGTATGATAAGTGTGTGTATTTAAAGTATATATACAACGACAAGGTGTATAATGTTGCTTATTACACAATTGGTATGACTGCATGGCCTTTTGTTGTACAGATAGCACACATGACAACCAACTTATCTGATTGTTTTCGAACTGATAAAAGCAAAAAAAAAAAATAAATAAATAAATAAATAATATTCTAAAATTATATACACACGAATATATACAAACACATAGTAAACACATAGTAACAAGCAAACAATAAAAATGACTTTGATTCCAAATCCTTATAATTTTGCTCTCTGTTTAACTTTACACTAGTGTACTCATACTTGTAGCAGTTCTATTGGTTTCACTCATCAAGAAAGGTAAATTCATAAAACACAATGAAGTATCTGTTTACAGATGGTTAAAATTTACGTCCCAAATTGTCTTGATCTATTTATTTATTTATTCATTTTTTTTTTTTTTTTTTGTCTTTTTCTACTTTAAGAAGGTCACGAAATATTTCAATTTCCGAATTTTCTCACTTTTATGCAAATTTTATCAATTTTAGACCACATTTTGTTTCAGAAAACACAAAACATTTATCGTCTTGTGTATACAATTCTCAGATAGGCAAGCTTGTGCTCTATGTTTCCCGAAGTGAACATATCTCAAATATGACAAATTCCATCAGAATTGAGGAAATTTGGTGAAATGTCCTTCTTTGGGACACTCTTGTTGCTTCCAACTATTCTTTGAATCAAAATTAGTGCTGGATTTTTTTTAAACAAGCAACATTTAAAGTTCTTAACTGTCACAATTTTAACTGTATTTGATTTTTACATCATATAAGGGGCAAAATTCCGCCGTAACCACACCCTGTCCTTTGGAATCACAAAATACCTTACAAAATCGGACTAGGGAAAAGCATTATTTGGGGGTTCATAAATTTGTTATGTATGAAAATTACCATAGGAATGGGGCATAACTCTTGTCAATTTAGTAAAGGTCCTTTTGGTTAAAAATTCTATGTTAAAGAAAGAGGAAGGGAATTAAACTGTGTATAGCAGTATTTATAGATGCAATAAAACTTTTTACATGTATATACCTAAGAAAAAAATGCACATGTTAAGACAGGTTAAGACACTTTAGAGTGTATGTTGCATTTCCCCGACTCATAATAATAATTTTGTTTAGGGTAGGGACTATCAAAATATACTTGTGTATATGTGTATCATTAAACTATCACTCAAAATAAAAAAAAAAATATGCTACCTCATAGGTGCTTCATTTTCATCGCTGTAGAAGACAACAAGGATCACTATCATTGTTCCGACAGATCAAACAATGCGATCTTGGATAAATTCCAGCAGTTTTTTTAAAGGATATAAGACTTCTTTTTTAATGCATTTAATTTAGTTAACAAACACAAATAAAGCTATCTCATTCATTCACGTTTTCAGCAATTCTGGTTCTGGGTGGACACGATGAACTGTAGGCTTCCATATATACATTTTTATCTCTTTTTTTTTTCGATTATGGGGGCATAAAAATTACACATGTTAAGGCACTCTTCAGAGTGTATGTTGCATTTCCTCCATGCATTCATATATGTAATAAAACTTTTAGGATATAGGCTATCTAAACATAATTTTGTTTGTAGATATTTATGATTATATGTTCTTTTTTAAATATTATATTTAATATATATTTACTAAGTGAAATGATCTATGCATGCAATAAATCTGTATGAAATATATGGAGACAACGAACAGTAATCAAGCTCTAAAGTCCATTAAACAATACAAATTTTGGAGCAGAGCAAACACGGACCTCATAACCATCAGATGTGGGATCAGGTGCCATGGAGGAGTGAGCATCCCCTGCCGACCAGTCACACCCGCCGTGTGCTCCTTGTCATGATCGGGAAATAACGGAATAATCCGTCGACAATTCAGTGTGTAAATAATGGCCTAACAATTAGTATGAAAAACGTTAGTCAGCATTTGACTTAATGATAAATTATGTTTGCCGACAAGGTTATTGTATCGACCATAGAACTTACGAAATGACGACTTTAAACGAGACTGTTGATATTCTTGTATCATCAAATTGTTTGTCAATAACTTACCTCGTTTTAGAAATTGTTCATACGTTTTAGAATTTGTTAATACGTAGAGCATGCTCTTGTACGGAAGCCCATTTAGGACCTATCAAAAAGTATTTTTGAATTCGATATCGAATTCGAAGATATTTTTTGATAGGTCCTAAATGGGCTTCCGTACTCTTGCGTATCGAATCAACTAAGAGATATAAACCCCGTATGCAGGTGAAGAAGGTATATTGCTGCATAAGGGAAGTTGACGATTGAAAAGTTAAAGTCATCACGTTTATCATAAAGCTCGGTTGTTAGATAACCATTAACGTCTTTTTCTAGTAAAATATCCAAATATGAAACAGATGTGTCAGACTCTGTAGTATCTTTTGTTTCAAGCTCACCGGGATATTTCGTACAGACATAAGAATGGAAATAGCCATTGTTAGTTGACAATACGTCGTCGATATATCTAAATGTTGAGTTGAAGGCCACAGGAAGTGTTTTCTTCTTTTCACGTATAAGATTTTGAACAAATTCTGCTTCATATGAATACAGATATAAGTCTGCTAATATCTAAGGACATTTATTAATTTTTATTCTTTTTTCAATCTCTGTATTCACTATCCATCAAGAATGATATTTCCAAATTAACAAAAAGTATGAAATTTTATATTCATAATATCCATTTCAAATTTATATTATCTATGTAAAAAAAATTATCTACTAGTATCAAAAAAAGTTAAAATCAGTTTATACTTTCACGAAAAACTTGATATCTACTTCTTGATTATTCGATGAATTTATAGAGTTATTCCCCTAGATTTTCCATAGTAATTCCCATTTATACTTATTCAATCCTGTCAAAATTATAAAGGCGTCGGGGCCGGGGGGGGGGGGGTTAGCCCCCCTTTTTGCAACGATGGTCATAATAAAAGCATTGAAAATTGAGGCTTAGTTCCCAACCGTTTTTTTTATGGTTCAGCCCCCCCCCCCCACACACACACTTTCAATTAGCTTCCAACGCCTATGAATTATATGCTTTTAGCACATTAGATTTTCTTAGATTTTTTCCTGCAAATATTTTCACTTGTACGAGTTAGATTCCATTAATGATAAAATGATATACGTTAATTGCAATTAGTTTGAGGCTGGGCCAACATTTTCGCTAAATTGTCTGGACTATTACACATCCAGTATTTGTTATTTGATCGCAATCAAGAGTGCACAAATTCTTACTCATATCCGTCAAACATGAGTTTTAGATAAATACATCTGCGCAACGTTTCGCAAACCGAAAACTTAGTGATATAATAATTCCTCGATATGTAAATTTTAATTAGCCAATTATCATGCCGATGCCATCAGATATAGAAGTGCAGTGCATTGTGATGCCGTAAGTGCAATTCACTTTTTAAAATTAAACAAACTTTTCTACTTGTCAAATTCAGAAATGTTTTCTCCACCTCCCTAAATAAACTCCTCTTCTATATGGTTTTTGTCTTATTTTTGTATTTTGCATAATATTACCTCTGCTCAAGTTTCTTTACTCAATCTGTTCACGGCTTTCTCCTTATTTCGTCAGCACTAACCAGGAACAAGCTTGTAAGCTATATTTTTAGTCTTTGGTGCATTTTGTTTTCTTTAAAAACATCATTCAGTTAGTTCATGCCCGGATCTAGCGGGGAAGGGGGGTTCAGGAATTTTCAGGATTTTCACATCTGTATATATAGTAAAGTAAGGAACAGAGTTTACCTTGGACCCCCCCCCCCCAAGAAAACACGGACCCCCAACCCCTTCAGAAAACAGGGATACAGGGATCCCTGGAAACGATAAGGAAGGGCGACTTGTCCCCCACCCCCACCCCATCCTCTTTTCGGTGTGTACAAGTTGTTAACGCTTTCTTTCTTCCTTTTTTGTGCTTATCAAAAATTCTGAGTTTTATTTTTAGTTGGTATGGACCCCCCCTCCCGGAAAAAAAGTTCACTGATCTGTGCGTGTTCAGTATAAATTTCCTCTTCCATTTCTCGTATTTTACCTTTTTTTGTACAAAAAGGGTAAAGTTGATTTTCATTACTGCGATGTTAACACTCATATTCTCTCCAAGAAATAAAAATATACACGCGCATTTGTAATCTCTTTAAGAATAAAATTTTCAATGATACTAGTACTTCCTTTAGTATTGAAGAGCTATTAGTTCAGGTCACACACATTGATAGCGAAATCACAGCTTATAATTCTTCAGGTATCATTAATCCTTAAGTATTTAAGTTTAAAAATCTCTCTCAATCCGTATCAAGATCAAAAAATCACGTGACCTTTCTTACTTCCTGGTTAAAACTTTATAAACATTCAAGCTTTTATTAATAGCAGCATATCAGTTCAACAATGAGAATCTCGAATAAACGAATCCCACTATTCCTAGGAGTTTTTACTGTAATTTTCGGTGAGTTTTTAAATATTTATCCGTTTTAATTGCTTTAAATAGAAAAAAAAAATTACGCATGCAAGTTGTTCCAGTTCAGACTGTCAAATTGTCCTTTAGGTAAGTCTAGAAAAAAATAAATAAATGCAATTTTTTTTAAAAGATTTTATTCATCGTTTGAACTTTGCAATATAAGTGCATATTTATTTATCATTAAACTATCAATCAAAATAATAAAGAAACATGAATGCTACCTCAAAGGTGCTTAATTTCTTATCGCTGTACAAGTTCGCTGAGTATTTAATAAAAGACAACAAGGACCGCAATCATCGTTCGGACAGATCAAACAATGCAAATCTTGGATAAATTCCAGCAGTTTTTTTTAACATATAACAATTCTTTTTTAATATATTAGTTTACAAACACAAATAAAGCTATCTCATTATTCATTAAAGTTTTCAGCAATGCTGGTTCTGGCTATAAATATACGATGCTCTATAGGCTTCCTTATAGATATTTTTATCATAGGAATCGTCATCTCAGTTTCAGGGCAAAATTAACAGTTATCTATACATCCTTTGAATATATAATTATACGTCTCTCGCTACCTCCCCCTCCCTCTTTTTTTCAAGTTTCTGGATTTCCATTGAGCATTTCGAGGATTCGTTTCACTATGTTATTTGATACTCTCGTCTTCTTGCGATCCTGAAAACTTTTGACCCGGGTTTATGGTGGTGAAAAAGTCAAGTTATTCTTTTCCTCCTTTTTCTGGGTTAATATTCATCAATCAAAAGATTGAGGTTGTGAAACTCTTTGACCCATTTTATGCTGGTGAAAAAAAATCAACTAATTCACTTCCTGTTTTTTTACTGGATTTCAAACGACGTTCAGAATGCCAAAAACGTACGAAAAAGGTAAAGACCTAGAGAATTTATATATTTGTACTTGTTAAGGCATTTAAAACTTTTTCGGTTTTTGAATGTACATAGTTAGTATTTAGGTAAGGCGCACATTCTGAATTTTCCCGTGGGACAGGAAGAGAAAAAATTTTGAAAGTATAGTGAAAAAATACATTACTGACCAAATGATCTGTAATGGTAGGGGAAAAAAGTAGAATAAGTGGAGACGTACAGCTGAATAATTCTTTTTATTTAAGTTGACATTGCAATTATATTTTATATTAAACAAAGTTGAATTTCAGGGGTCGCCTGATTTCTACTGATATTTATTAAAAAAAAAATATCAAAAAATGTTTCTTTTAATCCAAATCCTACCATACCCCTGTAGTTCTTATCACATAGAATGAAGATAAACACAAACAAAACAGAGCCACTTCTATCTCTCACACAATCGTTATCTCAATTCCTTTATACACCGTCACTTTAAACATTAAATTCTATTTAATCTAAAGATAACAAGAGAACTTTTGACATAGATGACATTTCTTTCTACCTAGGTATATGTTTACTTTTCTTTCTTTTTTTTTAAATGGCAGAGTTTAACTTTCTCTTTAATTATCTTTCTATTGACCAACTGCTTGAAACTTCATAACAATTCGGTTGCGTAGGGAGTAAAGCATCTAATTCACTTTAAATTTTAAGTTGTAAATGGGCATTCCAAGTAGGGATGACTAACTCTTATTTATAAAGCAAGATATAAACAACGAATAATGCTTCCTGGACGGGATTTCTTTATTCTATATTATATTGAAAATAATAAGTTATTTAAAAAATATATTTCGTGTTTGAGTCTTTTATCATACCTTTATTTCAACAGTTCGATGCACTTTGCACGGTTCTAAAAGAAAATCTTTAAAAGATTGGGACCACTCGAATGCAAACGGGTTTTAAATAGTGAGAGATACCTGCATACTCCAATAACCAAATAGAAAGCAATACACAATACATATTATTATATAGTCTATTTATAGTCCCTATATAATCTATACAAACGCAAACAGTTCATAACACTACATATTCACTGGTTTTGATGCCGTATTCACCGGAGGGTCGGTGCGCGTGTAGCGGCATTGTGACGTCACAATCAACACCTCAAACAACGTTGTAAACAACGGTTGCAACGGCCGGAGCCAGCTGTGTATCTGAGCAGGAAAAACATTAGCCAAGCCTATCGCAGGTTTATTTTCTAAACATTTCGATTTCTTACAAACAGCAAAAGGAAAACACGGAAGCACATGTAATCTGGACATTTTTTTTTAGTTTTCCACAACAGTAGTTTGCAAATGAAAGTGGTATCATCATGCAGCCTTCAATGTCTTATTTATTCAAATCCTGACTATATAATAAAACGATTATGGACTCTTTCGGTGGTGAATATGGTTTGTTATTCACCAGAAAAATATCAATATTGACCGAGGCGAAGCCGAGGTCAATATTGATATTTTTCTGGTGAATAACAAACCATATTCACCACCGAAAGAGTCAATAATTGTATAAAATTTAATGCTTGATCAAAATGAAAATAATAATAAAAATACCAAGAGCTTTACATATAATCTCGGATTCAGTAAGTTACTGCTGTGTATCTTGAAGGTCAAAATGATAAAGAAGGAAACAAGATTCCAGTCCACAAATAGATTTCCTCCGGTCTACCAGAAGCCACGCTAAAAATATTCAACAAATCCAAAATTTAAAAAATGAGGAAATAAAGAATTTTTTCCGTACAATGTTACAGCATTAGGGAAGTGGACTTCGCTTGAACATGTAGATAGTATTATTTTCATTCTCTCAAATAAATTGCATTTCCCTGCTCTGAAAGCGAAAAAAAAAAACGTTCATGTTTTCAATAGACACGTACATTCAAATTATTTGCTATGTAAATTAGGGTATAGATATTCCAGAACACCTAACTATTGATTCTATCGTGCATGGGCAAAGATATAACAAAAAAGAACCCTAATGTATGAAAATTTGATTCATCTAGACGTAACTCAAGATTCGTGACAAGAAAAAAAGACTTTTGTTCTGGGTATTTCATGCAGTCTTAACAACTAACTGATATGGACTGAAATCAAAGATTCTTTAAAACTTCCTGATCCAAATTCAGGAAAGCGGGACTTTCCCCAGTAAACAATATAGATCCACTTCACCATATAGGTAAAACCAAACAGAAAGTGCACTCCCCCTAGCATTAGAAAATGAAACAGGAGGTTGTATATCAAATTTACTGATAGCAAACTTGATTTGTCGAGAGGCAGACAATTTAACTTCTGTATTTACTTGGTATATTCAAAGACATGAAATATCACGATGCAGTTGTAAAACCAAAACTGCTACCTGACTGGGTTTAGGTGCATTGGACATTTATATATAGATCAAACGACATCTATCTATAACGTTTCTCTAGGGATCTTTTCTGATACAATGCCTCATCCATTAATTTAAAAGAATTTTTCATAACATCATTTTACTGTGTAGAACACAAAGATTTATAAATATCTTGGTTAAATTTAGAACCAGAAAGACTGGTTTTGTGCATGTTTTCTTCCGTCTTGCGTCCTGAAGTTTCCAAGCTTTCGGATACTTGATAAAATAAAACACAATTTTTTAAACAGAGTTTTTAACTTTCCTCCATCCTTTATATATATATATAGAGAGAGAGAGAGAGAGAGATTTTAGATTTTAGGAATATATCATGGGAAAATGTCAGAATATTTTCAGCATTGCTAGTATTGTGAACTTATTATTCTTCTTGCTATTTAGTCTCAGATTTCAAGTGAAACAAAGCTAGCAAACACAGCTATAATCTACGTCTGTCCCTTTGAATAGTTTGCTTGACTGATTGTTGTAAAGAGGATACAAAAACCTCTCCTCTTAAACACGCAGGTGGCGATTAGCGTTCGGCTTTATCAATCATTTGGTGAAACTTCCTGATTAGAAATATATTATTTGTTTTAAATAAGGTAATAAAGTAAGTTTTATGACAAATAACATAACATTTATTAAAATTATTAATACACTAGCATTGAAAAAGAGGTCCATAAACCTTGACGGTCACCCTAGTGTGGTTATAGTTTCTTAAAACAAGGCCGAACTCAGCAACACTTCTTACTAAAACTCAGACTCTAAACCCAGGAAGTTTGGAAAAATATTGTAAAATCGGTTTTCTTTGATTAAGACGAATGTTTAATTTTGCTATAAGATAATTAATTTCATAGAATGTAAACGGCATTATTCTTATAATATTCATTACAATTTATCACCGTATATTTATACGAAATTTATCATATATAATTTCACACTGTTTCCAGGTCTGGCAAGTCCAGATGAATTTGAACCGATCCCCCAAGATGGATTTTTCAACAACTTAAACCACCCGGACTGGGGAGCTGTTGGTAAGTAAATTCCAATTAATGGCGTACCTTCCATGTACATGTTTGTATTCTCATCCATGCACATAATTTCTCAAATGAATAAATAAATTTACTAATCAATATTATATTGATCATTCATATTTTAAACATAGGTATCATAGTGCTGGCACTGACAGAGAATTATCTTTAGTATTCAAGTCTGACGTACAAACTAATCGGTTTCATGGCATAAGGAGCCCGTTATATTAACACCCCCAACACCCACTCCACCCTCATCCCGCCCAAATGCCCCGACTTCTTTTATCATTCAATATTGAAAGTTATGTATGATAGTGGTGACAAAGTTCCTAGGACGTTATAATTGGAGACTTTCTGGAATTTATGAATTTTGACCAATGTTTGCATTATGGTCTTGCATAATACTGAAGGACAAACGTGTGATTTAGAGCCTTGTGTTGAATTACGTGTCATCAACAATCGTTACGGTTGTCTATTATGCATCGTAAAGGAAATATTATACATGTATACGTGTATACGTATGCATGTATACGTATTATAGAATCTTTAAAACCAGCAAATGGACAGGTTTTCCCCCAAAAAATGATACATATATATTATTATAACAGTAACTTGATCCGAAGAGCCGTATCACGTCAAGTTGACAGGCGCGGATCATCAGATCAAACGAGACGCGAAGCGTCTCGTTTGATCTGATGATCCGCGCCTGTCAACTTGACGTGATACGGCTCTTCGGATCAAGTTACTGTTATAATAATAAATTTATTATATACCCCTTAACAACGAGCAAAATATGATAAAAGAAAAAAACTTTTTTGGATCAATTACATAAATTTTATCCATTAAACAAACCATTTTGTCAAGGAACTTTTTGATGCGCGAGAATAAAAACGTCATTTATCTGTGTACTACGTCATCAGTTTCAGAGAGGGGTGATATGGATTCAGAAAACCACAGTGTGGTGATCCGGAACGTCGGATCACATCGTCTCGTGATTGCGTAAATTCAACAGTAAAACTGAGTGACAAACAGTTGGGTATATAATAAATATACATTATTATAACTTGATCCGAAGAGTCGTATCACGTCGAGTTGACAGGCGCGGATCATCAGATCAAACGAAGCGTCGAGTTTGATCTGATGATCCGCGCCTGTCAACGAGTTACTGTTATAATGATAAATTTATTATATACCCCCTTACAACTAGCAAAATATAGTTTTAAAAAACTTTTGAGATCAATTATATAAGATTTTTCCATTAAACAAAGCATTTTGTCTAGGAACTTTTTGATGCGCATGAAAAATAACGTCATGTTTCTGTGTACTACGTCATCAATTTCAGAGAGGGGTGATATGGATTCAGAAAACCACAGTGTGGTGATCCGGAAAGTCGGATCACACCGTCACGTGATTGTACGAAATCTACAGTAAAATTGAGTGATACACTCTTGGGTATATAATAAATGTATATATCATCTGAGTTATAAAACTATGGACAAGTTTGTGATCCATATTTTAAATTGTAAATCATACTGAACTTTAGTCTCGAAAGATTTTTAAATAATAGCTTTTGTTCCAAACCAATTTTAGGTTTATTTTGTGAATAATTCCATCCAATGACATTGTTTATCAGGTAAAATTGTTTTTATTACAAGATGCCATTGGATATTTCCACAAATTCTACAGTTTTGTAAAAAGTACATTGCTTAGTGTCATCATGTGAACATTTTGTCTGGGAATGAAGATTAAAAAGATTTAATGATATCAATGTAAATTGTTTCCTTACTAACTGTCAATATGTATTTTAAAAAGACAAGAAATTTAAAGATCTAATGATCATTATAAAACATATGATCAACTTAGTTTTGGTTTTGGTCCAAATCTTGACCTCCCAAATAGACTGGGTCCATGAATATACATAAATATTTTTGCTCCCTCTCAAATATAATCGTAGATGCCACAAACAAAAAAAAGTTGAAATTGATTCAACCATTTTATACGTACATGTACGTACGACGAACGACGCACGGCAGAAGACACACAAAGAGAACGAAAACCGAGAGACCCAGATCAGATGAAAACCTGCAGTTTGTTCTCCATACTTCGAATGATCACCTTGTACATACTAGCTTTCACTTTCGCTTCAAGTTTTTCTCGTTGTTCTCATTTGCATCTCATGTACCTTTTTGACTTTATCTTAGACGACATTTTGATACGGAAGTCCCCTCCTGCCTACCAAGATGGAGTATACGAGCCCGCGGGACAGGACAGACCCAACCCCTTCGACCTCAGTGACAGCGCCCATAGTGGGGAGAGTGGTCTGCCCTCAGCTAGAGGAAGGACAGCCATGTTGGTGTACTTTGGTAAGATTGATTGATTGATTGATTATATGTTGTTTTACGTCCCATTTGAAATTTTTTCACTCATATAGAGATCGACATCACTATAAACCGGTGAAGGACTTCAAATTTAGACCTTTACTCGGCACTCAGGGCCATTCAGCAGAGAGGGATCTTTATCGTGCCAACGTCTGCCGTGACAAGGGGCCTCGGTTTTTAAGGTCTCATCCGAAGGACCCGCAACTTTCACTTCAGAGTGCTGAACGCTTGGCGAAGAAACAGTTGCTACCTACTTTTTGTCAACTTAGGTCAGTCGCGGTCGGGGATCGAACCCACAACCTTCCGATCACGCAGCGAGCCTCGGTAAGATAGATAGATAGATATATATATATATATATATATATATATATATATATATATATATATATATATATATATATATATATATATATATATATATATATATTCACGGTAGTGATAAATATTATAGTACAGTTTAACTTCGGTATCTCGAAAACTGATATCTCGAATATCATGGATATGTCGGAGTAATTTAGAAGTCCCAATTATTAACTACTTATTCTGTAAGTACTAGTCTAGTATTTTAACCCAGATATCTGGAATCCCACAGAGTTAGATAACGAGGCTTTTTTTTTACTACATATATGTGCATAAGCACATCTACATGTAGAGAGAGAGGGGGGGGGAGACTTAAGTGTTATGGTTTGTTGGAAATCCAAGATTTCTAAAACTGCAAAACCCTTGGTTAGCAAGAACGAGTACATAATACTCCTGTATTAAGTGAAAGTCATTTGCAATTCATTCAGAAACAGAATCGCAGAAATAAATTTCCATCTTTCTCAATCTTTTATCTGCTGAAGTCATAAATAAAAAGCCTTGCACTATCTAAAATACTGATAAATCCTCACGGTCATCGATTAACTCAAATTTCAACGCAACACTGCGTTCCACATATCAAATAGCAACACTTCTAGAGAGGGTTAGAGAAAGATAAATCGACCTACAATGTATCTTGAAAGTGTCTCTGTTTAAATTTATTGAGTTTGAACAACCAAATTCCGGATGTATATTATACTTGAGCACCAAGCATTATTATGTACATTGTGCAAACACAGGGGGTTTAACTACTTTTAATTTGACACAAAGTCATAGTCATCAACAAATACCTAGAGGAGTCCTTGACAACGATTCACAGGACTGAATACCGAAGCTGATAAGACAACATTATTAAAGATAAATATTTTTATCCAAAGTATTTTAACTTTCTTTATTGGAATTAAATTCTATCTTTAACTTTCTTTATTCGAAGTAAAACATCAACAAAATTAAATTCTATCTTTTTTTTCTACTAAGCTCTATTATTAGCAGTGTGATATCACTGATGTGTCAAAAGCTATTCAAAGGTTAAGAGTAAAAATTGTATCAAATCGCGAAGCAGGTAGCATCCTATGTACATATTCCGGGTTCAAAATCCGGAAATCGAGTAATCTTGAGTAATATGGCGCGTCAATAATTTATCTTTTATCTTACCAGGTCTATTTTTCTAGTCTTGATAACCCATTTTTATTTATTTATTTATTTATTTTTTTGGCCCAAGAAAACTGCGTCATATAAAGTTAAGATATTTTAAAAAAATTTTCTTGCATAAGGAAATGGAACAAAGTTAAGACCATTAAAACAGTGAACTTTATTGATACACGCATATTGTGAGAGTATTACTCAGTAATTTTACTTGATAAAAGGGCTGAGAGGTCGTGGCTATTTTTTAGACTATTTCAACCCTACGGAAGAGAAGAGCTCTGTAATAATATTTATTGCATTTTTTTTTAAATGTTAGATTTTTCTTTTACCGGATGATACTTTATGGCTAGAATAATTATATTATATATTTTTAGGTGGATCTCCATAGTAATACAATCTCCTTCCCGTGGTTTTCGATTTCGGGATAATTATCAATTTCATAAAGTTATTGTGTTTTATTGTACAACATGAGTGATTTCTAACATTCTGTGCGCAAATATTAATAGTACACATGTATACAGTTTGACATTTTAAAATGCGTAGATATTTCAGCATCGGTGATTTCCTTTCAGCTTTTAATTGAGGTTTTGGAAGTCTGAGAAATACTGTGACGATTGGTATTTCAGGGCTATGAGGAATAAATAAAAAAAAAAATTCAACATCAAGCTCTTTATTGACAAAATAGAAAAAAAAACAACTACTATAATGGAGAAATAACAAGGTCCTATGTTTGGCTGTAAATTAATCCCTGGGAACTTCTTTAAACACGAAGAAATGTAACAATCTTTTATTATGTGAAGGGGTCATGAGTGATTGTTTTTTCAGTGCTTCGTTTAAGAACAATTGATCGAGACAATCAGTAGTGCTATATCAACATTTAAAAGGAAAGCGGTTATCAATCTGCAACTATGCAAAACTAGTGTCTCTGTTGTTATCGCTATCATATATAGCCATCAATCACGTGACTGTTAATTATATCAAGAGATAATAATTTAAAAAAAAATTCTGGCCAACATGGTAAATATGTCAATCGCGTATATTCCATATAGGCAAAAAGGCTGTAGCCTACACACCATTTTACCCAATTTTTAAAAAAATTAAATATTTATGCTGCAGTATGGTTGAAAAGGGGGAAAATGACCAGAACACGAGACAATTATTATTATTTTTTTTTTATGTTAAATGCGAAGGAAAAAATGTTGTTAGCAAATTGCATTTTACTTATTCAACAATGATGCAAAAAAGTGGTCATGACAGTTCTATTTTCATACTTGCTAAAAAATGAAAAAAAATGTACCTGTATACTCGTATATTACTATACTGACTGCTCAAATGACCATCATGGATGTCTTTCAACTTCACAGAAAATTTCTACGGCAAACAATTACTTAGACCAGAAAACATGAGTAAAAACATAATATAAATAGCAAACCAAAATAAAACCTTTTTTCCATTGAATCAAATTGCACTATTAATCTTTTTTCCGTATTCCGTGGATAGCCCCCCCCCCCCTCCCTCATGAGCAGTGAACCTTCTCAAACTGATGACACTTCGCGCCTCCTGAAGTCTTCGACTTCACAATAGCCTACACATGAACAGAAAGGAATATATGCCATTGTATGTATGAAATTTAAGTCCAAAGAGCTAGGTTCACTTTATGCATAAAATGGCCCTGTAGATTTACAAATTTATTTACTAATACCCCGTGTACCATTTTCAACATTAATATAAAGTAGAGACTTAGTGCTTTCAGTTTATATAACAGAATTTCCTTTGAAGAGTCCAGACATCGAAAAACAGGTTGTGTAAAGTTGCAAAGTTATTGAATTTTGCAGAAAACAGGTGTTTTTGAGAACATTCAGCAAAGAATTAAAGTATGAGCAGACCCCTCGATCCAAAAATTAAAATAAAGTTTTGTTATCTTCATTAACAGTTGTTGTATAATATATTTACACATTTTGGATCAGAGGTTGTGCTGTATACTAAATATTGAAAAATGGCATCATATTTCGGCCATTTTTGAAGAAATATTCAGGATATGTGAATAATGACGCAATTCCTGACGTCATAATGCATTGACTTGAAAGAAAATTACGTCATTTTCAGTAGATAATCATTCACCGAGTGCTCAAGTATTATTAATTTCTTTGTTGACTAAAACTATACAGTTTTGAATTTTAAGAAATTCACAGGGCCAAAAGGGCCCTAAGTGGCTCTTGCTCTGTAGGCTATAATCTGTGTTATTTGGTCAAAAGAGTGTCTGTTTTACTGATAAGACCGCGGAACATTAACTGGCAAAATTGGAAATATGCAGCTTACGTCATTTCCATCTGTTACAGTCAAAATGTTTAATGATAGACAATGCAATGGGCGGGCACAATTCCACACGGACGTCCGAGAAAACATTGGATTGAAATTCTAGTTTGAAGTTCATTTACAATCCACCTGAGCTGTTTTCAAACCTAAAGTGTGAATGTATGATCCAAAAGACAAATAATTTTAATTCCCAAATACATGTTGTTAGAAATTCATATATATATATATATATATATATATATATATATATATATATATATATATATATATATATATATATATATATATATATATATATATATATATATATATATATATATATATATATATATATATATATATATATACTTTTAGCCTATAATTTTAAGGATACGTAAAAGTATAGAAGGCAGAGATTTTTTTTCAGGGGACGGCCATATGATTCTAGAAGGGGGGGGGGGGGCTGTCAAAAATTGTGAAGTCAGATCATGCCTTCAAATGACAGAATATATTCTAGGTTGACAAGCGCTTTTTTTTCTTCACTGAAAATGTTTGACAAACAAAAACAGGGAGGGGTTATCCAAACTAAAGAAAACTAACTTCCTTATTTATTTCTAAGATCGTTCAGCAGCCTCCCTCCCCCCCCCCCCCTCAGCACACACATACACATACCAAACAGAAATCAAATATTTGTCCCTTTATATTACTTTAAAAACACCGGACAGAAAATTCTGATTTATATAAATTTTAAACTATCTCCGAAATTGAAATTATATGTCTTCTGGGTCAATCAGTAACACTGTGCGTTCTAGAGTAGCTGAGGTGGATTGAAAATGAATTTTTAAACTAGAATTTCAATGTAATGTTTTCTCGGACGTCCGTGTAGAAGTATACCCGCCCATTTCATTGTCTCCGCCCATTTCATTGTCTATCATTAAATGCAGATAGAAATGACGTAAGTAGCATACTTCCAATTTTGCCAGTTAATGTTCCGCGGTCTTAAAAGATAAAAATGTCTTAGATATATAAATTTTGATTTAAGGCAATGTCTAAGAAGATGGGCGAACAAAGCGAGCAATGCGAAAAATACGAAGGTGAAAAATGAATCTCAATTATCACAAAATTTTCTTTGATATTTCATATTATAAAAAAGTATACTTTTAATATGTAAAATCTCCACTATTTGCAAAAATCTCGAGCTCACAAACGTTGAATTTTTTTGCCTATGAAATAGTATACATACACCAATGAGGGCAAAGAGGATAATTTTCTCATATTATAACATAATATTTTTCCTTATGAGTAGGTCTTCGCTCAATTTTTTTAATGAAAGTATATCTTGAAAGTTTGCTTAAAAATATACATTTTTTGATTAACATAAACATGGAACAAAGACCCACTATATCTTGAAAATTAACTTTTATGACGCATCATTCGTATCTTTTTTTTTTTTTTTTTTTTTTTTTTTTTTTTTTTTTTTTTTTTTAGAAAAACTTGAAAGTCCATTCAGTCAATTTTCATATCACAAACATGATTTAAATGCCACAATTCATCAGTAGTTGAGTAGCGTAGTGGTTAACGTGTTAAGGGAAATGATATTCAGGATTTTTATTGCTAGGGTTCGAACCCAATACTACATTATTTTTAAATAAAAGAATAATTTTTGCCGAGAAAATTTTCCTTATAAAAGTTTTGTTTGTCAAAGTTTCATAACTTTCAATAATGAGAACTTTAGTCTAAATACTAAATTCACAAATTGAATATTATGGTTTTTATATATCTGAAGCTATCTTTAGGCATTCTGCAAGCCTTGTTCGCCCATCTCCTTATTAAGGAATTAAGCGAAGAAAACTTGATTGCAATAGTCTTCGATTTATATTATTTTTACTTTTACAATTTATCTAGGTCAACAAGTTGTCGAGGAAATACTGGACGTTCAGAGACCCGGATGTCCAAGAGAGTTCTTTAATATTCCAGTACCTAAAGGTCACAGATTTAACCCCAATAATCTGGACAATCTTCAGATGCCCCTTCAGAGGTCAAGGTTCAATCAAAGGACAGGACAGACTGCAGGGAACCCAAGACAACAGGTATAATCTGACTATTTATAAACACTCCTCTTTATTATTCAATCAGTGTATATGTTTAAAAATATTTTATGTTATCGTTTTATGATGTTTGCATTGTTTTTATGATGCATGCACAGCTCTGTTTTTTTCCCCAAACATTCAAATTCTAGATGATAGCAATAATTTTTTTGTCACTATTCTAAAAGAAAAAAAATAAGACAGCATTTTACAGGCTTTTTTAAAACTATTTCAGAAGAAGTTCATATAACACAAATATTAATGTGTTCTTTTAAATAAAAAAATATACAGATTAGTCCTTATAATGAAGTGTCATTAATGATACAACTGCTGTGCTTTTCTAACTTATTAAGAAGAACGGCCACATTTAAACTTTTTTGTCGATAAAATAGTACATAAAATCATTATCACATGCTTCATGATACCATTTGAAATTCTACATATGGTAAGACATAAGGGTTTTTATTTACATTCACGCCTCTTTTTTTTTTACATTTCAGTTAAACGAAATAACACCTTTTCTTGATGGGACTTTATTTTATGGTCCTGGAAAAGCTTGGACAGACGCCATACGAGAATTCAAACATGGATTTCTCAAAGTCAAGGACCCCAGCACTTATGATGACGTCAGAAAACAATTTCCCGCGGACAACGACATCAGACTTCCCTTTGCGAACCCACCACCACCTGCAGACCACTATCTAAAACCTGTCAAACGATTTTTCAGTATGTACACTGTATATGTAGTAATAGGAAAGAATGAATGGCATCGACTAATTAATGACCAATATGATGTTCTTTCTGCATTTTTTTTTAATTCCTAGACTTGATCTACGGGATTTGAGAACTTACTAGGAAAGATTTTACTAAAAGTTAAACAAATAGATATGAAAAGGTTAAATATTAAATTGTTAAGTTTCTGATTGTAAATAACAGGATCAAACTTTCCACCTATGTATAATTTTTTGTCGTAATTTCAATTTCATTTTAGCTTAAAGGCACACATTTAAAGCTAGAAATTTACATGAAAGTTAAACAAATAAATCTTGAAAAAATAGTTTTAAGTTCCTGATTGAAACCAGAAGGATCAAACATATATTCACTTAGACGACCGGTGTCCCACAGAAGACTTCTAGTCGTGAATTTCTTTTTCTGTGATCTAGTGTATAATTAAAACGAAAATTGATTTTTGAAAAATCCAGAAAGAAAAGGGCCGCTTGGCTTTGATAACAATTTTCTAAAAATGTGTTTTAATTTTTAAGCACAAACTTAAGACAACAAAAGCAAGACAAAGTAAGCATATAATAAATTTTAACTCAAGATTTGCTAAATGTAGGACTTGGAAATCTTCGAGGATTTGAGAATCCGTTTTTGCTTACCTTTGGAGTACTTTGGTTCCGTTGGCACAATGCCATTGCCATGAAACTTGCCAAAGAGCATCCAGATTGGCACGACGAAGAACTGTTTGAGGCGGCAAGGAGGCATGTCATTGCCCATCACCAGGTGATTAGAATTACAAGATTATATACAAATAAGCCCCAATTCGATGCCTGATAGTCTTAATCGAGGCTTTCCATACTCAATTGCTTCTATCAATATTACATGCTAAATGTATATAAGTTATTCAAAAGATGAATTATACTTACAGATTAAAGAATTATGTCCAAATTTATAATTTGCTGATCATGTAAGATTTAGTCAGCTTTTTTGATAAAATTTTGGTGCTGGTTACGGTACATGTAATTGGTTATATGGAAATTAGAATTTAGTGATGGTGCTTAAACATTTATATTATATGTGTCTTTTTGTGAGATATCACATATCATTGCTGTCAAAGTGATTGTTCTTTTGTTCTTAAAGATCTGCAAAACATTATGATAGTTCAGTAGTTCATGATTATATCTTCTTTCTTTTTAAATAGAAAATAGTGATGTATGATTGGTTACCAAGGTGGCTGCAAATTACCTCAAATGGACAGTTTTTCAATATTCCAAAATATTCCCGTGCTCCCAATGAATGTAAGATAATTATTAGTTATACTAGTATATATATATGTAATTCATTCAATCAGTGCTCTTCATTATGGATTTTATATTTTTTTTCTATGTGCTGTCCTATAGAAGTGGAGAAAAATAGTTTATCCATTAATTCGGTTTGATTTTTATCCTCATGCAATTGAACTATTCAGAAAAAAACAGTTTGTAGGTATGGCAAAAAATCGGCTCTAGCATAAGTAAAATGATGCAGTTCTTATCTCTGGTGTGTGATAGAATGAGAACTATCGTTACGGAAAGAACGAGGGCGCTTTTGATTGGCATTCGGCAGGAATCTGGGCGTACTTGAAAAGTGAAAATTTCATTGATCTATCACACGAAATTTTAGCATTCTTTTGATCCTTTGGGTTCCTGTGAAATAGGAAAGGGAAATATTTTCCCGAAATTGTATTTTGATTTGCTAAAAACTAACTCGAAAATAGGCTAGATGATTCATTTGGTACAAAATGTCACATTTTTAAACACGTTTTTCTAAAAATTTGCTATCTCTGGGTCATCTCTCCATGATTTTCGAACGTTATTTATATGAATCTTAATTCAAAGAAACAAATAATCATTTGTAAAAAATGGAGAAAATACCCAGAGACCATAAAAAATGAACTTTTTCCAAAAAAAATACCAATGTGTATACGCGGTGCTTCATTGTCGTTTTAAAAGCCAACTTGTATGTGTAGTCGTGATAGCTCAGTAATATGCGTTACCCGCGGTCCAGTGCAAATGGAGTCGACAACTTTTTGGTTCGATCCTCGCATGGAGTGTTAATATTTTTTTAATGCAAGTAATCAATTCTTTTGTCAGTTTAATTTTTTTGTACTGATTTATTTTAAAATGGATATATTCTGGTTCTGTTGCATCAAGAGCGAAAGCAATTCTTCCAACCTACTAATACTTAATATACACATGTACTTGTAATTGCATTTAACTATACCCTTATTATCTTGTAGGTGTTTATTATTTATGTGAAGCATTACTATCTGAAAGTTTGATTATTAAGATAAGCGGACCTAAATATTACAATTTGAAATGTTACTTCAAACTAAATATGACATTTTCCTATGTGCGTAGCTTTGTAAAGCCTGTCCAGCTGTGGCCAGCCAACCAAATCGTGGACACTTAAACTATAAATGTTTCGTACACATAATTCCTGCAGATCACACGCCAAACACGCCCATCTTCTTTTATTAATCTATCGGACAAACTTCCCACAAAATGGTGACTCTTGAACTTAAAATTTTATCTAACTTGACAGATGGTATATTGGTGTTGTTTCGATGAATTCTCTTTCGTTCTGATAAAAACTGGCATTGTTATTTTTGAATACCGGTATGCATAAATTAGATTAGCATACGTGACATGCGTATTTTTTCAGTCTTATAAAATTGACGTGATTGCAAATTATTTCATTCATTTATTAGCATAAAATGCATCTTGGCACCCCCTCCCAGTATCTTAATATACCACACATCTTGTTTTCCTCGTGCTAATATTGTATGCATGGTACGTGTATGTACTCCACCAATATGAACTGTAAACAATCAGATACTACAGCTAGGATCTATTAATTAAGTCAGTCGAATTCCACTATTGTCTTCAAAATGATTACTGCATCAGAATCTTTGAATGATACTCTGTAATCAATAGTACTATTCCAAACTTCATACAGTAAAAAAATAGTCTATACTGTTCCCAGGTCTATCACATTGAATGCGCTCGTTCAGAAACAGCAAAATTATGAAAAAAATGACTTCAAAACTGAGTTAAAAATGTAAAATTCTCGTCGTCATGGTTCTATTTTCATTTTGCGTTTGTTTGTTTGTGTTTTTTTTTAAGCATAAGTATTTTTTTTCCAAAGTGTCCATTAAAAAATGAATGTTGATACTGTAAGAGTATATCCTTCCTAGAGTGACTTTTTGTTTTTTATGCCCCCGTAATCGAAATTCGGGGGCATATAGTTTTTGTCCTGTCCGTCCGTCTGTCTAGCTGTCTGTCTGTCTATCTATCTGTATGTCTGTCTGTTTGTCCACAAAAACTTTAACCTTGCCCATAACTTTTGATTGATTGGAGCTATGGCTTTCATATTTCACATGCGTATTCTTTGTGACAAGATCTTTCTTTGGGTAACATGAAATTTGACCTTTTGACCTTGACCTTGGAGTTTGACCCACTTTTGCAATATTTTTTCAGACTTTAACCTTGGCCATAACTTTTGAATAGTAGGTGCTAGGGCTTTCAAACTTCACAGGTGTATACCTTGTGACAAGACCTTACTTCAGATACCAGCAACTTTGACCCTTTGACCTTGGAGCTTGACCTACTTTTGAAAAAACGTTAACCTTGGCCATAACTTTCAAACCGCTGATGCCAGGGCTTTCCTATTTCACCTGTGTATACCCTGTGACAAGACCTTTCTTTGGATACCAAAAACTTTGACACTTTGACCTTGACCTTGGAGTTTGACCGTGTTTTGAAAAACTTTACCCTTGGCCATAACTTTTAAATGGTTGGTACTAGGGCTTTCATCCTTCACATATATAATCCTTGTGACAAGGTCTTCTTTTGGATACCAACAACTTTTACCCTTTGACCTTGACCTTGGAGTTTGACCTACTTTTGCAAAACTTTAACCTTGGCCATAACTTTTGAATGGTTGGTGCTAGAGCTTTCATACTTCACATATGTAATCGTTGTGACAAGACCTTCAAGACCTTTCTTTGGATACAAACAACTTTGACTCTTTCATCTTAAAGTTTGACCTACTTTTGAAAGACTAACTATGGTCATAACTTTTGAACGGTTGCTGCAAGGGCTTTCATATTTCACATGTGTACTTTTTGTTAGAAGGCCTTTCCTTGGGCACCATTAATTTTGACCATTTGAACTTAATGTTTGACTTACTTTTGAAAAACTTTAACTTTTTCCATATCTATTCAATGATTGCTGCTAGGGTTTTCATATTTCAAAAGTATATTCCTCGAGACAAGACCTTACTTTGGGTACCAACATATTTGATTTGTATGTGAGAAAATTGAGCCTTTGATATGAGTTACCATACGGGGGCGTCAGTGTTTCACAAACACATCTTGTTTGTTTTGTTTTTGTTTGTTTTGTTGTTGTTTTTTTAGACTTCATCCATAGGTTAACAAATTTTTTTTTTTATAAATCATTTCTTATTAAATAAAGATAAAAATGTCTGACTTTTCTTGACGTGTTTTATTAGATATTTATGCATTTTTAACAGCAATTTAGACTCTAAAATATTTTATTTGCAAATAAACCAATTTTTACATTTTCTCGGGGAAAAATGGAAAAATTTCGTATAAAATGATTAACATCGGTCTTTCGATGCTAAAACCATATTTTAAAAGGAATGTCTTAAAAATCAATCAAATAAAATTCTGGTGTAGTATTCCTCCTTAACATGTATAATATTTTTCTTTATTTTATACCCCCGCTCCGAAGGAGAGGGGGTATACTGTTTTACCCTTGTGTGTCTGTCTGTGTGTCTGTCTGTCTGTCCATAACAAATTTTTCGTCGCAGTTTTCTCAGCGACTACTCATTGCAGGTGAAATTTTAACACACTCTTTGTTTAGGCATGCCATATGGTGGTATTCATTTTTGTACGAATTCGATGTCAACTTCCTGTTTATCCGTGCGTCTGTCCGTACCATACATAACAAATTTTTGTCACAGTTTTTTTCAGCAACTACTCATTGCAGGTACTTGAAATTTTAACACACTGTTTAGGCATGCCATATGGTGGGATTCATTTTTGTACGAATTCGATGTCAACTTCCTGTTTATCCGTGCGTCTGTCCGTACGATACATAACAAATTTTCGTCACAGTTTTTTCAGCTACTACTCATTGCAGATGCTTGAAATTTTAACACACTCTTTGTTTAGGCATGCCATATGGTGGGATTCATTTTTGTACGAATCCGATGTCAACTTCCTGTTTATCCATGCTTATAGTATATATTCACAATACACGTCAGAGCAGGGGTATTACTAGTGAGCATTGGCTCACAGACTTCTTGTTCGTAAATTTAAAATGAATTTAAGTTTACTTAAGAATTTTAATAGTAAACAGTAAGTATCCTCCTTCAATGCTAGTCTGAAATATAACTGTTTTACAGGTTTTTTATTCATTGAAGGAGGATAATACAGGGTGTTTTTATTGATGAGAGGGTTGATGAGAGGGTTGTGGAAAGAAAGAAATTTAATGGAATTTAATGGGTTACTTACTGCATTAATATAAAATAATCTTTTGTATTTTTTCAAAGTTTGTTCGGGAAAGTTTTGCGCATTTAACGGTTATGATTCCGAAATTCATCCAGGAATTTCTCACGAATTCCAGACAGCAGCCATGCGTTTTGGTCACACACTGGTGACGCCAGGCCTTTGGATAAGGTTAGTTTGAAGGACAAATACGGTACTATGATTAACAAAATTAAGGATTAATAACATAAACATTTTTCCCCAGAAATCAGCAATATATTTCATAGATTTATATTCATATAGGTAACCTGAATAATGCTTGCCAGGGTAAATGCGAAAATTTTTTAAGATTTGTAATGTTTGAAAATATTAGCCAAATTTTGTATAGATTTACATAGAAAACGGATACAAACTCGCATATTTAATTAAGCACCAGAGAAAACTTACGATACCTTTATATCTTAGGGATTTATTATTTATGTCATTTTTATTCAAAATTAGTCAAAAAATGTATATCACACGTCTCTAAGTGACCTCTAAAATTAAGGCGCCATCTGGCTCCTAATAAAAAAATATTTAGTCACCAACGCAAATTTTTAGTCGCCAGGCATATTTTATAAACCAGATAAATTCCAAAAGGTTGTAAAATTCCATCGTTTCAACCAATGTCTTTTTAATAAACTTGGACCTAATGAATTATTCTTTAAAACTATAATATCAAGAATTGTTTACACGATTTTCATTTTATGCTCGTCCAAACAATTACGACCCAACATTAAGGTCAGACGTGTCGTTCCTAGAAAATATATAATTTTTCCGAAGAATTTGTCATTGAAGTTTAACTTCTTAAACAAGTTTCCTCACCAAAAATTGAGGTACCTTACCAGGCATTTGGGCAAGATACCAGAGGGTGATATTTCTTATATAATCCTTATGGGTAATCTTTTGAATTGCAAATTTTGGGTGTACTTATTTTTTTTAAACATATTGAAAACAATTTAGAAATAACAAGAGAATGACAATTATGAATAATTTTTGATATAATACCAAGGTATACAAAATATATTTTTGAGGAACGTGTCATCTGCATGACCTTAATGTCTAAACGATATCTCTAATGAGTGAGAATTTAATTGCATACAATTGACCACTTAACCCGTCCAATTTATTGTCGATTTTTTGGAATCGAAAATTTCCTGGGGCAGCTTATTGTCTTATCTAGTCACCTGAGCTCTGTGTGCACTGACACAATGCGAAATTTCGTTCGCGCGTGCACTGTAAAAACAAACAAGGTGACAAAGAAATCACAAGATATGTCCATTGCTAAAAAATACATTATTGATAGAACAGAAATATCTACTTAACACTGAACAAATCTGTGAAAAAGAAACATGATAAACAAATATCGAACACACATTAAATCAAACTTTGTTAATTCTTATGAATAAGAAAGTTTTTGTAAAAACAGGGGGCCAAAACTCTCAGACACTGATTGTAACTGGAGTAACATGACTATCAGAATTCCCAACCAGCCTCATAAAGTCCATGCCATCAGACTCTGTAATGCGTTCTGGAACAGCAGGGTAAGATTTAAGAGTTTATTATTATATATCATGTATATAGAAATGAAAGATGAAGTGGAGGTACCTATGTTTAATTATTGGTGTGTTCCTATTTCGCCTTAACTGTGAAATATAGGTAAGAAAAAGTAAAATAAAAAGTACTAAGGCGAACTGGGAATTTCTTAATAAAGCTATTGTAAAAACAAACCTTGAAAATTGATGAGGTGTTTTTATAACATATTATGATTAGTTAATTACACAGTTTTTGGTATTTAAAATGATTCTTTAATCATTGTACATGATGTACATTTGAAAACAAAAGAGTAAATTCAACCTAAAATGGGAATTAATTTATGCATACAGTGAATGATAAAATATTTTTTATACATAATAATTACTATTTTATAAAAATAACGATTTATATTAATGTTCTCTTTAACAATGTGCTCCTTGATTTTTATCACTATTAATAAGTATATTATTAAAAATAAATAAATAAATATTAAATGATAATAAATATTATTATATTGTTTAAAATAAAACTTTATAATCTTTTTGTCAACTCTACCTCCATAAGAGTTTCATAAAATTACTAATACCTTAATTTAAGATTCATAATAATCCTGCTACACAAACAATATTTTTAGATGTTTATACAAGTTCCCATTTCGCCTTATTTTACCTCAGAGCATACTAAGGCGAAATAAAATACCAAAAATACAGTTAAGGCGAAATGGGAACAAACCATAAATATATAAATAATAATGTATAATTCGAATAAATATAAATTAAAATATTAGGTTGATAATATTATAACTGTTAACAGGAGCCAGTAGAGAGGATGTTGGACGATATTGTTCGTGGCCTTTCATCAACTTTGGCTGAAAAAGAGGATCACATAGTTGTTCCTGATCTTAGAGGTAAAATTTTGCATTATATAAAATATTGACCTTAGAGGTAAAATTTTTTGTTATACCCTTAAAAATATCTTTCTTTATTATATGATTGAATAATTCCCATCTCTCTGATTGGCTGAGATCCAACATTGTTAGAAAAATACTACGTTATGTTGACCTGCACGTGATCTTCCAGGTCAATATAGGGAATTATTTATTCTACATTGGACAAAAAAAAAGATAGGGAAATTCCAAAATGTTGAAAACAGTTTTGAAAAGTTATTTCACTTGCACCTGATATCCATTGATATGAACATAACATTAAGGCACAGAGATTCTTGGGTGAGGGGTCGGGAGGGGGGGTGCAGGAGGTTTGCCCCTCTCCCCACCTTTTGAGAATGTTAAGTTTTAATTTAAATTTTAAGGATAAAAAATTTCAATGAAAGCCCAACCCCCCTCCGCTCGAAAAGTTTATGGACCTTTACATCCCACCAAATAAAATTTTGATTTGGGAGAATTCTTTTCCTTTTTTTTTGGGGGGGGGGGGGGCTGGTCAAAGATTTGTTTTCAGGTAAGTTGTCAATTTTTTCCTTTTAATGCCCTTTTTTCAAAATCAATCCTATATATGTGCCTGACATTTATTTTTTCTTCATTGCACCTAAACTAGAATTACAAATACCAAAATACATGGAATACAACTGTTTTTTAAGCCCTTTTCTCTCATTATGTTCGGCTAGTACTTCAGTAGATGTGAACAAGTAAGATGGCACGGATTGCTTAATGAGTGTCATTTAATCATTGAATCATATAATAAAACAATTATTGCTGGGTTTTTTTTGGTCAATACGATGATTTAGCCACCTTCGAAGTACAATATTCACCTCGCCCTTCGGACTCGGTGAATATTGTACTCCTCAGGTGTCTAAATCATCATATTGACCTCAAAAACCTGCAATAATTGTATAATATATTTATTACCAATAAAAAGTCCAACAAATAAAATGTTTTTTGCATCGGACTAACAATTTCATTGTTGACCGGTCTGTTAGTCCAATATAAGAATTGTTAGACCGCAACGTCATTGCTACGTCAAAAGTAATCAGTCGTCGTTCAATATCGGCGACACAGAAATAGCCGAAGTTTAGAGCTGAAAGAGTTGTCATATGCAAGTAGAAGAATGGCGTCAAGGGGAAATCATGTTTTGTGATAAATAAATTTACTACTTTGATATAATAAATTTATGATTATTTTTTTCATTCCTTGTTATTGTTTCATTTTTATTGATAAAGCCAAAGTATTGCCTTAAAGTTATAATCTTTTATATATTAAATTTGTTCAAAGGTTTTTAATTTAGTGTTCTATCTTAAGTGAAGGGTATAACAAAACAGTTATAGACTGGGATTCGGGCAACGTATATGATTTGTTGGACCTGAAGGTGAAAATGTTGCCCTTGGCCTGCGGCTTCGGGCAACATTTTCACCTTCAGGTCCAAAAAATCATATGTTGCCCTCATACCCATTCAATAACCGTATAGTATTATATATAATATTGACCTTAGAGGTAAAATTTTGTATTATATTATAATTATGTAGTTCACTTTTACTGAGAATTTAACGTTCATTTATCTTCATTTTTGCAGAACATCTTTTTGGGCCATTGGAATTTTCTCGGCGTGACCTTGTTGCTATTAATATCCAGAGGGCCCGTGAACACGGTCTTGCAGACTACAACACGATTAGAAAGGCGTTTGGTTTAGAAGGGGTCACTTGGGATAACTTGACAACAAATACTGATCCATCTCGTTTAGAAGCAATCAATAGTTTGAGATCTCTTTACAAGAATTCAAGTTCACCAGATTTAGACCTGTTTGTCGGGGGATTATTAGAAACGACGGATGACGGACCAGGTCCACTATTTCAGAGCATCCTCATTGACCAATTCATGCGAATCCGTCACGCCGACCGTTTCTGGTTTGAAAACAAAGATAATGGGTAAATAAACTACATATCATCAATAAGACCCCTTTCCCTCCATTCAGAAGATATCCACATTTATAACTTTGCTACAGTTCTTTTAAACATAATTTATTCTCTGATGAACCATCAACGAAATGTCATTATCTTTATTCCATGGAAACTACAATTGTACATTCAGGTACATATTTACGTGTATGTATGTACATGTGTATCACATATGGGTGGAAATTAAAAAGGTAAAAATGTTTATTTTCAAAGCCATTTCTGGTTGAAATAATCCGGTAAACAACGTGCAGAAAAAAATGTTGGATTTAGGGTTACTATTTTATCGATTTCTTAAAAAATATAATATAAATAATTTTTAAAATTTATTTTATTTTAATATTTAAGTTAGATATTATTTATAAACATAATTGGATATATTAAAGTATAATAAATTACATTAGCATATTAATATAATTATAATTTATATTAAAGTCATTAATTTAATTAATTAACTTTAAGATACTTTACTGATGTTGAGATAGAGGACATAATGAAGGTGACCCTCCAATCTATCATTCTGAATGTGACCAATGTTAAAGTTGACGAAATCCAAGAAGATGTTTTTATTCATAGTATGTATACTGTTCAAATTATTTTGGGAAAAAATTGCAAAGCATAATGTTAATACCTATAGAACTCCATTTTTTGTCATGGAAAAGAAGTCTTTCAAACAATTCCAATATTATATCTTCTGACTTTCTTTTCTTTTAAATAGTGATGTGTAACACACATGTTTGAAAATATGAAAATATCTTTTTAATCCTTTGATAAAAGACTAGTGTTTAAATTGATGAAACTGAATTCACTTTTCTTCTTTAAAAATCTTTGTATTCAAAGAGAAAAAGATTATTTAGGTAAATATTCTTTTCAAACGTATTGAATTGCAACTTGTTAATTTCAATAATTTTTTATACCATATTCAAAAACCGAAGCTGACGTCTGAATTTCGAATTTATCAATTCATCATCATTTCCTATAAATTATTGAACTCTGTTGTGAATTTCTTTTGTTCAATATCTAATTGCATGTATTAGTTGATTAACTCAGACATAACTGGTAGTTGATTTGGGAATTTTTCCTAGATCATACAAGAAATGATACCTGTGCACAACCAAAACAATTGAAAGCTGATTCTAGTGAAACATATGAACATATCAACGTCATAGAAAACTGCACGTCTCTGCAACACTATGATTACTTTTCCGGAAGTGGAGCAGCATTCATTCTGACATTTATCGCACTAGGACTCTGTGTTCCAGGTCAGCCTTTAGGGCGATATTATTGTTCAATTTTAAAAATGCATAATGTCACTATTGCATTTAACTTAAATTAGAAATGTCCTGTTCAAACGGGGAGGGGGGTTTATAGGAATCGCTTTGTTGTCTATCAGTCTGTCCGTATGTACGTGCAATCTTGTCCTAACTATAACATTGTAATGAAGAATCATTAAAAGCTCATACTTGGTACAAAGATTGTTTGTGACCTGAGAGTATGTCGTGACCCTGACCTAAAGTCATTCCGGCAAATTCAAGATCATTGGCAGAAAAAGTATATTTTTGTTTGGGGGATATAACATTAGAATGGAGAATAATTGGAAGTTCATACTTGGTACAAAGATTGTCTGTAGCCTGAGAGTGTGTCGTGACCTTGAACCCAAGGTTATTCCAGCAAGTTCAAGGTCACTGGTAGAATGCTTTTAAAATTCCTGTCCTGACTATATATTGTAATTGAAAATATTAGAGGCTTAAAAAATCATAAACATTGCATATGATCTAAGGGTCCGTATTGATCTTGACCCAAGGTTATTCCAGCAAGTTCAAGGTCACTGACAAAAAGTATTTCATTTGCGTCCTGGCTATAACTCTTAAATGGAGGCCAACTGGAAGTTGATGCTTATGACTTAAAGGTGTGTCGTGAACTAACCTGAGGTCATTTTGGCAAGTATAAGGTCAATGACAAAAAAGGTTCTGAACTGGTGTCTGGTCTATAACTTTCTAATGGATAAGCATTGGAAAGTCATACTTTACACAAATATTACTTATGTCATGAAGAGGAGTCATGACCTGGACCCAAGGTCATTGTGGCAAGTTGAAGGTAACTGACAGCTAGAAAAAAGTATTAAATTCATGTCAAGTCTAAAATCTTCTAATGGACAAACATTGAATATCCATATTTTGCTAATGACCAGAGAATGTGTCTTTTTTATCCAAGGTCATTTTGGCAAGTTCAAGGCCACATTAACAAAATTTCGAATTGGAACTCTAGAAAAAACTGCAGTGGGGGATTATTTTGTGAGTTTGCTCACAGTACTTCTACTTTTAATCTGATAATCATTACTTTTTGAACAATGGGGATTCTTGATTTAAAACTTCTTTAAAAGTAATTTCTGACAAAGTGTAACAAATATAACTAAAACGGAAAAGTATCAAACGCAAAATAATGAAATTATCAAAAGTAAATCTCTCTGCTATGAAATATGAGTTTTACTGACCGTTTCAGGGACTGTTGGGATAATGGTTTGCATGGCCAAGATACGAGCAAAGAAAATGCAGCGTGGTCGACAGAGACGGTCACCTCATCGCCCTAACGATGACCCTAACGTTTTTACAGGTATTTGAGGCAAATTTCACTACTCCAAGAATTCGTATTTGAATGTGTCAGATTGAAATGTAGTTCTTTGCCCCTTTACTCCTTTCCTGCTTATAAGAGTCACATATTAGTTGATTATGATTTAACATTATTAAATGTAGTGGTTGAATTACTGCATAGATAATATCACTCAAATTCAATTTCATTAAATAAAATGCTTGCTGTTTAAAGCGCGGGTGATGATGGGTATAAAATTGGACAATATATTCCGCCGATGCGTTTAATAATACGAATACACTTTTAAAACAGAATTAAGTTGCAATATATTCTGCCGATGCGTTTCATAATACGAATACACTTTTAAAACAGAATTAAGTTACATTTTCAACAGAGCAACCAGTGATTACGGATGTATTCAAGAAAGACTGATCTCAATTTCTCTAACATATGTGCACAAATTAGTGCTTGGAATGACTTTCAATCTGCATTGAAAGATGTTTGTCGAATTTACATACGAAAATATGAATTTTGTCTGCATGATAACGAGTATGGGGGCCCGTTGTGACAAATGATAAAAGCTCGTTACATGTATATTTTAGTCTGATGGAACCGATTTGCATCGTCGAATTAACGTTTCCCCCAAACCTGATAGTGGTCCATGTTTTGAGTTTTGAACCATATTTCATTAGCTTGATGCGAACACCTGACTACTTTTTTATATAAAAATAGATTTTTAGCTGCAATACACAAGAAATTATCCTAACATCACTGTGATTTCAGCTGTTGAGTGGGTTGGTCCAAATTCAGATGAGCGCAACGTAAAGGTTAAATTTGACCGAAGTCGGAAAAAGATCCACGTAGAAGACATGCGGAGAAAACCATTACGAATGCTGGATCTACGCACTGTCAAAGGCAAAGTACATTACCGAACGTCAACAGACGGACTTCAAAATGTTATTGCTGTCCGTATGACAGGGGAAATTGATTTGGTCAGTAACAGTATTAAAAAAAAATCTATTCATAGTCACTACATATACGCAAATGATTTTAAATTTCTTATACTTTGACCTTAACGTTTTTTAAAGCCTGTTATATGATATTTCTATAGCACAAAATCATGTCTTGCACATTTGTAAGCAAAAGCATTGACGTTGTAACGAGTAATATATTTCGAGTCTATTGTGGATGAAACTTTTTTTTGGTTATATGCAAACTTTATAGTTTTATTCAGTCCTGGACTATATACATGTAATGAAATAGTAATCATGGGCATTTGAGATTGGATTATCTGTTTTTACATTGATCAGAAAAGAACATCTATTTTGACCAAAGCGAAGCCCATATTAAACTCATTTTATGTCAACATTTAGGCATATTGACCACTTCAAAACTCATATTTGTATAATTTTGAAATTCAAAATGTGTTAGTAAGGTGACTCTTTCTCTAATATTATCATTTCATTATTCCATCTGACAGGTTCTCAAGTTTCTTGATATGGAGGAAAGGGAAAAGTTCAAGAAGAATTTGGATAATTTTTTGGTTGACCTTCAAATAGAAAGAGAAATTCACCAGTTCTCAGAAAAATCAGTCTACGATAATGCCAGCACAAAAGAAGAACGGCAAAAATACCTCGATAAATTCTTTCGTGTTATTTGCCTTCAGGTTTGTTTGTTTTGTTTGTTTATTTGTTTGTTTTCTTGTTTAACGTCCCTTTGAGAATTTTTCATTCAGATTGAGAGGGCACCACTTGCCGGTGGAGGTCTGTAAATTTAGACCTGTACTCGGCACTTATGGTCTAGATCTCCTTCAAGTAAAATATTGAGGATTTCATTGCAAATACTTACAGAAGGTCTTGATCACTTCAGAATCCAAATATTAACAAAAATTCAAGAAAAAAGGACATTGACATTATAATTAATTGAATATAGGTAACTATCCTCCCATGCTTTTAGATACATGTAATTCATGTTGATTATTCGTCAGCAGTATAGTAGTCAAATAGCCATGTTCTTTTTTATACTGTTTTTACATGTATGAATTAACAGAGCTTTGTTTCTTTTTGAACACTGTTTAAATCAAATTCGATGTAATATTGTCGTTTTCATATAGGCTTTCAACAAAGACCCAGGACAGCTGCAGATAGAGAGTATGAGTGCAGAGGACATGAACAGAGTGACTAAAATACAACTCACAAGAACGGAATTCGCCGACGCACTTGGACTCAAACCGAATTCTATATTTGTACGGAATATGTTTATGATGGTTGACAAGGATAATAGTGGATTTGTGGGATTTCAAGAGTTCCTTGATATGTTTGTTGTGTTGGCATCAGGTATAGCTTTAAATGAGAAATGAAATAGGAGAGAAGTATCATAAAATATGAGGCTACATGTATCTAGGCATGATTTAAATGAACCATTAGGTGAAATAACATTTTATGTAGAAACTTAAACCCACTTGCACCCTGATGAGTCTGAAAAATCTTCTCTCCGCTGAGGTTGTGTATTATGTACCATAATAAAATTAATCAGACGTGTATAAACTGCTTTTATGGATCTTTCTGTAAAATCCATTCTAGCATGTGTAGGATAATTTTAAAACCTTATCAAAAATTAGATAATTATGGAAACACATGGAGAAAGAGTAATTCATATATCAAGTTTGATCAGTTGTTATACAATTACTATTTTATTTTTTATACAGGTGATGCTGACGATAAAACAAGACTGATTTTCAATATGTACGACATTAAAAAGCAAGGAAAACTCACAAGCAAGGAGTTTGCCCGCATGATTCAGTTTGTATTATTGCATTTAAATTGTAAAGTGGCAGAGGATAGTTTTGGATTTGATACCGGTCAAAATTTAGAAAAAAAATTGATAAACCTTAGGTTTGGATGCAAATTATAGGACTGGTGTTTCTATTAATTTGTAAGAAGTTATATGTGTGCATTTGGAAGGAAGTAGTGGCCTTATATATTTTATTGATATATGACACTTTAGTGTCACTACTACTTTTCATAAGATTTGGATGAGAAATACGAAACTAAAGCCAAAAATCACTCATCCGGGATTTCCTCAGAAAAGCGGGGTGGTTTCATGGCATGAATTGTAGATTGAAAAGAAGGCAGTTGAGCCAATATATTTTGATGTTCAGTGTAATGTAACAGGCATTGGTCTACATTTTTGTGTGGTAGCGCAGGGCATTAGCACGGGCCTGTACGCTGGTGTAGATCTTATGAAATAGTGAAAATAAACTAAATTTTCATGAAATTTCGAGGCTGTCTCACATCATCATTTTGTCTCAACGTTTTAGTTGTATATGTTTTATTCCCAAAAGCTTTAAATTCCTCATGTGACTAGAACAGGCTACTGTTACATCATGTACATGTAAGGAGAAAAAAAATTCCAATACGTTTTTTACAAACAGCTCAATATTAAGGAAAACGTCAGTCAAACGTTTAATTGGAAAAAAAAACTGTCGTCTGCCACTCCAAAGTACTGTAAATCCTTTTTTATTTGGGAGAAGTTTTTGCGTACAGTCATGTAATTACGCGAGATCGTCTGAACTCGACATTTTTTTTCTGGCATACAATGTATATCTGTATTCTTAAAGATTATATATAATAATTGCGAAATTAGTGATTCTTTCTTTTTAAAAAAGGGGGGGGGGCATGAAAATTTGATGATTTAACAGACATTTTGTCCTTATCTCAATCTATTTGTTTTCAGGTCTATGCTGGATCTCTCAGACTCATCTATTTCCCAAACCGATATGAAAGCGTTAATGAGTGCCATGTATAAGGCTGCAGGACTTAAAGAAAATTCTGATATTGACTTCGATACTTTTTCAAGAATTTTTGCTTCAGAAGAATATAAAAGTACCTTACAGAAAGCAACACTTGGAATAGATGGTAAAACGTTCTTTTCCTGTTCCTTATGAAGAACATATTTTCTCAAAACAAAAAAAAATTACAAGTTCAGACATTTTGGTTTTTAACTTCTGATCTATTTATTCCAATTGATGACTCATATTCGCAAGTTGTGTATTTTAAAAGTAAAGAATGTTTTTAAAAGAAAAGAATGTGTTGCAGTTACATAAAACAAATTGATTATTATTCTTTATATTTAAACTATATTAAAATGGTACAATCTTGATTGCTATAAGAACTAGTCGCGTCCTGGACGGTATATTTGACCTTTAGATTTAGCTAAGATAAAGCTAATTTTCTCCTGTTTTACAGCGCTGGGAGCAGATGGCAAAAATGGTGGAAATATGGCTAGAAAAAGAACTACATTCTTTCAGAGTTACAAGTAAGGTTATCGCTGACTAAATGAAACTCAGTGATATTTTGTTTTAACAGAACAAATCATATAAATGAATTAATTACTTGGATTTGCAACACTTATCTAATAAAATGAAAATTACAGGATGGATACAGATAGGTAAAAAAAATAATTAGCTCATAGAGCATTGTTTATCATATATTTTATTTTGCACTACAATTTATACGTGCACCCGGTTTTATTAATACCCACTGCCTTTTATTTAGTGAGAGATTTTGTTTCATATGCTTAGAACATGGTAAATAATAACTTTGTTTTACGTCCTTTAATTCTTTCAAAATTTACCCTCCCGTCTGCCCCCCCCCCCCCAAAAAAAAAAAAAACAGCAAACACACAAACATAATTCAAAAGACACATTCAATAGTTAGAATTAAATTGACATATACATGAGAAAGCTACCTGTTAAGTTTTGTACTTTTTTAATTTCAAGTATTTTAATCATATAAAAATAAATACAATTTCTAGCCTTATGGTAAAACAAACTTAAATTTCTTAAAAGATAATTTACTTCCTTATTTTGGAATTTGATTGTTCCTTTTTCTCTTGAAAATTAAGAATAGTGTTGCCTTAAAAATCATGTGGATTTCAGTGAAATGCAGGGAAAACTGTTAAATGTTTTTTAACTGGTTTTCTGGAAAACCTACCCGCCCATTGACGTAAAACAAAGAATTAATTTACTGTGGCCTTAAATTTATAATGTTTTCATTACAAATAACGCTTAATAAATCTTGTCAATTTCTTTGAAAGTTTTTATAATTAAAATTTTGTACTTTTTAGTTTAATTATGGTCAGATAACGGCTTTCAGTTTGTGTGTTACAAAATTTCCGCAAAATTTTGATTTAAATATTCCAATAAATATATATACATTTAAGTTACGCAAAAATAGAATACATGTATCAGATTTATCAATTCGTTTGGTATTTATAAAAGTAAAACACCTTAAAATATTCCTTCTTAAAAATTGAACAATTCAGATATTATTCATCAATTCCTGGAAATGCCTACACTTTATAAATATTTATTGTTACTATGAAACAGAGTTGAAAGAAATAAGAAAAATTGATAAAAAAAAAATAAATAAAAGAAAATTTATAACGTGCAATATGACCAATTTTTATCAGATGCATTTATTTCGAAAAATAATACTTTGATTTAAAAAAAATAGTATTTAATGATTTTTTCATTGAAGACATGACATGTCATTGACGTTTAATTATTGTCCTTATTAATTAGTCATATCGGGCTTCCGATGCTTTATCTTTTATTGAGTGGGATTTACTTTGAAAGAAAAAACAACAAGTGAAAATAATAACATTTGTTTTGTACAGAGCTACTAAATGTGTTGAATTTCAGAGTGAAAATTTGATAAAGCATTATTAACTTCACTTTATTAAGGAGAAACTGAGTCACTCCTTCTATAAAAAACAATATAAACTATTTCTGCCTTATCATTTAGGAGGCAAAATGGACAAGACAGGTATTGAGGCAAAGGGCTTAATGCGTTTGCTTAAAAATTATAGTTTGTTGCTCCATCTATAAGTTTGTGTTAATTTTTGATATAGTTAATATGTACATGTATTTTGTTCTGATCTAATAGATATTTTATATAGAAACAAAGTTAATATAATTGAGTTAGATAAAATAATTGATTGAACAATAAACGAAAATGGTATTACGATTATATTATTATAAATAAATGCAATAACAATGGGTATTAATTGATTTCTGAAAAATAAGACTCTGTACATGATAAAGAATCTTGCTTAAACTTGAATGCTACACACGTTCTATCAGAAAGTATATGGTGTATACAGGAAAATTTTTGTCCTCGTTTTATTTTCGTCTTTTTCCAATAAAATTCAAAACGGGGAGAGTCCAAAGAAAAATTGTAATATTTCTGTTAAAACAAATGTGTCTGGGCGAATTCAAAATAAGTGAAATCGTTTGCAAAATACTGTGGAATCATCAAATTTCGTATAAGCCATTTTCAGCGGATTGCTTAAAATTAACAGATTCGTGGGGACGTGATTTCGTTTAAATTTACTCTTATCTACAAAAGGAAATATGAATGCGAAACCATAGTTTAATAATTCGTGGAGAATGTAAAATCTTTGATGAAGGGTACCCACGAATTTTGAGCCACCGCAAATTCTAATGATTTTAAAGTAAATGGACGAAAATAACTGTATACAGTGTGTTGAACACAATAGCAGATTGGGGCGTCTCTTTTTGCTAAATTTAAAAATTTGCTAAATAAATGTCTTGTATAAAACAGATGGAAAGTCTTGCACATGACAGATTGAAAGCTTTCAGTAGCATGCAATGAAGACATTAATGATTGTAGTATGTAGTTGTAGTATATAGTTTGTTATCTACTGTCGAGTGTTGCTTTTCACATGTCATAATTAACTTGCATTAATGTTAAAAAATGTTTACTAGTATTTCTTAATTTATTAATCAATCTTTACAAGAGGGAACTATTATCATTTTTCAGAAGTATAAAACTAGCAATATGCCGAGTTAATTTTACATATGATTTGTAGAACTCTTCAACGAACAAACACAAAATTAAAGGTGAAAACACGGGTAGCAGAACTCCCAGCGACAGCTTTGGGACAGAGGATATATGAGATCACCAGAAAAATAGAAAATAACCGACTTCAAATTTTTTGGCTCACACTGTATATTTTAGTCACCTTAGGGATATTTTTGGAGAGAGCATTTTGTAAGTGAATCATTTCTTTTGAAAAACTAATTTCAAAGATACAGTAGGTGGTGTATTTTTTAAACAGTTACATTTATCTTTCTGGTTAGATTATTCTTTTGAGAGAGAACACGCTGGACTGCGCAGAATCGCCGGATATGGCGTCACAATAACACGTGGTGCAGCTAGTGTGATGATGTTCACGTACTCCAGTCTACTTGTAACAATGAGCAGGAACACCATTACATTCCTGAGGGAAACATTCCTTCATCGCTTTATTCCTTTCGATTCTGCACACGCCATGCACAAAATAGTAGCTATGATTGCGCTTTTATTCACAGGTAAAATGGACAAAATTCCAATATATTTTAATATGTTCAAATTCCTGTAGAATCATCTTGCAGTAGTTCTTGAATTCATAGTATTATTAATGACGGAAACATTTGTGATATCAGAATTTGGTTTTCATTTATTTGCATAGATGAAATATAAACTACCCCAATTCCGTTTTTACTTAATATGAAAATTTACCTTTTTTCTTGTTTTCACTAAAAATAAACTTGTACAATGTATAGAAGAAAACAAGAATGAACATGGTAAAATGCAGAAAAATGGTAACAGTGATATAACATTACATAACAATGATTCTCATAACAAGTCATATCATTGTAACATTATTAATATGCACCAAGTTACTGTCTTTTCAGTGGTTCATTGTGTCGGACATGGGATTAACTTATATCACATAAGCACACAGGCGTCAACAGATTTAAACTGTATCTTCCGAGAGTATTTTCGAGCGTAAGTATCAAATAGCTTTGATATCATACTAAATGTATCATGTTTAGCTTAAAGTACGAGTTACCCTGATTGCTGATGAAATTCCTATTCTCCTATGGGGAAATGTGCAAGGAAATCCAGGATAAAATTATATTTTAATATTTGGAATAAATTACATCGGATATGAATGCAAATCTTCAATGAACAATAACAACAACAAAAACCCTCGTAAAAAGATTCTAACCCTGAATTCAATAACTTTATGCAATGTTGTCTTGGACTTATACGGTATGTGATGACCTTAATTAAAGATCACAAAAGTAGATTTGTCGCATATTTTACTAAATTATGCAACGTTTGCAAATTTTCTTGGTTTGAGAAAAAAATATTGGTCCGAGGGGATTTCGTGATTGAAAAAGTGCTGAGTCGTTTTTTATTCGAAATTAAGTGTTGGACATTAATTCGTAGGTCTTTTCATGCCTCGAAAACAATGAAAATTGTTTATTGCAAATTAATTCGTTTTATCATTACCCAAAGAGGGCTTACTGATTTGGTACAAAATTATGTCCTGAATTTCATAGTTAAAAGAGAGTTGCTTCGTGCAATCACTATAGTACTATAGTAAACTATTACAGTTAACTATAGTAAATCAAAGTTCCAAATTTTTCACAATAGTAAATCAAAGTATCAAAGTTTTTAATATAGTAAATTAAAGTTCCAAAGTTTTCACTATAGTAAATCAAAGTTCCAAAGTTTTTACTATTATAGTAAAAGTTCCAAAGTTTTTATTATAGTAAATCAAAGTTCCAAAGTTTTCACTATTGTAAATCAAAGTTCCAAAGTTTTTACTACAGTAAATCAAAGTTCCAAAGTTTTACTATAGTAAATCAAAGTTCCAAAGTTTTTACTTTGATACTAAAGTTAATTATAGTAAGCTGTAGTTAAATATAGTTTACTATAGTATTTTTTTTTTGTTAGGGCATGTTCAATCTGCATGAACAAATGTGGGAATACATTGTTTCGAAGGCATTAACTTATCGCAACGTCGGTCATCGTACTGAAGTAGTCCTTTGAAAGAAGTTTTCTGCACTTTTAAGAACCAAAATGATTAATACATCATTTTCAAATGTTGAAGTGCAGTATTACAATGAGAAAACACAGAGAAACAGATTTTTAATATACATGTATATTTGACAAAAAATACGATAAACATGTGTCGATATTTTAAACTAAAGTTTGCAACAATTTATTGAGAAAACGTACTTTCAAACCCGTTGTACATTGTTATATAATTCTACTGTTCATATAGTATATTTGAAAAAACATATATTGTATCTTGGACTAAAACATATCTTTTCAGTACAGATGTTCTAGCCTCGTTCCAATATTGGGCTTACGGTACTATAACTGGTCTGACAGGGATTATATTGACGCTGATTGTAATCATTATGTATGTATTCGCCACACCATACGCCAGGCGAAATGTTTTCAATGCCTTCTGGTTTACTCATAGTTTCTACATTTTACTGTATATATTTATGGTGATGCACGGTACCGGAAGGCTTGTCCAGCCTCCTTTGTTTCAAAACTATTTCTATGGGCCATTGTTCATTTTTATTGTGGATAAATTCATCAGCCTCAGCAGAAATCAAGTAGAAATCGACGTTATATCTGCAGACCTTTTACCATCAGGTATGTATATGCATGTTTTCTCTATACCTTTCTGTGCCAAGCAGCACATCAACTTGGCTTTGTTCACATTCTATGAAGTTGAAAATTGTGTACTTTATTCACATTTATATAAAAGACATCGTTGGGAAAAGGAAATTAGATAGAATCAACTCCGCGATGTCTGAAGATTTAAGGCTATGAAATAGTGGTAACAAGAGATCCTTTGAAAAAACGATAAAAAAAACCGGATTCTACACATTTAATATTTTTGTTTTAGATGTCACTGCCCTCAAGTTTAAGCGTCCAATCAATTTTGAATATAAATCTGGTCAGTGGGTCAGAATCGCATGTGTTAAACTAGGTAAGAGTGAATACCACCCCTTTACTCTGACATCAGCACCTCATGAAGATTATCTCAGTCTTCATATTCGAGCTGTTGGCCCATGGACGACAAATCTTAGGAAAACATATGATGCTAACAAGGCCAATTCAGAGGAGTGGACTCCACCAAAGGTATTAAACTGTACTGCATATCCAAAATGTTCTTATTACCTTTTTCAAATATGGTGAGTCATTATCATTTTAATTCTATTTTAAATAGCTAATCAGTCTTTTCAATAGTGCCATTCAGTGACTGAGTAATCCAATATGTGTCCAGAGTTTATTTTTATCCCCTCGCAACGAGTTAAATTGGAGGGGATATAGTAACACGCTTGTGTGTGTGAGTGGGGTCCCGTGTGAGTGATTGGATGCCTAAAGGAAGTTACTCAAGTTATAATTTATATCGGGATCTATGTGCTCTTTTGCAAGGGATGCTCCATGTAGAAAAGCCCTGGTTGAACTTCTTTTTCTGTTTTGTTGAGGTTTTGTTGGATGGTCCGTTTGGAGAAGGTCATCAAGATTGGTATAAATTTCCGGTTGCTGTGTTAGTAGGCGGTGGGATCGGTGTAACTCCATTTGCATCCATTTTAAAAGATATAGTTCACAAAACATCACAGCCTATCCAGTTTCCTTGTCAGAAGGTACGCCACAGAGAAACCTTAATGCACGAATTATACTATTTTCTAGTTCTGTTGATAAGAACTGATTTGGACAGAAAACATTAAAAAACCATGATTTAACCTTTTCGTGTCTTTTATTCACACTGTTGTCAATTGCTAAAAAGTGAAGGAAAAAATAACCATTTTACGCCTTTTATTACATCAAAATTCTAAGACTTCCTCACAGAACAACATAGTATAGTCGGTTTTATAAAAGAAATAATTTTATTATACCTGCATATCAAACTAGGTGTATTTTCTGTGGGTGACAAGAACCCAGAAGCAGTTTGAATGGTTAACAGATATCATCCGAGAAGTGGAAGAAAACGACAGACGAGAGCTTGTTTCTGTTCATATCTTTATTACACAATTTCAACAGAAGTTTGATCTGCGAACAACTATGCTGGTATTCATGATCTTTGCAATTGGTTTTAATTAAATGTACCTGATTTTTTTTAAATGCATAAATTTCTTTGCACATGTATCTGAATGGACCAAGTAAATGACTTGTTGGGAGTCTCTCATTTTCTTTTTTAAAATTGCGACTAAATTTAGTATATTAATCGTTACGAAATCACTGGTGAATTGGGTAGAAATGTAGTTTCACCTCATAAATAAAAAGAATATCGAGATAATTGATATCATTTCGATTCAAGTATATTTATAAAACAATTACCGTTTTAGTATATCTGCGAACGCCATTTCCAAAAGATTGCCGGAAAAAGTTTGTTTACCGGACTGAAAGCAATTACACATTTTGGAAGACCCCAGTTTCAAGAATTTTTAGAATCTCTACATAGCGAACATCCAGAGGTAGATCAGTTCTTATAGTCACCCATTTCCTTTTTTAAGATAAATTATACATGTGATACAGTTGTGATATATTAATACTAATAAAACTAACACATACATTGTAATTGCAACATCATTAAGATAAAATAATTGTGACAATATATATAATCAATATGTATGGTCTCTGAAAAATACGAAATATCATTGCAGGCAAAGCAGATCGGCGTATTCAGCTGTGGACCTCCACCAATGACCTTGAACGTAGATAAAGCATGCGCAGAGGCCAACAAAAATGAAGGGTTCCCCACTTATTCGCACCACTTTGAAAACTTCTAGATGTTTTAGGGTACCTTATTTAACTAACCTTCAAACACTGACAGTACCGCTTGCAAATGCGGTAGATATTACCAATGCATCGCACCTTCATTTAGCTCTTGTATTTTACCTAATTTGATTTCGTCATGATTATCTTGATTTAATATATCGAAGTTCGATATTTTATACCGGTGAGGTGAGTTTTTATACTCATTTAAGCATTAAGTTCAGTCAGGTGTTAAATATACTGTGAATATGAACTAGTAATATTTTATTAAACTTGTTCTTGATCAATATTCAATGCTTAAAATAGTTTCTATAAAATCATACCAGTTTGTGTAACATGAACTTTTAACTTTATGTTATTTGTTTACGACAATTAAAGGTCTAGGATATTTTATTGAAATTAAATGAATTTGCATGTAACTTGACATTTTGGTTTATGCTAACAAAATTATCTGTTTATGGATTTTTTTCTTTTAATTTTTCTGTATACTGTTCATCCCTTTGATATGAACATTGAATGTGAAATATTTCTCGTATTGAAGATGCACCGTTAGCAAGTTTGTTTAATAGCAATGTAATTAAATTTGCTGTGCATAATGAACACCTTCCCTTCAATAGAATGGAATACTACCATGAAATGTCCCTTTTCTCCAAAGTGTTGATTATTCAATGCTAATACAACACGGCACAAAATTTTATGATTTAGAGATATAGATTTACTTTTGAAAAATTCAGATAGATATTGTTGTGATACAATTTTCGACAATCATGTAATATTGTATCAGGTTAATGCATTGAATGCATTCCATATTTTATTTGTTGTAATATTATTAATACGATATCCAAAATACGTTTAGCTACACCATGCTGTATATTTATTGACCCCATGAGTTTGAAATGAACTATATATTGTAATGATCTAATTAACTGAAAATAAATTTGACGTACAAGTAATATTTATATAATTATTCATAAAAATGTATATAATTACGGAATACTATTGTTCACGCAATTTTCTTAATCTTATAAATATAAGAAATTCCTGCTTCCAAACATTTCGAATTAATGAGATATTTCACGACATATTGAAGATATTAATTTTGTTTTATAAGATTTTTTAAAGTAAGAAATTATTACATGTTGAACTAATTTTTATAATCTGTTACATTAAACATTTAATTTGTGATGTAAAAGAAAATGAAGTACACATATATTTCATGTTTATATATACAATGTATATTAATTGATGTACAAGTATTTTAATTATATTTTTTACATTAAAAAAAGAATATGTATTTGTACTCTTTTTTTCTAAGTAATAAGATAGACATAACATTGAGTAATAGCAGCTGAATATTGTTTGACAGTATTGTATATTGTGAAATGTCTGTCTCTGTTTTGTCTCTGTTGCGCGTAAGCGGGTTATGTAATTATTTTTTTCTGCAATAATTCCCATACTAACAACTGTAACGTTTTTACTATGTACAAATAATTAATAATTAGGTCCGCTTAGGTTTCCTTCCTAAGAATCGCGTTTATATTGAATCAAACAAACTTCAATAAAACCAATGACGCTACAATAAAACTCGTTTAGTACGAACACGGATGTATCGCATTCACGGATATGGCAAATTAAAGTTAACGGTTTTAAATCCCCGGCCGAATTCTTAACAATTCCTAGAAAAATCTTACGGTTATACGAACTCTGATATAACGTATTTACGGATAAAGCGAACTGGTTTTCTGTCCCGTAGAGGTTAAAAATAGCGAAAATTATATCCTTTATAACGAATTTTCAATATCTTTAAATTCTTATGACATTATTTTTTTTATAAGAATTTTGATTTGGAATTCCATTCATCAGAAATATTAAGTACCCAAAGTAAAAAATTGTATTTGAATCCTTCCAGAACATACTTGAAGGAAAAAATGCATATTGCGAATTCGTTATATATACATGTACTTTAACGAATTTGTTATACGGATATAGCGAAGTAAATTTACAGGTCCCCAGGACTTCGCTATAACCGAGTTTTACTGTATAATAGAAAAACACAGATACTACAACTGACTAAATTCCACTGTATATACTTTTTCCTTGGTCCTATGTGAATAATGATTAGTAAACAGACATGATAACTAAATACAACCAAAGAATCAACTAAAATTAATAAATCAAAGATGCCAACCTTACTACATATCTATAAACTGATCCCTGAAGCTGCAGACTGAGTGGTTTAAGAAACAATTCTGTTGTTTCCCGACACAGCCTGCAACTACCTAACACCCAAGCACAAAGTCACAGAGACACCTTGCAGAGACACAAGCCAGTCACTAAGACACCATAGCTAGTCACTAGGACACTGTATTACCTTTGGTTACAGACACAAACTAAAGTCACCGAGACACTATAGCTAGGGAACTGACTCTCTGAGCTGAGTGGTCTAACTAACAATTCTTTTGTTTCCCGACAAAGCCCAGGAACCCAACCCAAGTCACCTAACTCCAACAATGAGTTACACCAAAAGTAAACAAACGCTAGATTGATCCCTTTATTTATACCATTTTGCATCTGATCCATTAAAACTGATTGGTTAATAATTCTAATCATTTGGTTGGTTGAAATATCAACGTTGATTGACTACATACAAACTGATTCGATTGGATGATTCAAAACCTATTTCAATCCACTATTTCATTACATTACCCACGCCTTGAAAAAATAATTATGCGTCCTCGCATAGGTAATCCAAAATACTGCTATGTTGATGGCAGTCAGTTATTTATTTTTGAAGGTACTTCTTTCTTCGAGTCCTTTCAATCTCAAAATTGCGTATATACATGTATGTATGGTCAATATGAGACAAAATCACTTTTTACTACCTTTTGGACAATCATGTCGAGATTGATTTTGTGATCCACCCAAATAACAGCGTTTATTGCTGGAAGCTCCGGATTTATTTTTGTATACAGTATCAATGGACATCTTTGCTTTTATGTCACTAACTTTTTTACGAAGTTTTCTTATTTCATCCTTCAACTCTAACAACGTACTTGTGCTGATTGATTATGAAATGGCCTTTTTGTTTCCCTCAGTTTTTTTCTGACTGCATTGGTCGTGAATGGGTTTGTGTTTCTAACATTTTACGATCAGATTTTACAAAAGCTTCTAATTCGACAACATGTCGATGGCATCATTAAGATTTGATTGTTTTATTCTCAATCTCATGTTCTGATCTTTTGCCAGTTTTTCTTGTACGTCTCTTGGTGCCGTAGGATAACCAGATTTGTTAATCTTCGTATGGACTGTCCTAGTTCTGGCAAAGTTTCCGTTGCTCGTTGTCGGCGTTGTCTTAACTGAGCTCTATACAGGTCATTTTGATTTGAGGGTGCAAATCTCTCCTCTAGGGCATTAACAAGCAAGACATAGTCATGCTTGTGGTATTTCAATCCACTATACTAATTCTATTTCATTACACAACGAAAGAAATATATTTTATTGTTTATGTTTATATCTGTACAAATTTGTTAAAGTAGGATTAAGACGATTAAATATTGTATTATTGATATGAACGTCATTGTACGTTTAATGGATGGAAGAGCCACTTCTCAAGAAATCTGTAGAGGTGATGTGCTTAGCAGTGTTTATTGACTAATAAACGACAATGGTTTCTTAAGAAATAAAGGAGATCATATTCAGTGGATGTAAATATAGTAAATTTCAGTTTGCATGGTACAGTGTAACTGTATAGCAAACAGTCACAAAGTACAGTGTCAGAGGTCAATGTGAAAGGTCACGAGGTAAGTAGCCATGGAATTTTTCAGAAACCATAGTGCCATGCATTATATATGGGCAAAATATCAAATCTATACCTCTTACTGTTCTCAACATAATATAGAGTGTGACAGATATATATATAAATTGTATATATATATATATATATATATATATATATATATATATATATATATATATATATATATATATATATATATATATATATATATATATATATAATATTGCTTGTTAAGGAATTTAATGATTCAAAAGGGACATTATTACATGTAACTGAAAGATGTCCATATTAGAGGGTCTTTTATTCCGAGTATAAAGCTTGGAATAAAAGACCCTCTAATATGGACATCTTTCAGTTAATGATCAGCTTCAAGGGAAGCTGATTATTAATTCACATGTAGATGCTTTATTATCAATATGACTACTGTGGAATCATCATTGTTCGTGGGGGACCAATGTTCGTGGGTTACCCTTACCCACGAATTTACATTCCCACGAACGTTTATTTTGTAAACATATTGATTAATTGAATCTACCGTATAAACGAGTAACCCACGAAATTACGTCCCCTCGAACAAGTACAATTTTGCTTGTCCACGAACATTAAACCCCACGAATTAAAATGATTCCACAGTAACCTGGCCTTGGTGTTCTAGAGAGGGAAAAATTTCCCCCCGTCATTAATTTGGGGGGGGGATTTGTTGAATCTACACAACTTGGGAATGTTTGCAAATTAATGATTCAAAAGGGACATTATTAACTGAAAGAATGCCACAATACAGTCAAATATGAGTATTTGCAGCATGTAGCCTGGAAGTTACATTGAATTTGTTAATCATTTCAGTATATTATGTAGGTCTTACTAGTATAGAAGTGTGGTTTCTTTGAGAATGTCCACACTTCTTTTTTTAATCTGAATATAACAAAAATAAATTAAACGAGAATTGTGTGCAATTTTACGCAAGAAAGAAAGGAGTCTCACACATATACAAGTACAAACATTCGAATTTCCATTAAATTTGATATGAGATCTGAACTGGATACTAGTATCCCTATTTATAAGCATCTCCCTTATTCGTGTGGAAAGCTTTAGATACGTAATAACAAATATGAATCTGTTCTAATGATATTGTTTTTGTACCATAAGACAATATTATGAATACCTGAAGAGCTGTCATATTTTATATTGTAGATTACTTTTCTATTGTAGTAGTTTTTTTCCCTCGAGTTTCCAATTCGTAACGCAACATAAAACACGATATATTCACTTGAGAAAAAAATCTACTGTATACTATTATGTCATGCTTACTTTATTTAAAAAAAATTATAGCAAAACAAACGGCAACTGGTGTATTTTGATTTACGTAAAAAAGAATATGGTTTCATATTTTTCATTCAGCGTTAGCTGTTTTAGTCTGTCAAGTCTATTATCCGGCACCATTTACTCTTCACAGTTCAGTCCTATTTTCCGGCACCAAACCGAAATAGGTGCGCTTTCTGGCCTCCCCAGCTATTTGTCCCTTTAGTCTTCAAGATTCGGATCAAATCACTGAGGCTATTTCTTTTGACAACACCACCTGGTAAATAGAAGAGAAGAAAATATTCACGCAAAATCGTCGAAATTCTTTTTTCAGTAAATTAGAGAGTATATGTGTATATAAAGTATGTATATGTATTCAGCATAGCAGGAGTAGTAATGCACATAAAAAAGCATATTCTATCTCCAAACTACTTTTTTTTCTTTTGTATAAAGTAAAGCGTATATTTTGGTACTTTTTTAAAATCCATTTTTCAATGATCATGTATCATTGAAAAATGATTCAAGAAAAGGTTAGATTAAAATACAGATACATGCAATTCGATCAGTTAGCTTTCAAAATAGGTAGTTTCGAACCAAAACATTTGAAAGATGGCATAAAAAACAAGCAATATGTAATCATATGCGTTTGAATTCTTTGTTCCGGAGAAGTGTATATTGAAACAATTAAATACATTTACATTGTAAAATGCACGTTTATGCATAATGTATAACAGATTATTTCATAAGTACAATTGTTTCAATCATAGCAAATGTTTTGGTTCGAAACTATCTTTAGCTAAAATTTCACGAAAAATACGGGGAATCTACATAAAGTATAACTTTATCTCATTACAACCATCTAGATTAAGAAGTACTGAGAGTGGATAATTCATTATGTGTATTGATATATTTTTAAAATTATTATACAAATAAACTTTGTATCTAAGTTCGTAATCTTAGTTCAGAAAAAAAAAATTGGAAAGTAGTGTTTAAATGAAATAATTTGTAAAACTAAGGAAGTTACTTTACCTTCATCGTCCAGGTCAAAGAAAACATCATCAGCATAAGGATAGCTGCACGCTTGGTGAAGCGCAATGGCGACCATAAACAACAGAGTCAGCTTGGTGGCAACACCCATCATCTTGAACTCTCTAGGATTTCAGAAATAAGACTAAGCCGATACATGTGGGTTCTTATATTACCGAGAAACACTCTCCACTGGTCAATTATTGACGTTTAGAAACATTTTAAGAGCTTTAGTATAAAATGAGACATGAAACAGGAAGCTTTATGTTACGCGTACAATAAAAAACAGTAGTTGCACGCAATGTTTTGCAACATGAAATAATAATGTTTGAAATAAACAAATGAGTTAAAAATGAAAACAGTTTCCCTCTGTTTCCCCAATATATTTTATTAAATATATATGTATTCATTTCATGCCCACACAGAGGTAAAACAATCTCAAAAGGTACTTTGAGGAAAATTAAAGAGAGACCGAACTCTGTTGTAAAGCAATATATGTTCGTGATAATCTCAGGAAAGGGGTGTTTTTATGTCTTTGTTTTATAGGAAATAACACTTTCATCTTATATCCGAACACATTGTCCAGGGTCGACACATGAATGCAAAATTAGCAGAAAATAAGCAGAAAATTTTCATTAACATTGTTTCTCATTCGGGAGGGAGGTACATCAATCAATAGTCATTTTCCTGTTGAATCCACCTACATATATTAGGTGAGGGGAGTAAAAATTCTAAATTTAAAAAGACATTACTGATCTGATAGGAAATGAACTACAGTCAAACCTTGTTATCTTGAACTCGATGGAATCCAGAAAAAGCATTTAGATATTGAATTAAACCATATTCAAGCGAAAGTGAGCTTAAGTTCATTGCTTATGTCTCAATCTCGAACATAAAATTCGTGATTCTTGATATGATAAGCAAATTAAAAGGCTTTATGACCATATAAAGCTACGTGTATTTCCTTATATGTAGTTTTATCAAAACATTTGAAGTGTAAATATGTCGCAGTAACACAAGAAAACAATGAATTTGATGGAATCCCTCGTAGTGAAAGCTGAAGCACAAAAAAGTTATATCACAACATCATAATATGATTTATATATAATTTCAAAATGTTCATAGGAATACTGAAAAGAAGAAATAAATCTTTATAATTACTGAGATGTGTCCTCAAACTTTAAAGGGTCGCTAGTAGTCTTTGCTAATTTGCTAAGTCTTTTTTTTTCTTCAAGTTAATAAATGTTGACTTCACTCTTCAACAATGAATATGAACTATAATCTCCAACTGAGTATTAGACAAATAACACTCTATATATAATAATATAATACAAGCAGTGTTTTGTTACAATGTAACTAGTTGAAATATCGTGATATATATATATATATATATATATATATATATATATATATATATATATATATATATATATATATATATATATATATATATATATATATATATATATATATATATATATATGTATGTATGTATGTATGTATGTATGTATATATATCTGTAATTTTAAATTAATCTCTAAAATTAAACATAAATTTGTGAACATTGCAGAGAAAATTGTACAGTATCTTTACTAATTTCGTTGTTAAGTTAAAGAGATCAGTGGAAGGAATGTTCATATTCTAATCAATAACATCAAAACGTACGACTTTTCAACACTTTATACAACTATTACCCACGATAAATTGAAATCCAGGATTTTTGACATCATAGACAGCTGCTTTTTCAATAAAAATGGAACTCGTAAATATACTTACCTTGTCATTGGTCATTTGCAAAATTATTATTTAAAAAGCATTGTGATTGTACACACAAGTACTCCGAAGTTGATATTAAAAAGATGCTTGAGTTTCTGATTGACAATACCAATGTAATTTTTGGAGACCAGGTCTTCCAACAATCTGTTGGAATTCAAATGGGTACCAATTGCACCGCCTTATTAGCAGACTTATTTTTGTATTCATATGAGGCAGAATTTATTCAAATACTTCTACATGAGAAGAAGAAAACACTTGCTGTGGCCTTCAACTCGACATTTCGTTATATCGACGACGTATTATCAATTAACAATAGTTACTTTCAGTCATATGTCTACGCGATATATCCCAGTGAGCTTGAAATAAAAGAAACCACAGATTCTGACACATATGTTAGATTTTTACTAGTTAATCGTAACCTAACAACAAAGCTTTAAACGTGACGACTTCGACTTTTCAATCGTCAACTTCCCTTACTTATGTAGCAGTATACCCTTATCATCTGCATATGGGGTTTATGTCTCTCAGTTGATTCGATACGCAAGAGCATGCTCTAAGTATGAAAAATTTATACGATGCAAACTATTGACAAAAAAGTTGATGAAACAAGGATATCAGCAGTCTTATTTGAAGTCATTTCACAAGTTTTACGATCGATACAATGACATTGTCTGCACATGCAACCTATCATTAAGTCTAATGCTAAGTGATGTTTTTCATACTAATTGTTAGGCCATAACTTATACAATGAAATGTCTACGGATTTTTCCGGTTCTTTTTTCGATCATGACAAGGAGCAGATGTGACCGGCCGGCAGGGGATACTCACTCCTCCATGGCACCTGATCCAAATATTAAATTTTGAGGTCCATGTTTGCTCTGCTCCAAATTTGTATCGTTTCATTGGACTTTCGAGATTGAATACTGTTCGTTATTTTCGTATTTCATTATATTATTGCTCTTCTGAAACAGAGAGTCTTCTTATTTCGTATATATTTACATATCACAAATATAGATGAAATAAGAATTCTTTGTTCTTTCAACAACTAACTTTATATCACTTTACTTTTTTTTTATTTAAAACCGAAATAAAATCGAATTCATGTTTGTTAATTTTAAAAGCGCTGTTGTTCTTAATGATTTATCAACCATAAGAGTTGTATGTTTTTGGAGATCCTATGTATATAGTGACAGTCCCTTGTGAATTATTGTAACACTAGATCAATAATCATTCATATAATTAATTTTTAAAGAAAATGTGAACAGATATCAATTATCATGATTCACAGCTTATTTTGTATTCTTTGTTTTATTTATTTATTTTATTTTCATGTCATTTAATTTTCATTTGAAAGTTTAGAATGAGGCGTCAAACAGTTCTCATTACCTCAATATTGATTGAAAAAGTAAATATTAATCTTTGTAGTGGTTGTAATAAAACACTTTGTAATTCACAGTTACTGCTTTTTCCAGAATTAAAAGTTAATCAATGTATTATAATCAATAGCTCAGTACAAATCGTCCCATCAAACCTTAGAGTAGATTGGATAAAACAGATACATAACACAGGTAAGTGATGAGTTTTAAATCACATCACAGAAGCAATGTAAATGATTAACATTGAATTAGACCTTCCTCATTAACGAAATGTAATTGTGCACTGGTCAATATAAAAACGTAACCTAGAGCCGAACAATAGGTGAAAAGAGAATATTGATCGAATAAAATTTAAAGGTAGCCCAAATGTAAATAGAAGCTGCATGCTCGATTGAAATCGGGATACACTATTTGTTCTGTTTGTCAAATATCGGTCTCTGTACCATCTACAGACACAGAACTTAAAGTCTCCTCTCAAATAGAAATGGAGGAAGAAAACCCTACTGTCCTGAATGAAGATATGAATGAAGTAGTGGAAAAGGTGAGCTCGATTCTTTGATCTTTGTAGAACATATTCATAAATGATGTGCTGTTTCTTTTGGCAACATTTACTTTATATGTCTTGCAGTCTATCAGAAGAGATTCAGTTAACCTTAACAATTATCTAGTATACTCAGACATCTAAGGGAGTTCCTTTCCATCATGACATTTTAAACCAGAAGTCTCTGGCGAGACTTTAGTTCTATATAGTTCTATACCGGTTCGTACTTAAAGCAACACCTATAGACTGAAAATTCAGAAGCAATCATGACAACATAAATAAATTAGAGGTATAATCCTTGTTGAGTGTACTTGTGTACCAAGTTTTATAAAATAAAAACCCGAAACATAGATGGAATAAAGTTCTAAACGAGTTCTTGTATTATCCTATTTATATTAAATATTGAAATATTGCAAAGGTGTAATCTAAAAAAAATAATAAACAGGACTTTGTATTTTAGTTAGAGTAGTCTAATTGAACATTAAGTTACCAGCACAAAACTATAGAAAGAGTAGTGTTTTGAAATTTCTCAGAATTTCCTATTTTAATAACTATGACAACGCCCTTCGTCAAAATTAAAAAAAAAAACGTTTAAGAGAGTTATACATGTATATACATTGTACGTCTTAATATAGTCTTGTGAACCATGTCTTACTGAAATTGCACGAAAACTGTAGGAGAAATTATAGTGCGTTGAAAGAATTTCAAAGAACTTTCTATTTTTAGTACCCTTACAAAACAATACTATTAATAGTAAACTATAGTTTACTATAGTACATATAAGTATTTACTATAGTAAGTATAAATTTGAGGCTGTTATGTTTCATTTTCTCCAAGTCTTGCATGGAATTTTTAAATACCAAAAGGAAATATCACTTGCATATATAGTCAAATATTATTTCCAAAATGTACAACATTTCTATTTTTTGTACCACTGTTCGTAGGAATAAAAAAAAACCCACAAAATTATGTATCTATAGTTAGTATAGTCTCTACTGGTCTCTGACAATAGAGCTAAAAATTAAATTGATCAAGGTTTTTTTTCTCCTAGAATTGAAATAAAATACATAAATTTTTCATGATAAAAAACGCCACCAATACAGTTAAAAGAAATATCAAGCACACTAAATGATTCATGTAATCAGCAAATTCATTTAAGAGAAAGGCTTTGATTAAAGTGGTATTCCTGAAAGTGGGTGAGATTGATACCCTGAAGGAGTTCTTCGTTGCCGACGTTTTCATTCAAATAAAATGGCGGGAACCTACACTGGATATACTTACAGAGGGAGCCAGGATGAAGCAGGTTCTCACAGGGGCATTGGTGAGAAAACATTTTAATTGTCCCTTATTTAGAACATGTTTTAATAAAACTTAAGGTTTGGAATGTAAGAAACCGTGAAAGAAATGGATTAAAGAAGCAAATGAAAACTTACAATAACCGTAATAGGAAAGTGCCAAAATAAAATTCAAAGCTTTGAAATCTTGAGAAATGAAAAAAAAATATTCAAAATTGCTCTGTCGAAACAGTTGTTTAGATTATTATTCCTTGTAATTATGTAAGATTGGAAAAGAAAAATAATTTAAAGTTGTTCAGCAATAATATACATGTGAAGCAGTCAATTTAAAGAACTTAAACTTTGCATAATTTCTGATTTAAAAAAAAATTATAAAGAAAAACAGCAAAGAATATCTCATCTGAGAATATCGATGAGTTGAAAATACTCTTAAATATTTTTTTTTCAATGTCTAATAATTTTTTTATCACTTTAGTATTGATATTTATGTTCTCTATCTACTGACAATTATCTTATGATAATCTTTCAGAGGAGTCTTACACAGAATAATTTAGAAATACCGAAAGAAAAGGTTAGTTTTCTTTATGAATTTCGTTTCTTGTGTTTGTGGGGTTTTTTTTTTCTAAATAAGAGGGGGGAGGGGGAGGGGTCGTTAATGATTTTGCTTTCAAAGGTTAAACATGAACACCACTTCGAAATTTTGATAAAAACACTGCTATATACATTCTATATTTGAATACAAGTTTCTTCTTAATACAAATGTACTGTTTAGTCCAGAGGAAAAAGACTTAGTGTTTTCAACTTTTATTTTCAAGACTACTGGCAAAAATAAAATCTAATCAGGAATTTTTTGTATGCATGCATAAGTTTTAAGTCTTGTCACTTGACTAAATCAACAGGTATTCCACAAATGTAGAATAAATTGAGAAATTACATATACCACAACCACTTACATCCAGGCATTAATTATCAGTTAATACATGAAGCTAATGGATACCTAGTAAGCAATTTTGCCCTGTAAAATCCGGGCCTTGTTTTTCAAACGAACTTACGACTAAAACCAAAATGTATTTTAGCTAATAAATTCCCATTTCACATTTATTTGAAAATGGCTTTAATCTTTAAAAAAAAAGAATAATAGAAAAATTCGTTAAAGTTAAAAAAATTTAACAGTCATTAATTTTGTAAGAGTTTTGAATCAAATTTTATTGGTCATAGTCGTAAGTTCTTTTGTAAAACGTGCCCCTGATTTTTAAATGAACTGCGCATATAAATTTACATACGTGTATAGCTCTTGTTAATCTTTTCTAGAGTGAAAAATTTCATTTTGAAAACTATTGGGATCCGAAGATAGTTTTTCAGAATGTTTTAAGCGAAAGCAAACATTCCGAGTGGAAGCTCTTGAAACATAACGAAGATGGCGAAGCTTTTATTGTACAGAAGCATCGTCTCAAAGCAACTTTTTCAGAAAACCTAGAACTTGCCTTATTTCCCTTTGATATTCAGGTAAGTACTGTCAAGATTTAAACACTGAATTATCTCTCTTTGATTAGCAATTTTCAGCAATAGTCAATACATTTTACAATGCAACTTGAATGTTTTATTGATTTTTGCTCTTAAACAGCTGTTAAAATAAAATTATGTACTCATTTTTTTTTTACATAAAAAAAAAATATCTACTTTATATTGAGTATTTGTATTTTATATCGATTTGAATTCTCATATATAACATTTTTAAGTAGGAAGATTATGTTTTTATTAATAATGATTTTTATCAAAAAAGTGATAATTTAATGAGCTTAAAGGTATCAATCTAAATTTGCTCGTAAAATAATATGAGAGAAAGAGAGAGAAAACCACCAACACTGTATCCTAATGTGTCGGATCTACTAAATAAATAGACACAAGGTCAAGAATGGATTTTAATACAAAACACCAAAATGACTAATGACACGTACCATAGAAATTGTAATATTTTCGGGACGCCCTGTTCCTTCCTCAGGTCAAGTAAAAAGGTTAATATTTTTAAACAGGCATCTTGTTTTCTGCTTTCACAGTGAATACTAGTAACACCTTTTTTAATTATCACATTGTAAGTTTGGTCTTTTTGTATGGCACTTTTTCAGATAGTTAAACTTTTAAGGTCTACATACACACCGACCCACCTTTGACTAAATATTTTCTGTAAAAAATCCTTACTTACATGTATTGATGACTTGCTGTTAGGAATAGACTTTCTTAAACGAAACCTGAATTACAATGGTGAAATACTGCAAACTCTGTGAATCTGTTATAGTTTGATTGATTTATACATGTATCATATTTTTCGAGACTTGTAACTTCTTCAATTCAGGATTTAACATTGATCATCAGTACAGAACGTTCAGAGGCTGAAATAGAACTGGAAGAAGATACGGAGGAAATATCCAGTGTCCAAATTGACAGTTTTGCCAAAGAGCAGGAATGGACGCTTCACGAATGCGTATCCATCACACCCAAAGTTACAACCAAGGCATACACAAATCCAGGTTACAAAAACCCTGGTGTGGTGGTTGGCTGTTTTGCTGGAAGGCGAGCAGGGTTCTTCATCTGGAATGTCATGCTTATAATGGTAAACATTTCCAACCTATGGCAAAATAGCAAATGAACTTTCTAGAAAATCTCAAGGTCTTAGTATATGTCGTTGAACCTGTTTACATGTATAGTATTATTTTTATTCAGACTTAAATGACACCAAATGCAAGAGTAAATTAACACAACATACTCATTAGTACAAGTGACTTTTAAATTTGCTCAAATTATAACTTTAATACCTTCAATTATTATTTAGAAAAGCTACATTCTTCATTCCAAAAAAATAATCTGATCAACACTATTAAATTAATTTTTCACAGAACATTTTGAAAAAAAAAATTAAAAAATTAATTAACTATTTATAACACACTTTTCATGAAATCATTCCTTTGAAGTATATGTATAGCACCAAATGTTTAAAACTGAACCAATATACAGCAGTTTGGAAATACCGTATTTTTCATAGGAAAATATAAACAGCATATTAAGTAAAGCACTTCTCATCGCCAAGCAAACTGACAAAAATGCAACCACTATTGAAATAACGACCACTATTGAAATAATTATTTCAAACCAAACACAGGTTGCAACCACTACTAAAATAAGGTTCACTATTGAAATAAGATTTCAAAAGAGGTTTGAAATATATTAAATCATACACGTATTTGCAACCACTATTGAAATTATTTTCACTATTGAAATACTGATTTCATTAGTGATTGAAATACTGATAAACTGACAAATAGATATAATTCTTCTCTTTTTAATGTAGATATTCTAATTTCTACAACTCTCTGCAATTACAATCTTTTTACTTTCCCAAATTAATAGCAGAGATGAACCTTCTATTAATAACAAAATTACTTAAAACTTGAATATATTGTTTGATTGTCTGTTGTTTTACGCCGAGTCGGCCAGATTCAGCAGAAGTTTGCATTTAACATTTGCATACTTTGTTTGAATTCTAGATACGTCAGTTACATCCAAGATGTCCGTAAATTTATACTAGTATTTCCTTGAAAAGAAAGAAAATAATAAAATTACATAAATTAATTTGTTAAGTTGGAAAACAATGAACAATTAATCCTTATATTTTTGTTTTTCAATAGTGGAGTTATTTCAATAATGCTTGCATTGTGGTTTTGGTATTAAAATCATTGTCAGGAACTATTAAAAATTATTTCAATCACTATTGAAATTAGTATTTCAATCACTATTGAAATCTTTATTTCAAAAATGAACTTTATTTTAATATAGTGGTTGCAAACTCGTTTAGCTTTTGAAATACGTTTAAAATCTCTATTGAAATAATTGTTTCAATAGTTAGCGTTATCTTAGAAGTGGTTGCAACCTATGCTCGGTTTTGAAATGCACTCTCGACCACTATTGAAATTTTTATTTTAATGTTAATTATTTCAATAGTGTATTTCACCGGTATGTTGGCTTTGAAATGCACTCTCAATCACTGAAATAATTATTTCAATAGTGGTCGTTATTTCAATAGAGATTGCAACAATGTATTCTCATAAGAATTAGATGAATAGTTCGTGCAAAATGTTTTAAATTACAGAGAATATATGGTCATCTACAGAATAGAATCACAGCAGGAATCAGGATGTATGCTTATGTAAATATATATGGGGAATTTCTCTGAAGAATACGCACGTACTAGATGTACAATAGAGTAAATCGAACACTTCAAATCTTGTAAAGAGGTCACATTCTCCTCAAATTTTGGTACTTGATCATAGTAAATTTCGCAATAAAAGGCGTAATTTAAGCAAAGAACAATTAAGAATTAGCTTAGAAAAAAAACTTCGGATCTTTCGCGTAAGTGTGATTTGCTGTAAGTGGTGCACTGTTAAATTTAATTATTCTCAATAAGATGGTATTTTGACCATTTGTTTTATTTGTTCACAATTTTTCCCTTATCGATTGTATATTATTTTTCTAATCAAAAAGGGAAAATGTTCTCTTAAATAACCAATAGTGATTCCTTAAATGTTTTTGAAAAATTAATTTATTAATGCAAGCAAAACGAATAAGGCACTTTTCAGAGGCAAAGGCCTATCTTTCCATGATAACATCATCACAAAACTTATAAAATTTATTAAACATGATATTTGTTGCACTTCTTAGACATTTATCATAATCTGAGATGAATGAAAGACCTTGTAATGAAAATTAACCAACGTATAAAGTGGTCAAATTAATTAATTAATTTCAGTGATTACCATTAACAATATAATAACAGAATATGAAACATTATTGTTATACCTGAAAACTAATCAACAATCATTTTTCAATTAAGTGCATAATCTAAATGGTGTAAAATAATCTGTTTTGCAGTCTTAATCATTTTTGAACAGCCTTAATTTCCATTGAATCCATTTTTATTGCCAGTCTCTTAATGATGTGAAATTGAAGTCCCTTAGTCTTAAACAATGCATACTATTTCCTTCATAAGCCCTTAAAGAGAACTGACAGGAAATTATATATATATTTGTGTATCAAATTAATTTCAGACGCTGATTAGTTCTTTATCATTGGCGACCTTTTCAGTGGATAGGGCTCTACCACAGAACCGTCTACAGCTTTCCTTCACGTTAGTCCTGACTGGCGTTGCCTTCAAATTTGTCGCTAATCAGTCAATACCTAAAATATCATATCTAACACATCTGGTAAGTGAGAATGTCAATTAAAAATCTAATTGATTTAGTTTGGTTGTTGTTTGTTTGTTTTGCAGGGAGGGGGGAAGGGGGGGGGGGTTAGTGTTGGTTTTTTGTTTGTTTGCTTTGTTCCTAGCCTATCTCAGTTTTTATTGACTGCAGGGTATGACGGACACATTAAAGGGTTCATTTGTCCGTCGTCTCTGTCCGTCACTCATCCCTATAGCTGTTTAAGCGGATTCAAACTTTCAGAAGTCATTAAAACCAAAAATTACATAATATTATAAACTAGCAGTTTACAGGTTTTTAGGGCAAACACATCAATGTACAATGTAAGAGACAAGCTTAATATTGCACAATCAAACTGCAATAAAACTGCAATTAGGCATATATATTGCACACCAATTTGCAATATATTGCACACCAATTTGGTATATATTGCACACCAATTTGGCATATATACTCGTATATTGCACACCAATTTGGCCTATATATTGCACACGTACTTTAAACAGAGTTATAGGCAGCAATAATAACTAAATAACTGTGAGCTGAGATTTTTTATTTCAAAATTTACATCTAAGAATACATATAGGGATTCAAATTAGTAGGGATTTATTTCAATTGCTTTTCTATAGTTTTGTGTATATATATATATATATATATATATATATATATATATATATATATATATATATATATATATATATATATATGTATGTATGTATATAAAATCACAACACCGAAATAAACTCTACCGGTTTCATTTTCAATCTTCAGGAGTTTGACAACATATTGCTTAGTTACTAAGCAATATGTTGTCAAACTCCTGAAGATTGAAAATGAAACCGGTAGAGTTTATTTCGGTGTTGTGATTTTTTTTGATATACAATTACGTGTGTGGAGATATATATATATATATATATATATATATATATATATATATATATATATATATATATATATATATATATATATATATATATATATATATATATTCACAGGACAGGTATATTTTGGGCAGCATGATCTTCCTGTACTTGATTTGTATGTGGCATGCGTTTGTGACCCTTATTGGCGACACGGCAACAAGCGAAGAGGCAGACAAGGACGCCTTCATCGTGTTCGCATCGTGTTTCGTGTGTCTGCAAATTTTATTCATTGTCAGCGTTGTAATAAGCGTAAGTGAATTACTATAATTAAATAAAAAAAAGTAAACGTAATTATAGCGTAAAGAGACAAGCGTTACAAAGGAATTTCAATCATATTCATATCACTTTAAGAAACTATATTTTTATATACTAATTTTATTTTCTAGAATAAAGAAAATTACAGAAAATGTATTATAATTATAAACGACTTCTATAACTTTTTCGCGCAATTGACCTTTTTTCTTTGTCATTTAAATTATATCAAACATTAACAATGTGTCTTTATTTAAAAAGAACTCCAAATAGTTGAATTTTCGAAAATGTGGTCAACTTTATCAATCTAATTGTTTATATTATATTGTGCTTTCTTTTCCAGGGATACCAAAGATATTCAAGCGTGAAGAAAATAGAGAGGCAATATCAGGTAATATTGGTTACTAATAATACGTGTAGATAATGAATAACTGAAAAAGTGTAAATGAAAACGCAAAATATTAGCTTTTTGACTTTCAATTCAACTTCCATCCATAAAATAATTATATCAGCTAAATTTATGAGCCCCAAATATAGATAGAACATTTCAAGATGATACTTTATAGGGTAGTTAAGATGGTGCCATGAATTAAGGACGGGGGATATTATCCATGCATTTATCAAGGACTTTGCTTTGTGTTTATTTTCTAGACAAATTCAATTTCCTTGGTTGGGTTTTATTCTGTACTTCACTAATAGTATCGGGAAAAAGAGATGATTTATGTTTACACGAAAACAGCAAAAAACTAGAGTTCTTGATTTAAAAAAAAATTGTTAACAGTATAAATATTTAGCAGCTAAAATAAACAGTACATATCAAGAACGATGGAAGAAAAATAACAATTTGGTTAACATCAGAATAAAATTACATTTGTGTTCATCTATACATGTACATATACATGTACTTACACAGACAATATGCCAATTATTTAAGAAGCGATCTTAATTCGTAATAATCGCTTTAAAAATCTATAATTGCTTTTAAACATGAGATATTCAAGATATCATAATGAATATAGAGATGATGAGTTGTTTTTTTTTTTTTCAGGAAAAGGCCAACAGAAGTATTCCTAAAGAGAAACCATCAATGAAAAGAACTCGGAAAGTCAGATCCATGAACGTGTGATGAACCTCAAATATTGTGTAAATACAATAGTGTATTGAGCACAAAACCTCTCTTCAACAAAGGAAGTTACAAACCAGCAAAATTTTGCCATTCACGGGGGTTGATTATCACGTCGAAAGGAGTCCCCCATTATCATTAACATTCAACTATTTATTAAGGGCGCTCGGCAGCTAATGAGACGGTCAATATCATATTTGCTAGTGAAGACCAACAACAAAATCAGGGATTCTATTAATCAAACAAGAGGACAGAAAATCAATCAAACTTTCGAAGGTTGATTAGAATTTGATACAACTATATAATTTGGCTTAACTCATTTGCATCATCAACTTAAAAACATGGGACCGGTGTTGAATAAATTAAACTTCCTTGTATGAATTTCGATTTTGTGCAACATTGATATATATGTATCTAATGCACACATGTGATCATATTAGAATTCAACAGACTTGCTCAAGTCACTAGTTATAATTTTTTATTTAAAACCTTCTCTTCCGCGCTTTTGATAATGTTTAAACATAAAGACATGACAGTAAAATCATATTAAATGCATTTTAAATTATATATACAATTACTATTTTTGTCATAGAGTACGTATATTAATACATGTAATAATGGGTCAATGGTTCTTTCAGAAACAATTATTAATGATGGATTTAAAAAAAAATTGAATACATTATTCTAGAAAGAAAGAACAATATACTTTTTAAATGTGGGAATGGAACTACACAACCCAAAAATAACACTAGTTTTTTTTTTCCTTAATACACTATACTATTGTAATTTGAACATTATCCAAAATGCCTTTCTCTTATTACATTAGGTAATCATAATTTCATTTATTTGGAAGATATCATGTAGTTTTTTGAGAACCCTTCTTTCAAATGGAGAATATGAGGATCTGCTTTCGAAAAGAACATGATTTTAATTCGGAAATTAATAATACTTGATACACAAAAGCAATTGTCGACAATAATTTGGCCCAAAATTATCATCATAATTCAGTAACAGTATATTCAAAGAATTGAGACATTTTTTTAATTTCCTTAAATTTTATTGATATTTATCACATATTCCAGATTGCCGAAACAATTCCTACTTGCGATTTGATACAATATATTAACATCTGCCAAATGAGACAGACATAATTATTACCTATTAGGGGCAATGACATTACGAAGTTATTGATTTAATTAGTTTTACACCAGTGTGTCCAATCAAATTTAAATTTCCACAACACAACAATTCTTTTCAGTATTTCAGTTCATTAAAAATACAGCTACTTTATCAGTGAATCAGAGAAAACGTTCACTGAATTCAACTCCTTAACAAATCAAAGGATCAACTGTGCCCACAGAATACTGATGGTGTCTAATCATATTCACTCAATTACTGGCATTTGTTTTCAACAATGGTTGCCTAAGACACAATATAGTTTTTATGACCTTGCTTTGTTGCGTAGGAATGACTGTCTTGAATATTTTCAACATTACTTGCCAACTTCAAGTTGCAGAAAGCTGTGTGTTGCAAGACATTCGGAAGTAATTTTAATATTGCAAGTTGAAAAGAAAGCAATTTATTAAGCAAACTCCAAGAATTGTAGTCCCCCGCTTTCGGTGTCTTCGTGGATGGGATGCCATTATGTAACTGTCTTGTGTGTATGTCTTGTCATATCTGTGCATCATACAAACAAGAGGCCCAAGGGCCTTAACGGTCACCTGAGTATAATACAACAATTTAGAGGATCCATAGAGTATAAAATGAACTGAAAGGTGAAGCTTTGTTGCCCAAAAGCGAGAAAAATAGAGTGATCAGGATCAAAAAATAATTAGTCTAGCATTCATTAACAGTTCATAAATTAGGTTCTAATCTGTTCCCCATTTAACACTATCACTGCTTCTGTACTATCTTAATTCCTTGTTCAAATGTTTTACATTGGCCTCTCTTGGTCTTTGATGAACATTTAATAAGACAAGTTATTTTTGTCTCATTTTTATTTATCTATTACTTACAAGTCTACCTGATCATTAAAACTATGAAAGTACTTTTTGTACTATACAATAAAAACTCTTGCATAATTCTCTTATTCTATTAACCTTTCAAGTACATTATTTACAGTGATTAATTATCAAAAGTAAATGGCAAAGGGGAATAACTCCTCTCAGTAGATTACAAATTAACAGTGCCCTAGCTAGGACCAGAACACTTGACTAAATGGTCCAAATGTTCAAATATATGGTAAAAATACCCTTCCTTATTAAAACTTTTACTCTTTTTGCCTCTGATATGCCCAGGTGCAGAGAAGATTTTTAAAGAAATAATGCATTTTTACTACAGATTCACCATATTATCAATAGAGCCCCCCCCCCTCTTCCCCATCGAGAAACACCAGAGCCTCTCACCCTAGGACCAGAAGTTTGCACATCATAAGTAATCACTTTGTTTATCTGCTTAACACTGAGGAGCAGACAGGATTATTTAATAGAATTAATGCATTTTCACTATATTGTCAAGAGCCCCACCCTTACACCAGCACATCTGACCCAGGGGTCATGCAATTCACTACTCTGGAAGTAGCACTCTTGCTCATCATAACTATACACTGGCTTCTTTGCTTTTTAACCAGAAGCATAAAAGAATGTTTTCAGAGAAATTTTGTTTTTCACTATATAATCAATAGAGCCCCCCCCCCCTTTTTCACCAGAACCCTTGACCCTGGGGCCATGAATTTCACAATTTTGGAAGAGGCATCCTTGCATATCATAACAATGTACTTAGTTTGTTTAAATAATACCCATGGGTAGAGAAGAAGAGTTTTAAAGAAATAATTCACCTTCACTATAGGATCTATATGGCCCCACCCTAGCACCAGAACCCCTGTCCCTGGGGCCATGAATTTCACAATTTTGGAAGAGGCATCCTTGCTTATCATAACAATGTACTTAATTTGTTTAAATAATACCAAGGAGCAGAGAAGAAGAGTGTTAAAGCATTAATGCATTTTCATTATATAATAAATAGAGCCCCACCCTAACACCAGAACCTCTGATCCAGGGGCCATGAAATTCACAATTTTGGTAGAGTCACCCTTGCTTATCATTACTATGTATTCAATTTGTTTCAATAATACCCAGGAGTTGAGAAGAAGATTTTCAAAGAAATAATGCACTTTCACTATATGATCTATATAGCCCCGCCCTAGCACCAGAACCCCTGACCCTGGGGCCATGAATTTCACAATTTTGGTAGAGTCACCATTGCTTATCATAACTATGTATTCAATTTGTTCCAATAATACCCAGGAGTTGAGAAAAAGATTTTCAAAGAAATAATGCACTTTCACAATATGATCTATATAGCCCCACCCTAGCACCAGTACCCCTGACCCTGGGGCTATGAATTTCACAATTTTGGTAGAGTCACCCTTCCTTATCATAACTATGTATTCAATTTGTTTCAATAATACCCAGGAGTAGAGAAGAAGATTTTCAAAGAAATAATGCACTTTCACTATATGATCTGTATAGCCCCCCCCCCCCCAGCACCAGAACCCCATACCCTGGGGCCATGAATTTCACAAATTTGGTAGAGGGCTCAATGCTTATAAAAGCTTATTACAATCATGTCAACAGTTTGACTGCTTGATGTCCAGGAGTAAAGAAGAAGATTTTTAAAGATTGCATTAATTTTGTGGTTTTAGCCCCACCCCTCAGGCCCCAGGGGGGCAGGGACCATGAAATTCACAATTTTTGTCCCCCTTTACCCACAGATGCTATATGCCAAAATTGGTTGAAATTGGTTGAGCGGTTTCAGAGAAGAAGCTGAAAATGTTTAAATGTTAACGCACGACGCAAGACGGACGACGACGGACAAAAACGGATAGCAATAGGTCACCTGAGCGACTCAGGTGACCGAAAAAGACATAAATTATTGAATTAATAATAGTTACGGCAAAGATTATAACTTCTCAAAGCTACGTCAAACTTCAAGATCAAGGTCATGAGGTTATATATCATAATACAATCTGAAAGATCTTGCCACAAGTAATGCACATGTGAAAAAAAATTTCAAAAACCAGAGAATATAATCGGAAAGATCTTGAAACAGGTAATGCACATGTCCAATGTAAATGCCATGTCTTCTCTCAATCAGAAGTTATTAGCAATTCTAAAATTTTTGAAAATTAGGTCAAACTTCAAGGTCAGAGTCATGAGGTTGAAAATCTTAGTGCATATGGAAATGCTTGTCACAGGTAATACATATGTCAAATATGAATGCCCTATCTTCGCTCCTTCAAATGTTAGCAACGCTGTTAAAATCTTTAAAAATTAGATCAAACTTGAAGGTCAAGGTCAAGAATCAAATGTCATAGCACATTCGGAAACATTTTGACACAGGTAATGCACTTGTCAAATATGAACGCCCTTTCATATGTCTTTCAAAAGTAATCATGAAACTTAATTTTTTTTTTTTTTGAAAATTAGGTGAAACATGAAGGTAAAGGTAAAAAATCATAGCATGCTCGGAAACATCTTGTTACATGTATTACACATGACAAATATGAAAGCCCCATCTTTTCTCAATCAAAAGTTATCAGCAAAGATATTTTGTTTGAAAAGTAGGTCAAATTTCAAGATCAAGTTCACGGATTCAAATATTATGATATATTTAACCTATGCTACCTATTTTTTTATCGACTTAGAGATCAGTCGCGGCACAGAATTGGTGGAGAAATTGTGTTCATTCTGCTCATTTGCATATCGGCCATATTGGAGCTGTAATGGCGGCCGATTCCATAAAGGTTTATATAGAGAAAATACAAAAAAATCGCAAACTTTTATATACTAACTATCTCGGATAAAGTTCTTCCGCCGATGGTTTGACTCTTCTCAATATCTTCTACCGGAAATGGCAAGATTGTTGATACCCAAGTGAAAGTTGCGACCGCCTTTTCGCTTTGAAAATTCGAAGCGAGATTATTATACATTTATTGCATGATAGTGAGGGAAATATGAAGATTTTTTCAGCCAAGAAATATCATATTCCCCG